TTTAGTTTAATTTAGGAACAGAAAGTCTTTAGACTGGGTGTTCAGGAAGCAGCTGTAAAAGTCAAAACCCAGAATAGTAGTAAGGTAAATAGAAACTGAGAGTCATACGTAATCTCTTATCTTACTTGTGACTCTGAAGTAATAAAAGCCACACATCATGAGTAAGCCACAAATAGTATGTCTTTCCGAAAAAAGGACGCTCTGAGATACTGTAGGTGTGCACTTTGTGTTTAGCTTTTTTGGTAACACTTTAGAATACGGTTCCTTCGTTAATGAATAACTACACTAGAACCAATAAGTAAGGCAATATTAACAATCTAGTAACTATTATTAACTAACAAAAAAAAAATCTGATTAACAAACTAGTAAGTAATAGCACACAGATGAAAGTGTTAGTTCACTAACTAATCAATAACTACTATTTTTTAATGCTTCCCAGAGAACTACTGGAAAAGTTAATTAACAATCGAGTAACTACCATTACCTAAAAAACTCTGATTAATGAACTAGTAAGTAATAGTGCGCAGATGAAAGTGTTACTACATACTTATGTGGGAATTACTAATTATTTGGATACGCATTATAAAGTGAAGACCGTGTGAACTAACTAGTAATGACTCAAGTGTTACTAAAGCAATTTTCTAAAGGTATACTAAAGTTCACCAATAATCTCAAAAGCTTGAAATGACTTTAGTGTTTGGTTGCACAAATCATGACTAGATCGTAACACTTGAGTCATTACTAGTTAGTTCCAATGATCTTCACTTTATAATACGAATCCAAATAATTAGTAATTCCCACAGAAGTATCTAGTAACACTTTCATCTGCACACTATTACTTACTATTTATTGGCACACGAAGAGTGCCATTTCAGTTTTTCTCCTAAAATCAACATGATTAAAATGTGATATTAAGTTACTACTACAGTTTAATAAACCATCATTTAATTACAACTATAAAATTGTGCAGAATTATGTAATATATGAATGAATAATAGCCCATAAAGGGTTCTTTCTTGTCATTATAGAACATTTTTTAGCATAAAAGGTTCTTTGGAGTTGAGTAAAGAACCCTATGCTTCATATATAGAACCCCAATGAACCCTTTTTTCTAAGAGTGTGGGATAGGAGAAAGTATTATTTTGAAGATCAGGCACTGAGAACAAACAGCATATTGTGTTATTTTCTATTTAAATATAGAACATGAAGATCTAAAATTATGGGTACAGTGTTTATAGGGACACATGAAATAAAGCCAAATTCCTTTGGATATTTCCATGAGAAAGTTTCAGGACACTTTGCCCATTTAACAAGCTTCCGAGTTCGAGTTAGTGGAAACCGTGTCATGAGCTTCTGTCATAGACTACCGAACACTTAAACATGCAAACACACACACACACACACGAGCAGTTGTTAAAGGGGACTATTGAGAGCCTGTTGTCATGCTGACACATCGCATCTGTTCTGAGGGTCTAATGTGGGTTTCTTCTTCTGAAGGAGACATATTGTCCCAGAATGACTTTACGATGGGCCACATGTCAGACACTTCACCAACTTTCTTTGACACATGCACTATCAGCACAGTTTTTGGGAACTGATTTTTCAGTCTTGATGGAAAACCGACACACAGGTCTTGCATACCCACACACATTTGTCATGTGCATTATGTGAATCATTATGCATAATCTCTGAATCACACATCCATGTAACTCATAGCAAAGGCTAATGAAAGGGTGCCAGTGACCCTCAGGTTATCTCGGCACAGGCGGACACACGCTTTGCTCACATCTGTGGCTAAACGTAAATATATGGTGGGCTCCCATTCTGACTCATTCACTCAATCAGCTTTAGTTACAGAAATATGTAGGGGGTTACTGTATATGACTCAAACTAACAAGTCAAACAATACCACCAGTTTAGCTCAATGCAAGTAGTGGAAGTTTTTCTTTTAATATTTTGTTAATATGGTATTTAAATGTCTATTAATATGTTTTTTGTTTTGTTTTTTGCCAATAGTCAGTTAAAGAGGTTGCTGATGTTGTTCGTCATTCTCAAAAAGTCAAACAAACTTTATTTGAGCTGTTTGATTTTCAGTTTCATTTTAAACATGAATATATATATATATACATTGTAAAAAATATTGTTGGTTTACCTTAAAAATAAGTAACCTGGTTGCCTTAAATTTTTAAGTTCACTGAAATGGAAAAATTGAGTTAATGCAATGAAGGATATTAATTTAATCACCAGAAACTCAAAATTTTATGTTCTCTGAACTACATGAATTATCTAAGTTGATTTGACAAAAGAAAAAAAATTGTGATTACAAATCATGAAAATATTTTTTACAGTGTACATATTAAACTATATATATATGGAAGCTTGTTTGCCGCCATAGATTGAAAAATATAAAAGGTAATTGCGACTTTTTATCTCACAATTCTGACTTTTTTTTCTCACAATTGCGAGTTTACTTCTTAAAAGTCAGAATTGCGAGATATAAAGTCAAAATTGTGTGATATTAAGTCGCAATTGCAAGATATAAAGTCAGAATTGCGAGATAGAATTGCTAGATATAAAGTCAGAATTGTGAGATATAAAGTCAGAAATGCATGATATAAAGTCAGAATTGTGAGATTTAAACTATTCTAAGGGGGAAAAAAGTTAGAATTGGCCTGATAAGTCGCAATTGCGAGTTTATATCTCACAATTCTGAGAAAAGGTGTCAGAATTTCGACATATAAACTCGCAATTATATGTTATAAAGTTAGAATTGCGAGATGTAAACTCGCAATTGTGAGAAAAAAAGTCAGAATTGTGACATAAAAAGTCGCACTTCTGTCTTTTTCTCTCAGAATTGTGACTTTATATCACCCAATTCTGACTTTATACTGTATCTCGCAATTCTGACTTTATATCACGCAATTCTGACTTTATATCTCACAATTCTGACTTTATATCTCGCAAATCTGACTTTATATCACGCAAATCTGACTTTATATCTCGCAAATCTGACTTTATATCACGCAATTCTGACTATATCTCACAAATCTGACTTTATATCTCGCAAATCTGACTTTATATCACGCAATTCTGACTATATCTCGCAAATCTGACTTTATATCTCACAAATCTGACTTTATATCACGCAATTCTGACTATATCTCACAAATCTGACTTTATATCACGCAATTCTGACTATATCTCACAAATCTGACTTTATATCACGCAATTCTGACTATATCTCGCAAATCTGACTTTATATCTCACAAATCTGACTTTATATCACGCAATTCTGACTATATCTCACAAATCTGACTTTATATCACGCAAATCTAACTTTATATCACGCAATTCTGACTATATCTCGCAAATCTGACTTTATATCTCGCAAATCTGACTTTATATCACGCAATTCTGACTATATCTCGCAAATCTGACTTTATATCTCGCAAATCTGACTTTATATCACGCAAATCTGACTATATCTCGCAAATCTGACTTTATATCATGCAAATCTGACTTTATATCATGCAATTCTGACTTTATATCACGCAATTCTGACTATATCTCGCAAATCTGACTTTATATCTCGCAAATCTGACTTTATATCATGCAAATCTGACTTTATATCATGCAAATCTGACTTTATATCATCGCAATTCTGACTTTATATCTCGCAATTCTGACTTTATATCTCACAATCTGACTTTATATCTCGCAATTCTGACTTTATATCTCGCAATTCTGACTTTATATCTCGCAAATCTGACTTTATATCTCGCAAATCTGACTTTATATCACGCAATTCTGACTATATCTCGCAAATCTGACTTTATATCTCGCAAATCTGACTTTATATCTCGCAAATCTGACTTTATATCATGCAAATCTGACTTTATATCATGCAATTCTGACTTTATATCACGCAATTCTGACTATATCTCGCAATCTGACTTTATATCTCGCAATCTGACTATATCTCGCAAATCTGACTTTATATCTCGCAAATCTGACTTTATATCACGCAAATCTGACTTTATATCTGCAAATCTGACTTTATATCATGCAAATCTGACTTTATATCATGCAATTCTGACTTTATATCTCGCAATTCTGACTTTATATCTCACAATTCTGACTTTATATCACGCAATTCTGACTTTATATCATATTTTCCTTTCCTTTTGATGATTTCATCAAACTAGTAGGGTCATTAAAAGATATCACTCTCTCCAGACATCACTTTTGGCTTATATTAATTTTATGTCAAATTTTGGTAAGACACTTCTGATAAACACATAGCAAGAACACTATACAGGAAACAAACGTGTTCAGCTGATTATAGCTGGACCAGCGAGGCCATGTACTATAATGTATCCTCTTGTCAAAGCTGTAAAGGGCATGTCAGCTCCTGTTGTAAAGTGAATTGCAACATTTGCATAAATGAGTGTCAAATTGCGTAATCAAGATCAGTTGCCAGGATATATCAGCATACATGTGCCTCACAACTCCTGATATTGAGTATAATAAACACAGAAATTCCCCCAGTTCTGAGCAATGTTCATATTTTTTCCCCAAGGTTTTTTTTATTTATTTTTTACTTCTGAAAACTTTATGTGAGGTAATCCATCAATTAGTTGCTTAAATTGTAAATGTAGTTGTCCGACTGACCAGCAGAGGGTGAGGGAAATAAGTACCTCAGAGATGAATGACCTTTGTGTATAGCTGCAGAATTAAAGAAAGAGAGGTTGTATGGTGTTAGACGAATAAAACAATGATTTGTGATGAATTAACCAACAGGAAAAGTGTGACATGCAATGATAAGTGACACAAGCAGTCAAAAACCTCCAGGAAAGGGGTTTAACCTGAAGTAGCTCAGAGTGTGAGTGTGTGTTGTGTCTGGGTGTGTGGGAGGGAGAACACGGGACAGAAGGAGGGAAAAGCAGGAGGGGTGTGTCGGGTGGGACTATATAGAGAGTGAATAGAGGCCAGACAGGAGGCTGAAGAGAGTGTGTGTGACTGTGTTCACTGCTTTGACCTGTAGCTGAAACAGACCTGCTCACATTTTGTACTCTGGATATAACCAGAAGAAGGATTTTATTTCACGAAACAAGGTGGGGGATTTTTTGTTTCTCCGGCTATTTAAATCCTGTGCTTTTCTGTGTAACCTCCTCCCTCCCTTACTAATGTGTCAGACAGGTGCGTAGTACGATTACAGTACGGCTCTATACAACACTTTACGTGTTCCAGTGATGTTGTTTCATGAAGTAAAAGTAGTTAAAGTTATGAAATTAAAAGCATTTTACTCATTTTACTTCTGTTGAATCTAGAATATTCTACATCAGTCTTTAACCTTTTTCAAGCCAATTAAGTGTTGCATTGAAAGCCTAGCCTATATAATTATAAAAAGTTTTCTTTAGTGTTTGTAGCCTAGCATATTAATTTGTTTATATACTTTATTGTGATCCTTACATTGCAAAGCCATAAAAGAATATTTTTTGATGTACAAAACCAAATATTTTTTCATATAATGCTAACACTTTATTTTGACGGTTCACTTTAGACATTCTACTAGCTATAAACTTTGCAACTGCATGTCAATTAAGTATACTATTAGTAGATTGTAAGGTTTAGTAGAATACGTTGATATGTAGTTGTAAAGTTACTTATAATTAGTATGCTATGTCTAAAGTGGACCATCAAAATAAAGCGTACAAGTGTCCACACGTATGCCAGATGTGGGCCAGATCTGGGCCGACACTATGTTGCTGTCTGGTTTGTGTGTGATTCAAGCTTTGAACTCTTTGTGGTTGTTTACCTGTCCACTTGCGTTTTCTGAGATCGGATAGCTGATCGTGAAAAGACCAGGTAGCCTAAATGCCCTCCGAAACGCTTCAGGAGGTGGACAAGTGTAAATGCATGTGTAGAAAGTGGACAAGTGGACAGACGAAGTGGACAAGTGTAAATGCATATGTAATTATCTGTAATATGTAACACATAGGCCTATGTAGTTTTTATCTACCACTCCCAAACAACGCTAAAGAACGTATGAGAGCGTATCATAGGTTATATGTCAAGATAGCCAGATGACGACGCTATGCAACATACTAGCCTACACGCAAGATGAGCAGCTGAGCATCGTTCAACGTGCGAACTACTATCGCAAATCAAAGTGAAAGTAGCAAACGCTTAACACACGACCATCTTCATTAAAAGTAAAGAAACGAAATGTTCCTACCAGTGCTGTTGCCGCTCTCTTCTATTGCGATTCTGAAATTAGCGGATGATCAATAATGTCGCTCATCTCGAGTTCTTTCGGTGACGGTGACTCCATTAAATCTGCATATAGCGCGGGAATTGAAGATTGGATTTATATCCGTTTTGCGAAAACCACGTGCAAATGGAATAGTTTTTGACCAATCAGATAGTTATTTATTTGATCTGTAAAAACACATGAATGAGCAGGTGTAAACTGGCTGACAGTTAATGTCTGAAGGAAACCTCTAGAAGCTCTCCTCCATCTGCTATCTGTCTGTTATTTAATCCTGTTGTGAAAGTTTCTTGACCTCTCAAAGTCCACGACGTGTCATTCTACAATCATAATGCTATAATTTAAATATAAACTTGTTCATTTTATAAATGGAGCGTAATATCTGTTAGTCAAGCTTTCATTTTACAAATGTTAAGATCCAGCAGAAGAGACTAGCTAATAATGGCTGTATTTGTAAGCTAGTTTAAAGCTCTGTTGTGTTGAACCACCTGTATGCATGTGAGGTTGGAGATACGACTATAATATTGCGTTTATCAGCTCATTGGTTGATCAAAAGCATTGATGTAAGTCATTTGTCAGACAGCAGACTCTAGCAGTGTTTTCTGTCTGCTCTGTCATCCTACGGGCTGAATGTGATGTAAAGTCAACACGTCTCTACACGCTACACTCCTGTTGGGAGGAAACAGACGAGCATCAGCCAGCTTTAAAAGCTGAAATATCCACATCACTGTAGATGCATCATTACTGATGTTTACTTGATCGCCATGACAGCGGGGTCAAACATTTCTTGCACTCAATGAGAGTGCCTTAAATGCCCCTGCAACACTGCTGCCATATGCCTTAGTGTTGAGGCTCTGGTCCACTAAAGGCACAGTCATGCAGAAAACTGCACAGCAGTGGACTTTGTTTCCGGGGCTGTTCTTTGTCTGTATGGGGGACATTGTGCCCTGTGGGATGATTGGGTAATTAATGATGCTTTTTCTGCAATTTGCTCGCCGCCTCCTCGTCTTTGTCAAGGCTCTCCTCTTTTTAACCCCAGACCACAATGGCAGCTTGAGCGCAATTATGTGTGATCTCAAGATATTGTTCTCAGGGAGGATGATCAGTGAAAGTGAGGAGCTATTTAACTGTGAAGCCATTTTTTAGGCCTATGTTTGTGAATGAAGTCTCTTCTGCTCACCAAGGCTGCATTTGTTTGTTAAAAATATAGTTAAAACAGAAATATTGTGAAATCATTTTTTTTTTTTCAATTTTAAATAACTTTTCTACATTAATAAATGTATTCGTGTGATCAAAGCTGAATTTTCAGCATCATTATTCCATTCTCCAATGGCACATGATCCTTCAGAAATCATTCTAATAAGTCAAATTTAATACAAAATAAATTCTAAAATGTAATATTTCAAATAAATGCTGTTGATTAAACTTTTCATCATCAAAGAAAGTAAAAAAAATTGACAATAATAAGAACCAGTATTAATAATTGTGCACCAATAATAATTGAGCAGCAAATAATCATATTAAAATTATTTCTGAAAGTTCATGTCACACTGAAGACTGGGGTAATGATGCTAAAATATCAGCTGTGCCATTACAGGAATAGGCCTAAATTTTATATGAATTTAGAAAACAGTTATTTAAATTTGTAATAATATTTCACAATATTGCTGTTTTACTGTGTTTTTAATCAAATGAATGCAGTCTTGGTGATCAGAAGAGACTTCAAGAGATTCAAAAACATCACAAATGGCTTTATCCATCCGTCCCAGCCCGCCCACCCATTTTTTTGTATAAATAAACCCCAAAATGCTATTTTAAATATTTAAAAAAATGGACAGCCTTAAAAAGACAGCCTTACCCTGTTTTTGGGACTGCCTTGGTTTTGACTACAGGAAGTTGCTGTTTCCGTAACAATGATAAGTTTTGACTCCATTAGTTTGATAGTAACATTTTTCCACCATGTCCTTCCACCTTTCTTGCCCTATGAAAATAAATGGGTCCATTTTCCTTTTACAGTCAATCCGTTTAACTCGTTTTTAAAGTGACGTTCACAAGAGCACAATTTAAAAGTGACTAAACAAGAGGGAAAAGTTATAGCTACCATCAGCCTTTTATAGTTTAATCCTCATTTCTCTAAAATAATTTCAAAGAGAAGCAGGTAAATTAATGGATTGGCATCATGCATGCAAAATATCAATTATTCTGTTGAATCAAATATGAAGCACATTTCTAGATTTCTGTTTAAATGTAAACACTCCAAGTGGATTATGTAATGCTTTGGTTAATATTTGGTTTCAACAGACATTTTTTTGTTCTGTACTGCTCCGTGCTGATGCCAAGTGTTGACATGATAGCTGTGCTGCAAATATCAGTTCACGCATAGCTCAAATATTATAAATGAGACAAAATGTCTGAAGTGAGATCAAATAGACAATGTAAGTGGACAATGGCCTGTGTGCTCTGCATGGAAAGGATGAGTTTAGCGTAAGACAATATTTACATTGCAGTGAATCTTTCCTGGACTATTTAGCAAGTAAATAAAGACTGATGGACATCTACAGTAACTTGAGGCCTGAGTCCCATGACCGCACCCTTCCTATACACACCTCAACATATGGATCATCCCACAGAAACTCAAGTTGAAGTTTCAATTGACGCTTCAAGTCATGGACAAAAGTAGAAATAACACACCTATCGCTGTGCTGTCATTGTGTTTGCAGGATGAGTGCATTATTAAATAAGAACAAGAGGAACGTCTGTTTAGCAGTGTTGTTTATATTGCAGATTGTTGGCTCATGGCCTCAAGTTCAGTGTGTTTCAGGAAAGTGGAAAACAAATGATCGCCGTTTGGAATTGCCTAACGCTCCATCAAAGCTCTGTTTCCAGGATCTGTCATATCTGTTTTCACTCAAACGTTATTTCTGCTCTAATAATATCTATATCGTTGTTGTTTGGGTTTTTTTGCAGCATGATGGAGCATAATGTTGCTTTGAATTCGATTTTGATTCGCAAGTTGACCCTAATGGCTGATGTTTTGCTATATTGATTTCTTTATCCCAGATAAGCAATGTTGAAGCTCCTGATGCTGGCTGCCGTTGCAGCGCTCCTCCTGCTGTCAGAAGAGGGGATGTCAGCGAGGACTCTCTCCCGCTCTAAGAGAGAACTAGCCAGCCCGCTGCACCTCAGGGGGATCCGGGACCCCTTCGGCTCCTACTGCCAGAGGAGAGGAGGCTGCTGCCCCGGCCGAAACGACCAGTGCACTGTCCCGTACCTGGACACCATCTGTTACTGCGACCTGTTCTGCAACCGCACCGTGTCCGACTGTTGTCCTGACTTCTGGAGCCACTGCCTGGGAACAAATCCTCCATACCCTCCCAGTAAGTTGAGTGAGAACATACATTCTGAAGACTGTGCTGTTTGTTCTTTTCCATGCAACAAAGACCGAGACTTTCAAACTATGCAGAAATATGCATATTGACTCCTTACACCTATGTATAGCTTCCAGGATATAGCAGTTACTACTCCCATGGTTGGAGCAAAGGATGTGCCTGAAGCCAAATATACTACGGAGCCCCTAAAGGGACAATGTATTTGGGTTCTCTTATAATTACAGTTAGGTAATTATATATAATTTGCAGGCATCAGGGAGAATATTGAATTCTCTTTTGAAATGCACACTTCCAATTCGCAATCACGCATACTCTGTATAGGGAGTAGCGACATCGTCCTGTCAGTTATCCCTGCTTATCTCCCAGTCTTCCCTCCATTTCTTCAAGTGATAAGAGAAATCTGATGTAATCTTCTGTAATGTAACCGGCTGGCACAGCAAGCCTAACTGTGTCCCTTTAGGTGCTCTCTAGAATGCGTTATTCATTTTCTGTGCCTTTCCAAAATTCGGATTTAGGCTTCTGGAAGATACCAATAGTAGCAAAGTCTTTGTCATAATTCTAATAACTGTCAATCACTGTCAAAAACTTATTATATAGTATCAATGTAAAAAAAAAAAAAACTATCATCCCTTAAAGGGTTAGTTCACCCCAAAATGAAAATTAAGTCATTAATTACTCACCCCCATGCTGAATCAACCCCGTAAGACCTTCGTTCATCTTCGGAACACAAATAAAGATATTTTTGATTGAATCTGAGAGCTAGATCAGTCCTACATAGGATGCCTAAGGGACTGGCTCTTGACGGCCCATAAAGTCATTAAAGAAAAGGTTTAAATATTCCATGTGCCTACAGCGGCTCAATTATAAGTTTATCAAGCGACGAGACTACTTTTTGTGCGAAAAAAACATAAATAACGACTTAATTCGACTATTCTATTACTTCCTTATGGGCGCAAGCGCGAGAACTGAGACGAGGACGTTCTTCTCCTTCAACTACTTTTTGTTACCGACTGCTCCGCTTAGGAGTATTACCGCCCCCTACCGTATAAGATGATGTGCTGATATAGCTGGAAGCGCAAAACTTTCTGTTTACAAGCAGAGGAAGATGCGCGCTGAACATACGCTTTTCAATTAGCGTATTTTCCGCACTACAAGGTGCACTTAAAAGCCTTTAATCTTCTAAAAAAAAACGACAGTGTTCCTTATAATCCGGAGCGCCTTATATATGGATCATCATCTTATACGGTAGGGGGCGGTAATACTCCTAAGCGGAGCAGCCGCCGGTAACAAAAAGTAGTCGAAGGAGAAGAACGTCCTCGTCTCAGTTCTCGCGCATGCGCCCATAAGGAAGTAATATAATAGTCGAATTAAGTCGTTATTTATGTTTTTTTTTCGCACAAAAAGTAGTCTCGTCGCTTGATAAACTTATAATTGAGCCGCTGTAGGCACATGGAATATTTAAACCTTTTCTTTAATGACTTTATGGGCCGTCAAGAGCCAGTCCCTTAGGCAGTCTATGTAGGACTGATCTAGCTCTCAGATTCAATCAAAAATATCTTTATTTGTGTTCCGAAGATGAATGAAGGTCTTACGGGGTTGGTACAGCATGGGGGTGAGTAATTACTGACTTAATTTTCATTTTGGGGTGAACTAACACTTTAATTCAATTTAAAAATTCAAAGGGTTAGTTCACACAAAAATTTTAATTATCCCATAATTTCCTCAAGCATGTATAAGACTTTCTTCTTTCAGCCGAACACAATCAAAGTTATATTAAAAACTATCCTGGCTCTTCCAAGAATTATAATAGGAGTGAATGTGAATGAGATTTTATACGCAAAAAAAGCACATCCATCCATCATAAAAATATATGGCTCCAGGGTATTAATAAAGGCCTTCTGGAGCAAAACAAAGTGTTTTTGTAAGAAAAATATCCATATTCATAACGTTATAAACTATAATCACTGCCCTCCGGTAATGGCCGTACACAAGTGGAGTTTCGGGTAATAGGTCACTCTTCCACTGGAGCCGTACCCATACAGACAGACAGTTTCTGTAGGCTACAAATAGGCTATGGAATGACTTTCTTTGAAAGCGATTTTGGTCAAACTTGAGAACCAGACAAATCGAATTCATGAGCAAAACATCACACTACTGTGAACTAGATGAATTGATTAATTGAATTGAGTTTTGACTGGAAAGAATGATTTGTGAGCCAATGTCAAGAATTAACAACTTAAATTTTAGTATGTCCCTCAAAAAAGCTATCATATCGTATCCTGAAGATATGAAATATGGTGTGTGAGTCACACAGTCTACTTGTTTAGATTTTTAGACAACCAGTCACAAGCAACAAGGATCATTTTTAAGTGAACTAATGTTAACTATTAACATTATATTAACAACAAAATATTAACTCCAATAATGTTTTAGTTTCCTCCATGACAAAAGACATACAATCATGTTCTCTTATAGAAAGGATATGTTGTTGGCATAGTCATGTTGATCAAAATGAGAAGCCAAATCAAAGCCATCGGTATGCAAAGAGAACATTTTTGGCCCCTAGCCAATGTGTGAAGTCTACGCCGTTAAAACGCTGTTAAGGTTAGTCGTTTTCTAGAAACGTGATGGAAAACCAAGTTCACATTCTTCCCTGTTAATGTTTCCCTGCCGTTCTTGCTTCATGGTCCTCACTGTGGGTGAGGTGTTAAATATTCAGTCATGAACCTAATGATGGGAGGAGAACAGTGGCATTCCCATGAAAAGAGCAGAACAGGGGAGCAGTGAATGGAGGTCGGCAGAAAGAATGCCTGTAATGTACGAGGAGGGAAGGGAGGGATCACAACAGGTATGTGTGTTTGCTAAAGGAGCGACGGTCATGTCTATAGGGCAGGTATGACTTCATGGATCACAGCTCAGCATTACTCAGACTGATACTGTTGCTAAATCTCAGTAAATGTTTTCTCTGGAAAGCCACTTTCATTGGTTAAAAAAACATCTGATAGTTCATGCTTCCTATTCCTATGAAGGGCTAAAGCGTAACCTTTTAAATCTTTTAAAGTTTTAAAACATTTAAAAACTTTTACAGATGAACAAAAAATAAACAATTTTTTTTTTTTTGTAATGTTTGAAATTTTTGTGTGGACCACAGAATTGTAAAATTAAAGGGATAGTTCACTTTGAAATATATTTTTGGTATGTTTTAGCTTACCTCAAGGTCATCCAAGATGTGTGTCTTTTTTTCCACAGTATTTTCAATTTTGATATTTTTAGGTCAAACCGTTCTTGTCGGTCAGTCATATAATGCAGGTCTATGGTCACCACCTAAAAGAGCATGCACAGAAAAGTCCAAATTAAACATGATTTAATGACTCGTAAATGTAAGTACACATTGATGGCCTAAGACACGAAACGAGTGGTTTGTGTGAGAAAACAAACAGTATTTTTATCATTTTTACCTCTTATAACCACAGCCACATCCAAGTGATCTAAGGGAGCTTCGGTCTGCAACAAGCGCCAGAAAGCCTCGGAAGTGATCTCTCGCGCGTGTACTTCACTCATTGTTTACACAGAGATTTCAGAAGTGTTACCTTTCACTGTGAAGATCTAAACATATTTAGATATATGGGAAATCACAATGGAAGACGATTTCGATATATCAACAGACAACGTTCAATTTTTTTCGCAACCGCGCGAGAGATCACTTCCGGTGATTTCCGGCGCTTGTGCAGACCGTAACACCCGCGCCCTCAGATCAGTTGGACGTGGCTGTGGTTACGAGAGGTAAAAATGATGTACTTAGATTTACGAGTCATTAAATCATGTTTAATTTGGACTTCTCTGTGCATGCTCTTTGAGGTGGTGACCATAGACCTCCGTTTGACCTAAAAATATCAAAATTTAAACTACTGCGGAAACAAAGACACCTACATCTTGGATGCCCTTGAGGTAAGCTAAAACATACCAAAAGTTAATTTCAAAGTGAACTATTGGATATATCATTTCCATTTGTACATGGTGTATTAGGATGAGAGGAAAGACGGCAATGTGGAAACCTCTGATTAAACTGGTCAAGGCATGACGACAGCAGAGTCTCTGGGAAAGCCAAAGACACATTCCTCTGCACACTCCAAAGTCCATCAGACATAAATGAAAGAAAGAACTTTTAATCCAAATGTTTAGGATGTACATAGTATGTGTGTTCCACTGTTCTTCCTCTTATTACCTGCAGATTGATTCATAACCATGTTTGTTTGTTGATTTCAGGTTCTTGTGAAAGGAATGGCCAAAGGTTTCACTCAGGAGCAACATACAAAGAGAACTGTAATTTATGGTGAGTTTGAAATCTGCATATCTTCTCTCTCTCTCTTTTTCTTTCTTTCTCCAGACAGTATTTTCGTAGCACAGACAACATAGTCTTTCCAAGGGCACTGTGGTTCTCTCAATCCGAGGCCGTTGATGGCTGCATCAACACCAACACACGTTGGCAGGATTTATCATGACTGGTCTTCAGAGGGCAGGATAGTGGGACCCCTCGGGTCCTGAAAAGATTACACACATTCCTGAGCTTCCACAGATCCATACATGTGCTTCACCTTCAGCGACCTTGTGATCCCGAACTGTACAAACACACCGCAGGATCATGTACAGCACATATACATCCATAATATTTACCGCGTGTCTCTCTCCCTACAGTAAGACCCTTCGCTAATAGGATTATCTCTCCTCATAGAGTCTAATCCTTCGAACCAGCCACAGTCGAAGCACATTCCCTTTCAGTGGACACATAAACCTTGGTTAATGACCAATATGTAGGAATACATCATTTTGTTTGCTACAAATATGAATTAGTAAACAATCTGCTTTTGGCTGTAGAATAACACTTCTTTTATGGGTGATTAATTGTTTGTTTTGTGTTAAGAGGCAGTTATAGCTGTTGTATAAGTGCTATACAAATAAACTGAGCTTATTCGCACTAAAGCTGACGTACTGAACTCTTCATGGATGCTACAAAACCTCCAGCTGAGGTGTAAATTACAGAAAATTGGTGAGCGATTTTATAGCTACCCATACTGTACATGCAAAGCAAAAAATAAAAAAATAGAATAGGCACAGTTGTAAATATGGAAAAATTGAGATTATTGGAGTACTTTTGTTGAGAAAATACAATTTCAGTCTTTCTACTTCAACATTTGATGTTTAATTTATTGTGTTACTTGCCATTTTTTTTAATTATTTTTGAAATTTACTAGCAATTTCTGAGTGAAATTAAAATATTTTATTTTGCATAAAACATTTCTATAAAATCAGAATTATTAAGTTACATTTGCAAGACCTTGGACCTTGAACCGTTTGGTTCCTATTGAAGTCCATTATATGGAGAAAAATCCTGGAAGGTTTTCATCAAAAACCTTAATTTCTTTTCGACTGAAGAAAGAATGACTTGGACATCTTGGATGACATGGGGGGAGTAAATTATCAGCAAATTTTTTTTTAAAAAAAGTGAACTACTCCTTTAAATCAGCTATTTTCAGTGACTTTGCGAGACTTCTGAGGCTTTGCCTGCTTTTGTATTTATTGGCTTAAAAACATCTTATCTTCCATTGTCATAAAGTGCGGTTGCACTATATTTTGTGAGAAACTAGTGATGGTTAGACAAAACAGAAAAGCAGGAATTCCTTACCCCAATGCCAAAGCTTTTTCACACAGCGGTGATATGAGTATTGTCTCTGGGAATATGTGGTGTGGCGTCGTCTCCAGTTTGGCTTGTCTTCAGTGTGGCGTGTGCACGTGGTCGTCACATATTGCATGTGTCTGTTTGTGGCAGGGGTGAAGTTTACCTGGGGTTACAGTAACTCATTACAAGTACTGGAGTTACGTAATCAGATTACTTTTCAGATTAACGTATAACAAGCAAAATAGTGCATTACTTTTAAATTTAGAACCAAATATCTGAGTTACTTTTATTTTGTTTTCTGATTTATTGACCTCTACTGTTCAGACATGAATTTGCATTTTCTTCAGGCTTAATCATTTCTCGTTTGGTGTGAAAAGGCCTTTACATTTGCAAAAAATTTAGCTTTTTTTTTTTGTTATTAAAAATCAAACAAGGAAGCCCAGATGAGAACAAGTAAAGTTAGTTAGTTACTTTTTTTTAGAAAGTAGTGCAATATTGTAATGCAATACTTGTTGATAAAACATAATATTTGTGAAATTTTATAAATTTGACTTGAAAATGTCGTCTTTAGTTAATAATTGTACCTTGATGTTTTAATAGTTTTTTTTTTTTTTTTGCCATGAAGGAATTTTAATGTGAGGATTTTTTCACAGCCTCAGCCTGTAAAAAAGTACTCCAGAATGCTCATGTTTAGTGTTCTGTTTGTAGATGTGTTTTTGTTTGTATGTCAGACTCAGACTGATGTTGATTTTATCCGGTAGTCTGCCGTGACGGTGCTTTCTCCGATCACACCAAGCACAGACCTCTTGGCATTGCCACGTTATCTCGCCTCTTTTCAGTTCTTATTTTATCAGGATCTTTTTCACGTTCTCCGGCTTCCTATGGTGGCAGAGATAGATGAAACACTGGCGGCTGTCCCAATGTTGTTCCCTGGTTCACATTCACCTCTGTAATCCTGAGATTTCCTGAGTTCAAGCCTCACTGGACTGTGCCATAGGTTTAGCATGTATCGGCCGCAGACCCAGCGGCTCCTGTAGGATCTGTTCTTCAGTCAGTGATGGGGTCGCAGCATAACCATATCTCTCTCGCTCTTTCTCTCTCACAAACACCTGGATGTAATGTCACATTAGTTTCTGTTGCTGACACTATCAGTGTAAATGTTACAGCCATACGCATTGCAATCTTTGTAGTTACTAGAGTTATGAGAGGAACGTGAAATATTTCAAATCCAAATCCAAAGCCAAAGGTAACCAGCTCACAACCTCACAATTCTTTTATATATGCTATGATAGAGTGATAGTTCACCCAAAAATCATTAATTATTCACCCTCATGTCGTTCCAAACTCAGACTTTAAGGTAACACTTTACTTGAAGGGGTGTGCATAAGACTGACATGACACCTTCATAATCATGACATGACATATGTCTTGAATATGAAGTGGGGTTTATGTATGTTTATGACAACTGTCATTAAGTGTCTTTCGCTCAATAATGGCATTTTTAATGCAAATATGACATTGTTTAAGATGTATTTATTATGACATCTTGACATAAAATTAAGTGTCATGTGGTTGGCTTTGACATTGGCTGTCATGAGGCCATTATAACTGTCATGAATATTTTTCTTGACCTCAACTACAGTGGTACTAATTGAATTTGGGTTCAAACAACCCAGCACCCAGCAACCCAGCATCTGCTATGTCATGTTTATGTTTATGGTTTTGTTGTCTAATGTCAAGTTGTCATGACAAAGACACTGACAGGTTATGATGTATTGGTTTATGTCAAGGTCTATCATAACAAAGACATCTTAAACAACATCATATTTGCATTAAAATGTCATAACTGTGCGAATTACACTTAATGACAGTTAACACAAACATGCATAAAACTTCATAACATATGTCATGTCATGGTTATGAAGGTGTCACGTTAGTCTTATGCACACCCCTTCAAGTAAAGTGTTACCGACTTTTGTTCATCTTTGGAACACAAATAAAGATCATTTTGATGAAATCTGAGAGCTTTCTATCCCTCCATTGACATCTATGCAACTACCACTTTAACGCTTAAAATCCACATGAATTGAGCGGTTTTGTCCAAATTGAAGAGAAACGGTCGCTTTATATGATTCTTAAGTTTGAATTTAGGCTTTTATTCACATTTAAACTGATCAACTCACACATCAGTTTTGTTAAACAGAAGCTCAAGCATGTTCACTTGAAGTGTGAGAACGAATGATGTTCATTCTCATGTTACGCATCACGTTTGAGCTTCTGCAAGAACCAATGAGGTTTGTTCTCTTGTGTCAAGCAGGATTGGTTGAGCTTCTGTTTATATTCGCTGATCAATGTTTAAATGTGAATAAAAGCCCAAATTTAATTTGTTCATCATATAAAGAGATCGAGTCTTCAGAAAAGTCATATGGATTCGTTTTACGATCTCTTTATGAACGTTTTGATGCGTCAAATTGGTAGTTGCGTAACTGTCAATGGAGGAACAGAAATCTCATTTTGTGTTCTGAAGATTTTTGGGTGAACTATGCCTTTAAGTTATTTTGCTTTAAGGATTTACATATATTTACTGGATGTATTTGTAGCCTACATTTATTTTATTTTTTTTTGTTGACAGTTTATCAATCTAAATCTCTTTCCCCCATGCCTTATCTATATGAGCCACCTGCTGGAACCCATAAAGTCAACCTGCTTTCATTTTTTAGAGATTACTATGAAATATAAACACAGAGAAAGCTCATAAGTATGTTTGCTGTGTACCGGAGGGCATGTCAGAGACAGCCAGGCTTGTATCAGGATGCTGATTTGAGCATTACAGTGAAGCGTGACAGAATGGGAAACTCGGCTTCCTGCTGACAACAGGTCACTTGACACTTTTGCACTCTGAAAACCTTTTGTAACTTTCAACCAACATGTGTGTGCTGGTGTGTGAATTTATGCCTCAATCTGAAGTACTGTGTGAACCTTTAGCGCAAAGACTTTCAGTTTGTGTCACCTGACAGAAAGAAGTAAAAGAATCTGCTATATGCACCTATTTCACTGAGGAAGAATGAGATTGTGAAACAACTACATTGCTCGGGTGCTCGATGTGGTTGACGTGACGACAATGTTTTATTGTCTCTGCAAGGTAAAATAAAAGCAAACCTTTGCATGCCACACACACTATTTGAGGCTTCATTCATGTCCATAGTTGGACAGATGCTTAAAAAAAGGCTTCTAATTTTCTCCTACAATAGGTTTATATGCATCCAAGGTCAAAAAACACTTTGATTTTCTCATAATATAGGCCTACATTGCAGTATCAGCTCTTTTCTCACAGTGTCTGAAACGGTTCGATAAAGGATTCATTCTTTCTTAACCCCTCCTTTCCGAGAGCCTGCTCTGCTCTGATTGGTCAGATGGCCCAGTCTGTTGTGACTGGTCGACCGCCAACAGTGCGTGTTGGAAACGAAGCGCCTATTACCATATCTGAATTTCAGCTCTTCCTCAGCACTGCGAACTGTAAAGATGGCATCGGTTTTACCACATCAATTCGAGTTCGAGTTTTCACCCTTTGGAAGTGCATTATAGTGGGTTTGCAGCTCAGAAACTGGGTGACATGTCGACAACACGCTACAACTACAGTGTTTGGGGAGGGGCCAATTAGACATTGTTTGTGAGCAGCCAATGAAGACCATGGGCCTGCATTATTCAAATGTGTTGACCTTTGCAACTTTTCAGACCTTTACATTCACAAACAGATATATCACACACTACATGAAAGGAAATATCTGAAAAAGGCACTTTAATATTCTGCTCGTGACTCTCTAGTAAAGCCTCAGCCGCAGCTCTGCTCTTCCTCTTTTAATCCATGTTCCTCTCTTACGTCAAGCCTATTGAACCTCCTCTCCTCACTCAGACTGACTAAAAATGGATATTTCTTCAGGAGCTGCAGCCTTAAAAGGTTCACATGCCTCTCTCACGCACTCTCTCGCTCATTTCATTCCTCTTGTTTTGTGTCTCAAATGTAGAAAATGTCTGAACAACTTCATTGTTTCTCTCAATGGTTTGGTCTGACGTCTGTCTACATTTCCCTTCTCTGTTTTGAAACACTTGTATAAACACGCCATGTTGTTTATTATTCTAAAAGTTACAAACGCCACTGTCAGTGGGAGGAACAATCAGGGGTTTTAAAGTCAGGGACTGTCACTTTCCACAAATACGGTCCCATGACTTGTCATAAAATGAATCAGCATGAAATGTTTTAAACAGTTTGCATCCTGTAAAAAATCCTTCCTCGCGGGTCAAAATGACTCGATGCCCTAAAACGTATTTATTTACTTTTTTGTCCAGAAAGCTTATGAGGTTAACCATTTTTCTATTTTTAATGCAAGTTTTTGTTGTATTTTTTTGTTTGTACCTTTAAATTACTAGATTTGATCAATAAATGATATAACACAACCTTCACATTCTTTCAACTTAAATTCAAAATAACTCTATATGGAGCAAATGAGCTGTTCCACTGGGTCCTGAAGTCAGTTCTTGAGTTTATCTAATCAGTATGCACTCAGATATGCATGTAGATATTATAAAACCCTTTTTGGTAAAGTCCAGTTTTAATTTTAAAGTCCCCATTAAAATCAAAATTGACCATAATTACTTTGTTTGCCTAAATTGATCGTTTTGTGGTGAACAATTCATACATGCAAGTCAATCCTCACACACAAAAAAAATTTGGCTTCGTAATCTTTAATCAAATTTTGAAAATGCCACTCCCCTCTGCATTGGAGGACCTTGCCCGATGACGTAGGCTTTACGGTTTGGGTGTCTCCTTAACATCCATAACCACGACCCTCCAACTGACAGCTGCTGTGTGTTTGCGAGTGCTGAGCGAGCATTGATTGACAGCGTGTGTAAACTTGCGTCATCCTCCATTTCAGAATCAAACACCCATTTTTCTAGATCCAATCATGTGCTGGTTGGAAAAAAAGCCATGCCCACTATTTTGCATCATTTAGTATTCCGTTTCTCTCAGAAATACATCACAATACTGGAGAAAGGTCGTAAGGATTTTTTAGGTTTTTCTATGTATACCAAAGCATTGCTCGCATTCCATTCATTACTAAGGGGGTCAAATTGACCCACGAGGGAAGGATGCGTTACTTTTTGTATTACACCCACATAAACAAGGGAAGGATGAGGGAACACAAAATGTTTGTATCCCTCACTTAATATTGTGACCTCCGAAAACATCTTAACCATCTTGACCATTCGATAGATAAAGTCAAAATGATGACGTTGTATGAGTTTAATTGTTAAATAAAGGATTTTAAACCATTTTAAATGTAATATTTTAAAGTTAATGGCCATATTTACTTTTACATTCAGGATTTATTGAAGGCAAAAATGAGTGCTGAAAAGGTGTGGAGAGTTATTTTTTGCAGCAGACCTTATTATGCATTTATACCAGTTTCCCTTTCAGAAAATGTACAGGAGGAGAGTGTTTAAATCAAGCACGCAACATTTTTTGTGGAAGTTAATTTACTGGTACCTGCGCTATTATTAATATTTTACTCATTTTGCACTTGAAGTGCTTCAATAGTTGTGCTTCCCTTGGTGAATTGTGTTGGTCATTATAGAAATGTGTTGTTCTTTAATTTGCAGTAGGTCAGCCTCTCCCAGCGCATGCTTTTATATGATTGCTGTCTCACACTAATTTGCCCTGTTTAATAAATCTGACCCTTAAAATGGTAATCCTCTTAGCAAATTAATAGAAAATTATATAATATTTACTTTTCCATTCTGAAATTGACAAGAAACATTTTATGAAGATAATTTCCTGTCACTGTTTGGCTGTTTGGTAAAAAAGACATTGTCATTTTTTTTCAGGGCTTTTTATTTACTGTACTCTATTTGCGTGGAAAGTTTACAGATCTGTTCACTAACAGTTTTTATTTGTCTCCCACAGTACATGTGGTCAAAATGGGCGCTGGGAATGTGAGGATCACGCCTGTCTGATAGAGGATGACATGATCCAAGAAATCAACGGGAGAGGTTACGGGTGAGCATCAGGATTCCATCTTAGTGCGTTACTACATAACCAGTGCACACATTTTCCTCTCTCCTACTCACTCTCTATCTTTTTTCTCTCCAGTTGGAGGGCAGCAAACTACAGTCAGTTCTGGGGAATGACCCTGGACGAGGGTCTGCGGTATCGTCTGGGCACACAACGCCCCTCACGGACCATTATGAACATGAATGAGATGCAGGTGAGAGTCATCTGCAGCCGTTCAGTGTCAAGACATCATCTATTAGTGTGAAAGAGACCGTTAGGGAAAGGGTTAATGTGTAGTCAGTCAACGTCATGTGTTATCCTGAAAGAGTTCACTTGGTCTTATTTTCCACTAAAAATAACTACACATTCTTAAAACAAGATACATTTGCTTGATTTCGGAGACCATTTCTTGAATTAGGTTTTTGTTATTGTTGTTTTACACACAAATATACAGAAATTTTGTGAGATTTACACAATCAAAAGTTTGGGTCAGTAAGATTTTTTCACTACTTTTGTTTTAAAGAAGCTTGTTTCTCACCATTTTCTCACACGGCTCTTACAAAACGTTTCTGAATGGTAATTTTCCTATATTTTTTTTTTTAACTTTATACACGTTTGTTTTACAAAATAGCATCAGATTGACTGGCTACTATACACACAAACAGCGTTGACATTGGTTTACGTTCTTGATCAAATCGAAAAATAACGTCATAAAATAACTTATACATGAAAAATACATTTACAAAATTAGTACACATACAAATTGAGGTCCAAAATGTTTGTACGCGTTTTGACGTCTAAAACCCAGCTGTAGTCCCAATCGAGTCGTTTTTGTAGGCATTAAACTTCCTGATTTTTAAAAGACGATATCTCTACTTACATTGAAAATTCAGCGCTGCAATTTTGCAGATAATGTTCATGCACCAACAGCAACATTACACACTATTTAAAATGAAAAAAGTGAAATCGCAATCAACCACCCCTTTAATGTCTTAGTGTTGCTTTTGATAAATGTAACCTGTTCTTGCTGATTAAAAGTATAATTTCTTTCACATTTTATTTTTACTGACCCCAAACCTTTGAACGGTAGTATGTGCTTAAAAATAGATTAGAAAATTTTAACTGCTTATTATTTTAGACAAAAACAAAAAAAAAAATGTTTAGATAAAAATGCTGATTAAGTATTTGATTTGCCATGTTAAATATGTATTTATTTCAAGGCTACTTACTAAATAAATAAATGAACATAGAACATTAATTTGAGTTGAAGCTTGGCCAGAATGCCACGACTGACCAGCCATAATCAAGCATGTAGATAATCCCTTTATGCCCATCGACGGCTCTCTGATCATCGCTCTCACGCTCTGTGCAATTGTCTTCTGTGTAATGCAGTGTGCTAGGAATCAGCAAAGCAAGAATAAGAGAAGGATGCAGAAATCAGACTGTGGTTTGATCTTTACTGTGATCAGCGGGTGTCAGTGCAGTGTGGTACAGTGAATGTCCGTCTAGATGTGTGTTATTTGATGTGGCTCACTGAGGCTTTCACTTTCTTTCTGTGTATTAATGCTCCGGTTACGTGCTATCGGAAGTGTACTTCCCACTTCTGAAGTTGTGATTACGGTTCGTTGCTCAGTGCTTTGTTGTCTGAAAGAACAGGAATCCTGGAGGACACAATTTTTTTTCTTGTCTATTTTTCGTAGTTTTTTTGTTTTTTTTTAGTTGTCAATTCACAACATACAAATGCGATACCCTGGATGGTACAATACATCCCATACAATATACATGTCCATCACTCCCTTAAAGCCTTTATATTGTCCATAGAGAAAAGTAAACAGATAAATATAGCCAGCATAAGCTTCACAGTACATAGGTATTATGGAATATACATTTGGATGGGGGACCACTGGTCCCTAAATAGATCCGTTTTCATCTCAATCTGAAGTCCCACTGAACTTAGATGTGATAAATGGGCTCCTAAAGAACCTTACTTTGATTTTCCACTTAAATTCGCTCAGAATTGGACTACTTGATATTTTATGCCGCTCTTGAAACATTTGTTCCCATTCTTCGTGGAATTTTTTAATTAAGCCAAATTGATATTTAGTGTCCCATTCATTGACAACCATATACACATTCACTGTAATAATATATAGATGCAATGATTTTTGTCAAATACAGGCTATTTCCGTTGTGTATAAAATATGCTTAAAAAAATCACTCATATGTAAATATGCTCTAATTTAACAATTTTGTGACAAGACGATGTAAAGAATGCCAGTCACACACAGCAGTTGTTCTCCCCTCCGCCATGTTTAAAGTTTATAGCTCAATTGTGGCGGTCGTGACCAAGAACAGGTAGTGGACAGATGATTAATTTTGTTCCAGCAAAAGAACAAAAGAACAAAATAATATACAGGGGCAGATTTAACAAAGAACATTTCCAAACAAAGTCCATACAAAAATCAAAGACTTAAGATGGAAGTTAACTGAAACAACAAGTGACAACAAAACACTCAGTCAGGTCACTGTGACCTTTTTACTGTGGCTGGACAACTCTGACTAACGCCCAATGTTGGATGTAACTAATTACTAAGTAATTAGTTACTGTAATTTAATTACTTTTCCCTTGAAAATGTATTACTCTTCATTTATCTGTAATTTAATTAGAGTTACTTCTGATGTAATTGAGGTAAATACTGTGTATAGATCAATCCGATCTCACAGCGATTCGTATGCATTTTATGAGGTGTCTAAATTGTACGACCACACTCGGACAAATTTGTATGAATTATTGTAAAGTATGAAAAAAGTGTGAAATGTCTTGAGATTAGACATAAAACAATAGTGGGTTTAACATCAAAATGTATTGTCTGATGTTAAAAAGTGTGTTTTATTAATGTAACCTTCTCAACCTTGGTCAGTTTAAGGATAATTCATGCAATTTTGTAGTATTTATTTGAAAGAATTAAAACAGATTCATGTCTATCCTTGTATTATTCAGCTGGTTGAGATTGATATGGGATTTTGAAAGTAATTAGTAATTAAAAGTAATTAAATACTTTTTAGATAGAGTAATTAGTACAGTAATCTAATTACACTGTTGAAGAGGTAATTAGTAACTAGTAATTAATTACTTTTTCAGAGTAACTTAGCCAACACTGCTAACGCCTAGTCCACACGTACACGTACTCTTATAATCAGAGTTTGTCCTCCTTCGTTTAAAAAAAAAAAGTCGTCCACACAAGCACGGTTGTCCGTCCATGAAAACCCAACAACACGCTAGGAAGCGTTGTCAAGAGCATTCCAAACCAACAGGTGGCGACATAACCCCAATATTTATATTTTTTGTATTGTATTATTTGTAATATTTTGGATTTAAATAAAGTAACAAAAACATAAAATTAAACTTGTGTAAACCATGGTAGACACCAAATATGTGAGGTGGGCTATGTACCCATCACACCGCTCAATTCGGGAGCTTAGGTATCAAGAGTATCCCAGAGGTAATTACGACTTGAGAGGGCGTTCATGTCCAATTTTTACCGAGGACACTCATATTTACGAGAATCATCCAAAACAAGGGCCAGAGCAAGTACTCTCAAGTACTCAAAAAGTACATTGCGTAGATGTTTTTATATTCAAAAGCGAACTATACGAAATCAGATACTAGTAACTCTTCAGCGGATATTCCTTATGATATCAACTAAAGTGTCCTCTACAACTACAGTGAAGACCTTTCAAGCGTCCACAGCTAGGTGTTTTCAGAAGAGCGGCTGGTTAAAAACACTTTAGACGCTTTTTAAAAAACTTTTAAGACCCTCACCAAATAGGGGTCCATACCCATATCTTCCTCCACTTCCCCTTTTCTCTTTACTCTCCAACACGTCTCCACCTGTCAAGCCTGGGCCATATATGAAGCCTCTATCTGCCTAAAACCCACACTAATGAGTGGACTGAGTGCCGCACACACTTTACTTTCTCATTGGTGTTTTGTCTTTGCTTGGTGGGATTGCTCCCGTACCCCATCGGGTCAAGTGTTGCTGCGAGACGTTGCCCTTCAGGGGCCCTTTAACCACCACAATTCACCACTGCACAGGCGGTCACTTGACAAGCATCTGCATTCCAGGGATCATATCTGCGAGTTGTCAGGGAGAATCATGACGATATCACTGGCTGGAATGTAGGAGGACGGCAACAAGCTGCGGTGCCTTACCAAAGACGGTGAGGCACACAAGTGCTAATGCATTCCTCATCCAGGACATTCATAATCTTTGGGATGCAAAATATGACGCAGGAATTCTGGGGTCTTATAGATTTGGGAGATGTAAGACAAGCATCACAGAGTTAAAATTCCAAGAGTTAAAAATCATGAGTGGATGGCTAATCACAGGTGTGACTTTTCGCAGCTTTATTTTGTACTTGATCTACATCAATACACTGACTAGATGTGATGAATGCATAAAGTCATTTAATTCAGAGACCCTCCCTTCGATGAAGTATGATCACGGGAGATTATTTACCATTCAAAGGTTTGGTGTCAGTACGATTTTATAAATACTTTTTTCTGTCAGAACCACTATTAGCATTCAGTTAGGATTGGTGGTATGGTAAACAGAATATCAGATTTCATTAATACGTTTTCCGTACAACATAATTAGAAGATTTTAGTCTGATTCAGGGGGAATCAATGCTAAATCCTGACTGAGGAGAGGAGGAGCTGGGGAGGGAGGAGGGAAGCGGCTCCTGAGAAACGTGATAATATTGAAGGAGCTTATACATGTATACATGATAAGCGTCGTATTCCTATTGGTAGATATGGATCAGCTGATGCATCGACTAACCTGACATGCCAGAACTGACGCCACGCTTAATCAATCCATCAAGTATGCATTAAATTGACCAAAAGTGTTAATAAAGTTTCAAATAAAGGTACTTTTTATTCATCAAAGAATCCAGGAAAAAAAATTGATGAAAAATAAGACTGGAGTGATGATGCTGAAAATCAGGATTGGATAAAAATAATGTAATATTTTAAAATGGAAAACTGTCATTTAAAATTTTAATAATATTTCACAATATTACTGTATTGTAAATGGGAATGTGTGTCCGCAGACCACTTGTTATCGCATCACCTGAGACAGATATTAAAACCGGGTATAAAGTGAGCCTTTGTAATGATGAAGGATATTACTGGGATGTTTACTTTGACTTTTTTATTATTGATGGAACAGAGAAAAAAATGATTTCCTAGAATTTCCAAAACCCAACAAAATTAATGAATTATTTTAAAACCACACTAACCACATTATTTTTCTCCTGTAAACCTTGGACTTCGGAGACTCAGACAGCCTCATTCATCTACTGGCACTGTGAAAGAGAACACATATGGAAATAATTGTATTGTGCCACCAAAATCACTCATAATCACATCATGGATGAATTTATGGAAAAAAAAAATTCTGTGTTATCCACATCTTCTATGCCAAATTGTACCATTAACTCGGAAAAAAAACATTCAATCTTGCGTTATGTTCTGCAGATGAATATGAATGGAAACGATCATCTGCCAAGTAACTTCAATGCAGTGACAAAATGGCCAGGGAAAATCCATGAGCCATTGGACCAGGGAAACTGCAATGCATCCTGGGCTTTCTCAACTGCAGGTGAGAGTCAAAACATGACACGGACCACAGCAGAAGAACACTTCAGAGTACAGTGATGTGTGTATATATAAACCTGCTAATGCAGTTCACCTGTCCTGTCGCTCATATGTGATTCACTCCTAGCTGTTGCATCAGACCGGATCTCGATTCAGTCAATGGGTCACATGACCCCTCAGCTCTCGCCTCAGAATCTGATCTCCTGTGACAAGCGTCATCAGGACGGGTGCGCCGGGGGGCGTATCGATGGGGCCTGGTGGTACCTGAGGAGAAGAGGGTAATTCACTGCATGTTTTACACACTGCATCTAACCTAAGCAGTTCATCTTACAAATCAAATGGTGTGCATTTGACAAATAATACTTTAACTTTGACATGTTACAGTGTTTTCAACAGCGATAATTATAAGAAATGTTTCTTGAGCAGCAAATCAGCATATTATAATTTTTCTGAAGGATCATGTGACCCTGAAAATTCAGCTTTGATCACAGGAATAAATTACATTAATGTTTTTACTGTATTTGTTATCAAATAAACATAGCCTTGGTGAACATAAGAAATAAGACTATTACTGTATTGTAATCAAATTAATGCTGATGAATAAGTCAGAAAATTGCATATGATAAAAGCCCCTAAATGAAAATTTAAACATTTGATTATTACAAAAAGTGGCTTTAAAGGTCAGTATATTAAATGTTATGTTAAACGTATTACTAACTTGAATTGCTCTAAAAATAGTATTAATGTTATTTGATGCCAGGTTTATTATCTGTGTGTGTGTTTCTGTCAGGGTAGTGACTGAGGAGTGTTACCCCTTCTCCCAGCAAACCCCCGATGAAGTGGCTCGCTGTATGATGCAAACTCGAGCGGTGGGCCGGGGGAAGAGGCAGGCCACAGCGCACTGTCCCAACAGCCACAGCTACCACAATGATGTCTATCAGTCGACCCCTCCGTACAGACTGTCCTCCAATGTAAGTCACCTGACCCCTGGAATCAAGATACACTGCAGAAAAGGACAATAGTCTTATTATCTTACATAATAGAGGGAATGCATTGACGTCACTTTCCCGCCGGAACAACCCCCCTCAGCCTGACTGAGTGGCAAAAGATCTGCTGCGTGACTGGATTTAATAGGGAAAACTGCGAAAATGCGACTAAAACGAACAATTTTATCAATTTAAACGAAATGTTGGACTCAATATAGTGTTCCTTACAACTTACTAAAGATCCAGTGATCCGTGGATATTGACATGCAGCCAGGAATCGTGTTGCCTGACATTTATGTTTGCCTGATTTCGACACCGGGGAAATAAAAGACCTAAACATAAAGCAAAAGTGCTTTATATAAATACAATAGGCCTATAGGTAGGTCTAAATCCGGGTGATCACTTATATCAGTGTTATATATAGCCTATATCATCATATTGTCCACCCCTAAAACTTTATAGTTTTTTTTTTTTTTTTTTGAGAATTGCAGCGATCCATTTGCTCCTCTTTCTATAGCAGTCTGTAAAAATATACCTCCGATTTTTTTGTCAAATCTATTTGTACAGTCAATCAATCGCAAAGCTCTTTCCCATTTTATGTGTTGTGTTTGTTTTTCGCGGCATTCATGCTGAAAACAAATACAGCCCAGCTCAGTCTTTTTGCCACTCACTGTGAGACTGCAGACACTCCTGCCGACGGTGACATCACGCGCATACCCTCTATAGACCATTTTGTCAAGATGTAAACAACACTGGTCCAGAAGCACTTCCTGTTTCAGTTTTTTAACACTACATAAAATCTGGGATAAAATACAACCAACAGAACATTTAAAACTGAATCAAATAGTTAAACAAACATCTTTAAGATGTTTTCTTTACATGTGAAATAAAGAAAACAGTTACAAACTGAAACAGGAAGTGTTTCTGGACCAGTGTTGTTTACATCTTGCAAAATGGTCAATACTGTAATCGTTTTTATTTTAAAGAGGACCTATTATGCCCTTTTACAAAGTTGATTTTTAGGGTCTACTAGAATAGGCTTCCATGTTTGAATGTTCAAAACACATTATTTTTCCCATATTCTCCATTGTGGCAGCTCCTCTTTTCCCAGTCTCTCAGTAAAGCTCTGTTTAGTTCCTGTCTCTTTGAAGCCCCTCCTTCTGAAAAGCACACTGTGCTCTGATTGGTCGCCTGGAGCGTGTTTGGGAAATGTCCCGCTCCTTACCTTAACCGCCAGTATCAACACACTACTATAGGCGCTTTTCCACTGCATAGTACGGTACGGTTCGGCTCAGTACGCTTCGACTCGGCGCGGAACAGTTCGGATCGCTTTTCGTTTCCACTGCAGTAGTACCCCTTCAAAGTGTGTGGGACTGATCGTTATTTGCGCGCCTCTACTGCCATGACATCATCTTAAAAGCGCCACATTTTCAAACCCACAACACAGGAACAATCGAGACTATCGAGGGGATGGTGTTCCTGATTCTCGGTATGTGGTTGTTTTTAACTGCTAGACGGAAAAATGTGTTTAAAATGAGGCTGATGGCAGCAAAACAAAAATACTGCTAAAAAGTGTCTCGTGTCGCAAATCCAATGATGCTAGTAGTGACGCTGGTAGTGACGATTCTGTCTGACCAATCAGTGATCTGCAGTGTTTCACGTCACATTTTAGTACCGGTACGGTACGCTTGCAACCTCAACAGACCAGGTACCATTTAAAGCGTCCTGAAGCGAACCGTACTGTACCGTACCATGCAGTGGAAAAGCACCACAAGTGAGACGTACCGAACCGAACCGTACCGTACTATGCAGTGGAAAAGCGCCTTAACTAACTCAACCAGGCCCCGCCCCTTTATTCTGCATATGGGCGGGGATTATTTAAATGAGGAATATTGTGACATGTTTGTTCCCGGAAGAAAACTTTCGTTTCAGGGAGTTCAGAAACACTGATATAGAGAATAACTGTCTTTGAAATGACTTTGTTTTTCATGCAAAAACAGCAACGTTACACACTAAAGAAAGTTGACTATGTAAAAAAGCATAATAGGTCCTCTTTAAAACAAGTTTTATGACATCTAACATGTTCTGACTCTCAATAAAACACACAGACCTCTGCCTGCATAATACCAATGGTTAAAGCATCAGTGATTTACTGGTTTTTCACTCGCACCCAGTCAAAGCCAAAGGGAAGAATAATTCACAACTGTCTGGAGAGGCATTACATTAGCAGTCATGTCATGGTTGAGTGTGTTCTCCTTGAGCTATATCTTACCACACATTTGTCTCTCTTTATGCATAGTTTTCATTATGTCTCCAGGCGTGTTTTGGATTGTATATCGGTCACAGATGTGACAAAGGAATGTGGTGAACAATTAAACAATTCTTCGTAGTAATACGTGAAAGGACGACTGTTTATTATGTGCATTTACCCAAGCGTCTTAATACTGCTCATATTTAATTTCATAACATTATTCACTGTCAGTTTATACCGTATGCAGCATTATTCTCACTAACTGAACTCACTTGACATGTTGATTCTGCTTTTCCACTCACAGGAGAATGAGATTATGAAAGAGATTATGGATAATGGCCCTGTGCAAGGTATGGATTTCTCCAGAAGTGTGTGTCTGTGTGTGTGTGTGTGCGCTTGTCCAATACTGTGAGCCAGAGGATAAGAATAGTAAAAAGCTCATGCCTAATAACTGTTAATGCAGTCAGCAACGATCAATCTATGTCGTATTAGTCACCATGGATGTTGTAGACGCCCAAAGAGAACTTAGTTTGGACAAAAGGCCTAAACTCATCATACATGCAGTGAATTCTTAGAAAAGTCCCCTAGGGTAATATGACAAGGGTGTGTGTGTATGTTCTTGTTTAGTTCGAGCTGTTCCATGATCCCGTGCCAGTGTTCTGTTGTATTGTTCCAGACAGGAGGGAACCCTGGATTTACGCCAGATTTCACTTCTAATCTTGGCAAAAATTCTGCCTAACCTCTGGCTTATATTGAGAAAAAGGAGATGAAAAGATCTTCATGTGAAGGACTGTGTGTGTGTGTGTGTGTGTGATCATTAGGCTCTGTTTACTGCTGAGGATCTCCTAGTAATGTCTGGAAAAACCCAAAGTGTGAGGAGGTGCAGGGAATTCCCATTGAGCTTTACACATTGAACATTGAGCTTTATTGGTTTTACTTCTCACGCCACCAGGGTCGTCCTCGAGAGGGTTGCGACAGGTACCCACCCATAAAAGTTTTGTCCCAGGCCCTCTGAGTTTAAGCAGTTGTCTTTATGCCACATGAAGTTGAGCTCTTTTGAACTCCTACAATTAGCAGGAGCGACTTTGATCTCACTTTTATCTGCTAGGGAACAAGATGTTTGGGTGAGCGTGTGGAATATTACATAACTGGGCTTTTGAAAGCAACCATAGTGTTTCCTGACTGTGAGTGATAAGAATGAAGGATCAGCTTTTAAATATTGATTCAATGACGTACCGTATGAAGGTCTGTACTACTGTAATTTGCCTTGTATGAATTAAAACTGTGCATAATGGGTTTGTGTTATGTTTGTTTCCCCCTCTCTAGCCATCATGGAGGTCCACGAGGATTTCTTTGTGTACAAGAGTGGAATTTACAGACATACAGATGTCAATTATCACAGACCGTCACAGTACCGCAAACATGCAACACACTCTGTCAGGATAACAGGGTAAGTCCCAGCATTGTGTATCTCTAATGGAAGCAAGAGGAATTCATTTTTGGCAGCATATCAAAAAAAAAAAAAAAAAAAACTTTAACAGTTATTATTGTCTGACACTGCTTTCAGTTGCTTCTTGCTGATGTTCATGGGGAACATACTAATACTATTTTTAGCATGATTGCTGCTAAAGACACATTTATATATACATACACATACACTGAGCAGATTTTTACCATTTCTTTTTGGGTGCGAGTTGAAAGTTCTCAGGAGTAAATATTCCAGTATAACATCCTTACATTAAGATCAGTGTTGTGCAAGTTACTTCCAAACTGTAATACATTAGGTATTACTTGTTACTGTTATTTAAAAGTAATTCATTACCTTACAATATTACTGTCCCGGAATTGTAATGCGTTACATTACTCATCTATTACTTTTGAGTTACTTTCACCAAAATAACTAAGTAGAACTTAACTTTTGGGCTGTAACGATATGCAATATGAAATCGAAATCGCGATTCGCCACACGACTCACGAACCTACAGAATCGCGACACACCTCTTCCAACTCCAGCGTTATTCTCCTTACCGTCCATATCCAATGCTGCCTTATCTTTAAATTAGGCTATTAGTATTATTTGAAGTTAACATTATAAAATACGTAGACCTACACCACAAAACTAGTTGAGGATAAATTATTTAAAATTGGGAAAGTCCAGCATTATGGACATGACATTTGCAGTCAAAACTTGAAATAAAAATTCACAGAAAATACATGTATTGAAACGTATATAGGCTACTTCCTTAAAGGTCTCCAGACATTAGACAAATATCAGTCTATGTTTTATTTTTAATATTAGGGAAAAGACACACATTCATGCGTGACAAAACAATAGGAGGTAAAATATATTTTTTTGTAATTCTGTTAATTACACTGCGCAAATCGGATGAGGAAGGGTTGGCTCTCCAGCCTCCATAGAACTTAAAATATTCATTTTATTTTAGTTTTCGTGTTCGCATTTATGAGGAAAAAACAATGTTACAGACGGGACCGCTCTGAACTGGCACTTAAAGACTGCTTTAAAACTTTCACATAGTCTGTTGCCTTTAAGAAGTAAAATCAGACAATACACTGTAATACAACTGTAATACAAGCCTCACTAAACATGTAACAAGTAAAATATTACTGAAAATTGATTAGTAATGCCTTACACTACTGCGTTACAGCAAAAAGTAATATGTTACTGTAATGTATTACTTTTGTAATGCGTTACTCCCAACACTGATTAAGATAAATTTACATAAGAAGCTAAAAAAAGTAAAATATTAAGACTTTTTTGAAAATGTTTCTCGAATTCAACTTATTTTCTTCATTTACCTCATCAAATGTTGCTGATTTATGCTAAAAGAGTTAAAACAAAATGCCAATGGGTAAGAAAAATAAATAGCATTTTTCTAACGCCATTGGCATATTGTTTAACCTACTATCTACTTTCCACATTCTTCACCATCATGGCCCTGAACTGACTTGCCTTGAAGGGACTATTTGAGACAAACTCTTTTAGAGAGACATCAAGGCCTTTCAGACATGTTTTTCTTTGTTGCTAGCAGACAAAACACCTGGATAACTGGCCTATTCCAGTCCCACCGCCAGACACTCGCACCTCAAACCTTTGTCTGCTTTTGCACATTCCTGTGTAACACACCCTAATAGCACTGCACAGTGATTCTCAACTAGCCTTTCTCCAACAGAATCCACGAAAATAGCTCTCATCAATTACCAATCATTCACTCTTGAAGAATTCAACATTCACATCAAAAAGATCTAAAATATTCAGAGTAACATTCATTTTACTTTGTCATGACAAGTTTGTCATGAGGGCGATTATACCATAGACGAGATAGATGCTGATATGTACTTGGCTTTCGCCAAGGTAAGTACAAACTAAGACGTAGCTTTACGGTAACCTATGCTTTACGCTGCTTTTCATATGGTGGTGTGAATCTCCTTCTGTCCGGCATTAACGTCTGCAGTGTATTTGGATTGGATTCTGGATTGAGCCGAGTACAGGACATCTCTAGGGTAGAGGCCTTCAAGGGTCCGAAAATTCATGCCCGGACCGGAAGAGACCCGTAATGTGCTACACCAAACTGACCCGGATCCGGATTGGTTTACATGTATATAACTAACTTACAACTAAAATGACTTTTTTATTTCAAAAGTTGGACCCGGACCTGTGCAGATCCGAGAAATTCCATAAATGTACTGTCACTGTCGGACCTGACCTGGACCCGTCTATTATTTCAAAAGTTGGACCCGAACCCGGCGGGAAGACACAAACTCAACTGGACCCGATTGTCACACATTGCGAAAAATACAACGTTTTGTCTTACCTAATTTTAGCAGTCGTCGTCTCACTTCCTTGTAACGTTACCTGACTGACTGTGATGCATTACAATCCACCGACAAGAAAGTTCTATCCATGTTATTTCTCTCGTTATTCCAAGCTTAATCCACTCATTATTTCAGCTTTAAAAGTCACACTTGATGTCATGGTGATGGATGACATTCTGACTCGAGTTAACTTGCATAATAACTAAACCGTTTGCCCTTTTGAACTATAATAACGATTGCTCGATCAGCGCAATAGCCACTGACGTTATTTATTTGCTATCATATCTGGGCTCACTGCTCTGCATTGAGTCTGAATCTGACCACAACAAATTTAAGATTAAACAAGACGGTTCATTTATATTATTATAAAAATGGGAGAAAATGTAAAGCGCGGTTTGGTGGAAGTTCTGGTTGCCATAGAAACAAACATGACACTCGCTTGAGACTGCACTCCAATTGCATGGGTAATACTCACAATGTTAAACAGACCCGGGACCCGAAGTAATAGATTCAGACCCGACCCGGACCCGGCTGATCATTTAAAATATAGATCCGGACGCGGGTCCCAGGTCGGGTGCCGGGTCAACGGGTCTCGGGTGCACTGTGAAGACCTCTACTCTAGGATCTTAAAGTGGACACCTTCCGTCCTCAGTGTTTCGTCGACTAGCTCAAGACACCTCAAGAGGGCTCGACAGTGACTCTGAGTCACCCCCCTCCGTCCCCCCCTCAACTCAGCCCAGCTTACTGACCTCTACATCTCTCCAGCTGCTAAGATTGCTACATCCTTGTAGTTCACATGTGACCTAACCACTATCTCACAGTCTCTCTGCGACCCAACCATATGCGCCAACCCGTCTTCATTAAAGCAGTTTCAGTGGCAACAGTTCCCTATGGCATACTACCTACCGCAAAACACAATTCATACTTTGCACGAGATGTCACAAGTACTGGCTGGTGGGCAAGAATGCCGGTCTCCAGCAACGAAACCCAGTAAACTAGTCAAGGATCTTGCCATGGCGTCGCCAGTTTTTATACAAAAGTTGTTGTTTCGAGGTGTAAATGACACAACCCAGATAGTTTGTGAGATTGGTTGCACTAACCAGATGAGATAAGCAACCTTCACAGTATAACGTTACACGTCTCTGCAGTGATCATTCCATCACTCAAGGTCATTTCAACATTTGCTTGAATGCAGTGGGTTTATGATCATGTAATTAACCGTGTCTTTAAGTTAACCTGTAGTTTCGTCAATCAATGCCACCAGCTAGTTCGGCGAGTCGGTGAGGCTAATAAACTGTAAGTTCACATCACCGCCGTGAGAGTGGAAAAATTAATTGAAACATGAATGACTTCTGGGCACTTTGATGCTCTCTCTGGTGGCGGTGTAAACGCAGCTGTCGTATTTTGCTAACAACAACAAAAGTGCATGATAGGTTGTTTTGAGGTTAGTGATATCTATGGTTTTCAATGAGAACAGTAGAGCTAGATTGTTTACGGAGGAATTATTACTGCTCAATTATCTAAAAAAAAACCTTGTCTGCTTTACACAATTTAACTACTTTCACCTTGGAGTTAATCCTAGTCCATAGTTATGCAGCTAGCTCGCTAACAGACTTGATAGCTACTAGAAAAACTAGAAGGACTCTACATTTAAAATACCCATTTGTTGCCCGCCAGGCATCCATGGTAGTCATGTGACTGCAAAGTATGAATATCTGCCCAAACACCACCCCCATTCAATATACACTGGAACGTAATAACTGTAATTACTATTCAAACTATACAAATAAACCAACAGACAAGAATTCTTCAAAACCGTAGCGTGGCGGCCTGAACACAGCCAGCCAGAATCTCTCCGTCTCAACCACAGCCAGTTGCTGCTCCTCTCTACTGCTTCAGATAAGTTCTTTACTGTGCGACACAACTCTTGGCCACTGAAGCCGACGTCTCTGAGGAACCGGGTTGTAGAATGAGCCACAAAACCTCGACAACCCTCTTCCACTGGATAAACCCGGACTCTCCATCCTCGCTGTTCTGCTTCAGCGGCCAGATCCCCAGCTTCTTCCTCTCATATCCCGCATCTACAGCATCCACTGTTAACATTTTTGCATTTCTATCACAAAGAAGCAATTCTCAGACAAATGTGCCTCTTGATGTGCTCTTGGTGTTTCCCCGACTGATAGTGTAGTTCCCGAGGGTCAAGTCATGTTCTCCAGGTACGTCTCTGGTAACCTGGTCTGACCCGCCGCTGGTGTCTGTGAGTGTGACATGCTTCACTGGTGACGGCGAGTCTGTCTGAACCCCGGCTTTTCTCCCGGCCACTCGCTGACGCTGCGGTTCTCGCGCTGCTCTAGACGTTCAGAGGACGCTGTATAGGCCTGTGGAGTTAACATACGGGGGACAGCGGCAGTGTTTTTACGGGGAAATCCCACCGCGGTGCATTCGGCTAAGCCCGGGTCCTGGGAAAGTTTGTGGAAAGCTCATTGATGTCCAGTGTAATGGAAATGGCATTGTTCAATGCAGACAGAGAGGCCTAAACCCAGAACAGGTCAGAAGCAGTGGTATGTCTGTTATTGTCCAAAGCCAAGGACAGAACACATGGTGAGATAAGAGTGTACAGAGGTCTGAGCTGCTCCAAACACAGTCATTGGTTCTGGCCCTTCAACTCTCCCATGTATGTTGACGAGGGCACATTGCTTTTTTTAGGTGATTTTGTTTGTTGTCTGAGTGAATACCGATTCCCCTCTGTGGGCATGGAAAGGCAGATAAGAATTATTTTGGAACAGAATGATACGTTCCCGGGTTTGATGGAAAACATCCCTTAGAAAAGATGAGGACTAAACTATATTTATTCCAGACTTCCCGAAATACAAATAAAGGCCCCTTGATGCATGTAGTGATCGACAAGCTGAATATTCTCAACTCAGATGAAAGGGTCCTGAATGGGTCAGCGGAGAAGCAAGAGGAAGTTCTTGGCATGGTGAAGGTTCAACCCATTGGGTTGTTGTTGACTTGAGGAGATGTAAGGGTGTGTGTGTGTGTGTGTGCTGTTTCCTGATGCTCACGTCCTTCCTCTGAGAAGTGGACACAATTAACCCCATCAGGAGAACATGTCCATGTATTTTGGTGTTCAAAGAATTTTTTAGCCTAATGTTATTTGTTTTATGTTTAACTGCTAAAATATTCTCATCTTGTTTTCCAGTAAAAGCATCCTTAAATTAACATAAAAGGTAGCTGTCATGTGGAGCATGAGCTTTTTTTGAGAACAGTGTATGTTAAATGTTTACAATTGCTGTACTCCTTCATCAAGTGCTATGCTATACTAATGCTATCGATTAGCAAAGTAGCATTTTTAAAATTAGCTGGTTAAAGCTAGCCAAGTTTCCACTACTAAAAATATTCAAGTTGAGAATACATGGTATTTTTTAGTTGCATGTGAATAAGCTTACTCAAATATTTAAAGTAAAGAGCAATTGAAATGTATGACCTGCAAGTTCTGCTTACTTAAATGTTACCTTAAACTGATTACATCAAATTATTTGAGTTTTGCCAACTTTTTTGGGTTTACAGTGTATTGATAGATTTATACTACATGAAATAAAACCATTTGCGGTAACACTTTATTTCGATAGTACATTATAGACATTCAACTAAATATAAGTAACTTTTCAACTACATATCAAGTTCAACTAACTGTCATTAGAGTATTAGTAGACTGTGAGCTCAATATCTGCTAACACTTTCCAACAGACATTCAACTGACTATAAGTAACTTGGCGACTACAAGTAAACTTATTCTCCTAACCCAAAGCCTAACACCTTAACCATAACCATAACCAGTCTACTATAATATACTAAAACTCTAATGAAAGTTTGTTGACATGTAGTTGAAAAGTTACTTAAAATTCTAAAGTGACTAGAGTAACCTAATTTGCCTACTGTATGTTGTAAGAAAAGTCAAATTGTTTATAAAAATATTATTATATTATATTTTTATAGAGTTGAAATATTCGTCACTGCTAAAATCAATAATATCACCTGTTTTGCGCTAAAAAATACATTTAAAATCAGATAAATCTGCACTTTCTCTTCCCTTTCTCCAAAAAAATGATTCCTATTCTTTAGGACAAGGGATTTGAATACTAATGTTTAGTGAATGCACAATAGCACGTTGATACTTATTGCACTTTTTCAGATGGGGGGAGGAGAGCGACTACAATGGGAGAACACAAAAATACTGGGTGAGAACTGATATCCATCTGATGTGCTGTTTTATTTCCAGTTCAAATGCAGCTTTTACACATTTTTGCCCATTTTTCACTACAGATTGGAGCAAATTCATGGGGGAAGAACTGGGGCGAGGACGGTTACTTCCGCATCGCTCGTGGTGTGAACGAGTGCGAAATTGAGACGTTTGTGATCGGCGTGTGGGGCAGAGTCACCATGGAAGACATGCACAACCATCATCGTCATCACGGCCGGCGCAAGTAGAGATCTGGAGATCTGCAGAGGGCTCTCTGTATGATTTAAACCACAGTCAGTCAGGTCTTGTGAGGGTTTGTTAGAGTCTGTTTTCCACCAAACTGACCAAACCCCAGTGCCTTCTGAATCTCTTTTCACACCGAATGCATACACAGTGGTGTGTCCACTGCCCCCCTCTGTCCAAATACACATCTCCACTAAAGGTTTGGTTCCTTTTGGTGATTAGCAGGAGGAATGTAAAACTCAAATTTGTGTATATGGCAAATATCGTCTTATTGGTGGAAACCGGCTTGTTACACTCCTTGACTGGACCTCATACAGTATAACAAACAGCCACAGGTCTCAGACGCTCTCAGGACTCAGTATCCAAAGACACACTTCACAAGCACACACACGCTCAGCATCATAATAGAACTATCTCAAATGTCTAATGTAGTGAGATTCGGATGAGTCTTACAGTATGTTTTGTGTTTTTCCGTACATTATGCACTCCATACATCCTGCTAAAGGAATAGAGGGATAGAGGAAGACCAGAATGGGGGAAGAAGAAGGTTTTTAGGACCAATAATTTATTTAAAAAAATCCCTAGATTAGATTTGCATTCCATTGAGATTAAGGTTGTTTAAATGTTACTTTTAAGTATTTTAAGACATACAGAACCACTCTTGTCTATGTGATGCTGAACAGATACAGGCCGCTTTGTTTTCACAATTCAAAACTGTTAGTCACTCTCAGTTTAGTAATTAGAAGCCACGGAATAAAAAATACTTTTTTTCTCACATCATTTTTTCAGAGTTTATAATTCACAATTGCAAAAGTGAAGAAATAAAGTCAGAAGTGTGGATTGAGTATATATCTCACAATTGTGAGAAATAGTCAGAATTGTGAGTTATAAATTTAGAATTATGGGGAAAAAAGTCACAATTTTCTTATTTATTATCACATGGTTGATATATATCGTGGCCATGGATTAAGAATTTGTTCTCTCTTTAGTAAATTGTGGAAACTAATTAATTTGCACCACGGTATGCATATTTTTTCCACGCATATCATGTGCAGGGCTTCGAAGAAAACAAACCTAAAGAAATGTTTTATTTTTTACATGCTATTAGACCAAAAAATGACCTCCAGTTATTGTAATTTTAAATGACTCTTTAATCCTCAAGAATTACGTTGGCTGGAAGTGGGTTTGGTCATGAAACCTGGAGCTTAGTGCAAATATGCAAAGGCTAAAACAACCAATGGTTTATCACCAAGACCTTGTTTGAAACTTTACATGTGTTGGCTATATTGCGCTGGAAAAAATGATATATACAGTATATATATAAAATACCACAGATTCAGTGTATTGATCCTGCTCTCGAGTCTTAAGCTATTGTACTCTGTCAACTAAGATTGTACACAAACATTGACATAAACATTATTTTTTGTTCTCGTGTCTGTTTTGTTGAATTATTTAATTGACTACTATGACTATTTAAAGAAAAAGAAAAATCTTAAATGTAAAAGAGGGCAAAAGTGAACATGGGTTTGAGTACAATTCTGAATTACTGTTTCGCTACTGTATGTAAATCAGGCAAAACCACAATATTACAAGACCGCATAGAGCATGTTTGCTTCTCAGTTATCCATCTACACATAAATGCAGATTAGCGTGTTAATAAGCGTGAGACAGATATTGCTGCTTGGGCGTAAAACACAGCAGACTTTATTATCATGCATGCGCCAGAGCTCTGAGCAAACCCATCTGCTGACTTTGATAATGATAATGTCATTATTATGGTGACATGACTAATTCAAAAGACTTATGACAGGCGTTTGATTCAGTAATTCGCTCTCATAGACAGGAAGACTTTCAGGAAGTCTCAGTATAATTTCAGCAACAGATGCTATATTCTGCCCATTAAATGTGTTCTCTATTAGTCATGCAAGAAGTTCCCATTTAGATAAGGCATTTATATACAGCCAGATGAGTCCATCGTATGGATGTGAATAATCAATGTCTTAATGTTGCCAGATTTGACATATTACAAGGCTACACTGATTCGCCCAAGCTGGATCGTTCTCATTTAGACGTATTCTTCAGTTCGTTCTCGGTTCTGTAATTATGAATGAATACTGTGTTATTTAAGAACAAAGTCTGTCTGTAAATAAAGCATCGCTGGTTACTACTGTGCAACCATGTTCCTCGTATTGTCTGTACACAATGCAAACCACTGTAGTGTTCACCTGTGTGATGCAATAAAAGTCCTATACAGCCCACTTACATCCTCATGGTCTCTTCTCCATAATATCATAACACTTTTTTTAACATGAGTGTGTAGGTAAGTAGACATCGAAAGTGTGAGATGGTCATATTCATAAAACCGTTTTTAGTTGAAAACAGTTTGTTTGTTGATTCACTATGAAGAATAAGAAGCGGTTTACACAACAACGTTTTTTACGGCTGTGGTAACAGCAGCTGCAGTGACGCGAAAAAAGTAGTGGAAAAGTAGCGATTCTATTTTTAAAATGTAGCGATCCTTTGTCAAAAAGTAGCGATTCTTTTTTTGAAAAAGTAGCGATTCTCTGTCAAAAAGTAGCCATTCTTTTTTGAAAAAGTAGCGATTCTTTTTTAAATTAGTGTAAAAAATGTAATTATACATTGTTAGTCGTATTGTACATTACAATATAATTATACATTGATTACAACGCAATTATACGTTTATTACAGTGTTGTGATACATTTGTTACATTATTATACATGTGTTGCATTAATATTATTATACATTTGTTACATTATTATTTGCTACATTATTCTTTTTGAAAATGAAACAATTAATTATACATTGCTTAGTGTTATACATTTATTAACGTAATTATGTTTATTACAAAGTAATTATACATTTATTAGTGTTATTATACCTTTGTTACATTATTATTATTATACATTTCTTACATTATTATTGTTACATTATTTATTTTAAAAGAATTGCTACTTTCAAAAAGACTTGCTACTTTTTAATTTATTACAATGTAGTTGTATGTTTATTACAATGTAATTATACATTTATTACAATCTAACTATACATAGTTTTTTATAGTTCTACAGTATACAGTTTTTCAACTATGTATAGAACTATGAAAAAGTAGGTATTCATTTTAAAAAACACAGCGATTTACTTTTGAAAAAGTAGCAAATCTTTAAGTCAGCTACACTGTTTAACCCTCAGGTGCTCTTCGGTCATTTCTGACCGAAAAAATGTATGTTTTGAAATGTTAAAAATCACAGCTTCATCGGAATGTTACGAAACTTGGTGACTTTTATTCCATTGGGTATGTGAACACACAAAAAAATTGAGGTCATGATCCGAGCATGCTAAGTGGTCGTAAAAAAAATAGTCACACTTGTGCTCTTCGGTCAAAAATGACCGACTATAGGAAATGAATGGGAAATTGACAAAAACACAAAAACTTTGAGAATTTTTGTGTGTACAATCTACAAATCGGCCACGATGCAGAAAAAAAGTGCTCAGCATTGAAGGGGTGACACTGTAAAACATCAAGAGTGCAAAACAGACATACCCACCCCTACGCGCACACATACACACACACTTTTATACACAAAACACCAATAAATTGTGATTAAAGAAATCTGTTTTGAATATTTAAAAATCACAGCTTCTTCAGAAAATTACGAAACTTGGTGACTTTTATGGCATTGGGTATGTGAACACACAAAAAAATTGAGGTCATGATTCGAGCAATTTAAGTGGTCGTAAAAAAATGAGTCACACTTTTGCTCTTCTGTCAAAAATGACAACCCATAGGAAATGAATGGGAAATTGATACAAAAAAAAAAAAAATCTCTGAATTTTTGTATTCTAAAAAAATTCTACAATTCTACTATTTCCACAAAGTACACCGCAAGAAAGGGGTGACACTCTACAACATCTAGAGTGCAAAACAGACACACCCACCAACACACACACACATACAAACACACTTTTATACACATACACACCAATAAATTTTGATTACAAAAGTATGTTTTGAATTTTAAAAAAATCACAGCTTCATCGCGATGTTACGAAACTTGGTGACTTTTATGGCATTATGTATGTGAACACACAAAAAAATTGAGGTCATGATCTGAGCATGCTAAGTGGTCTTAAAAAAAATAGTCACACTTGTGGTCTTTGGTCAAAAATGACCCCATAGGAAATGAATGGGAAATTGTAAAAAAAAAAAAAAAAAAAAAAATTGTGAATATTTGTTTTTTGTCATTTTTTTTTATAAGAAATAGTTTTTGAGATTGTTTCAACTATATATAAAAATCCACCAACAACAACAACAACAAAAATGTGTTCATAAACAGCTGGGGAATTCACATGCCTCTCAATAGAGAGCTGTACATGCCATCAAGTGGTTACACCATAATTATACGCTTTTTCTCTATACTGTAACCAGATGGTGCTAATTTTCTTCAAAAAATATTTTTTTTTCTGAAGGCCTAGACTCTATATTAAACTAAAATACTGCATTAATATTTTTTTGAAGAAAATAATATATAAATAGAAAATAATATATATTTTTCTATGGCAAAAATAAACCATAAATATTGCATAAATATTAATAAATTCATTTAAATTGTCTCAAAATACTAAATTAAAAAGAATAAATATTATAGAACAAAAATAAATTGCATTGGTTTTACTGGGATGGAGAAAGTTTCATTTTTAGGTGTCCGGTCACTTGACCGGGAAGATAACAAGTGTGACTCCGAAACGAAGAGCACCTGAGGGTTAATTCTAAATATTATATTTTATTCTGGTGTGCTTAACATTAGCGTTTTCTCAGAGTTTAGGCAATAGTAGCCAAGGCTATTAAGCAACTCAAACATACCAAACCAACAATAACTAAAAACACACAAAACTGATTTTGCACGGGCATTGCACTAGAGAAATGAAATGTGGAGGATGTGAACTGTGACAAGATGATTGACAGACCACTTTACTGTGACAGGATGCAACAGATCATCCGCTAAAGTCGCAATTGTATGACGTGATAGTTTGTCCCAAAGCTTGTGTACTCTTTTGCTTCACACTCAAAAGTATCAACTTTTTCTTCCCAAAGAGAGTTCACACTTTTAGGGTGTAGTATAAATAGAGTTAGATATGCAAAGACGGTGCACTCATATAATCATGCGAATGAATACAATATGACAGAATAAGTCATAGAAGAGCCAATCGGTAAAGTAACTGCGGTTCGAAAATTAATTCATATATAAATGGAAGCGATTCTCCCTTCCCAACCTGAACATTCAAAACTTTAAATAGTGTTCAAAAATCTTTACTAGAGAAAAACCGAAACGGAATAACCCAAGCACAGCAGCCACGAGAATGTTCCATATGTTTAATTCCAAAATAATGATGACAAAACTGAAAATATTTACAGCACATATCGCGTAAACACTTATGGTTTCTGTACAAAGAAATATACACATGCAAACAGTATAAAATAATCCAAATAAAACGAGTCTAAAATGATAATACATACATTAAAAATACAATGAGATCAGAACTAAAATTAGACATTCAATGAAACACTTTAAAAAAAAATGTATCCAGTCCAAGTTCCCACGCTGTAAAGGCATCTGTACAACTTTACAATGACAAATAAATTAGGGGACATCATATGGGTCTATACAGATGATTCAGCAATGTTCCTTCCAACCGGGAACGAGTCATTGCCCGCCAACCAAACATTTCAATACGCTTCAAAATCTCAAAGATAACATCTGACTGATGAATGATGCGAGGATCACTGGAAATGAGAACAACAGGCCACTGGTTACAGACAGCATTCCAGTGACAATTTCAATTGTTGAGAGCTTCTTACGACAAAAACTGAGGCCTTAAAACTTTAAAGCCATTAAAACTATCTATATGACGAGATAAATATCATAATTTAAAGGCTTCACATTTTTGTCCATGACATCTTGCTATGCGAAATGAAATCGACGTCAAGGACTGCCTGGTCTAAATGGGAGGTGCATTTCAGAAAATGCACAGAAAAGCAAAACGTAAAACGTCAATGACGTGGAAAATAGATGTTGTAAAGCTATGGAAATCTCATGTAAACACCCAGTCACAGCGTATAACTTAAAGGAGTCGAATGTGTGTGGGGAATTCTCATAAAGCATGGAGAGCTTTGGCATACCAATATGTATATCAACAGAAAAGTGACTAGCGTAAGTGCCATGTACTGTAGACAGCAACCCCGTACGATGACAGGGCTTCAATACTTACTGAAAAAGACCGGATTAAATAAACGACAGCAGAACCGCAGCACCGAATACGTGCTATTCTACGTTTTTATTAAAGGTTTAACAGATGTCTTCATAAACAGTTGCATAACCCATCCAAGCTGCAACATTGCACGTGGTAAGAACCGGAAACAACGCGAGTGCATTTACAGTATTCAGTCATCGCCGACGCGCTCCGACGCCGTGTCTCTCCACCCTTGTGACATTGCATTTAAAAAGAAACAAACAAACAAACATGGTATAGAATAAGGCGCATACATCTGCAGATTGCACAACACGATTTGTTCTAGTCGTAGTAAATTAAAAAAAAGAGGTGCGGCCTGTAAAAATCATCATCATCGTTGAAATAAGCAACTAATTACACTAGGAGACCAAAACAAGTTTCCACTTAAAACGCTTTGTGTGTTGCGTTCATTCAGACTGAGTCGATGTTATGGTTTTTATTGAAAGGTGTACCTGAAAATGTATAACGCGCTGTTCGTTTGTCTCGTTAAGAAAGGTTCCGAGTCGAACACTGTAAAAGCACGACGAAAGCAGCCGCTTGCTCTCTGGCTCAGGCAAAACGCAAAGAGGAACACTTGTTCCCCTTGCTAACTTGCATTGGCATCGCTTTCTTGTGCAGGTACATTTGTTCTACACAAAATATCAGTCCTCTTGTGTAGATTTGTTGATCATTCAGCAAATCAAAGAAATCTTTTTATATATATATATATATATATTTATATTCCATTGTTTTAATCTCTGCTTACAAGTCTTAATTGAATTGGAAACAAGGCAGCAGCAAACTGGGAGAGAACTATCAATCTTACGTCTCGTCTGCTGACGAAGGCTCTGATTGGCAGATATGGTTGTCAGCACACATTTTGATAGGCTCAGGACTGAAGACTTCTTGATTGGCATGGGAAAGAGGATGAGATCATGATTCTGGGTCAGATCCTGGGCTGAAGTCTGCTTTGCAGGAAGGCTCTTACGCCTCCGAGAGGCCGAAGGTCGTTCTGGTGTTTGCGCCGATCGATGAAGGAAATGAGTCTGGAGGTGTCGATGCACTCGGCTGAGCGGCGGCCCCCGCCGGGTCTCAGCCAGGGGTCTTGCATGCAGACGGCAGCCGGGGGACGCTTGGAAGGTTCGGTCCTGAGAAGCAGACACACGAAATCCCGCGCCGCCTGGCTCACGCCCTGGAAGTAGTCGTCGGGGAAGCTGAAGTCCAGGCGGCAGATGTTGAGGCACGTCTCCTCCACGCTCTCGTCCAGGAACGGAGACGCCCCGCTCAGCATCACGTACGTCACCACCCCCAGACTCCACAGGTCAGAGGAGAGAGAGACGGGGTCCCCGAGAACCAGCTCAGGGGCCGCGAACTCTGGGCTTCCCAGCAGAGGGTGAACGTGAGGAGTCGAGTTCAGCTGCACCGCGTCACCGAAGTCCGTCAGCTTCACCATCGGCTGGGACACGCTTTGCTCCACCACCAGGTTTTCAGGCTGATCAGAAAATGGGAAATTATCATGGCTTGAATTTAATATTATAATGCCATGCATGCTTTTAAAATAAAAACAAATCAAATATAAATACCTGATTGTTAAATAAAAGAACTGATTTAAGACATGTTTATTTAAAAAGCATATTTAAAGGTGCAACGTGTATCTATTAACTGGAAAAAAAAATTTGATTTTTCGATGAATCGTTTTTTTTTAAATGTGGTCAATTCAAAATCGATTCTCAACCGCCACGAATCGATTTTTTCCATATTAACGGCTCGCGGTGCTGCATCTTCTCTCTCTGCACTAGGCAAGCGTCACGTCTCGCGTTGAGGAGTCGGGACTCGGGACATGACGGAATATTCACTTGCACAATCGGGCCAGCATATATAAAATAACGTGCATCTAACACACCTTTAAATCCAGATGAACTATTCTGCAGTTGTGCAAGTACTGCAAAGCTTCTAAAATGTCCCGGAGGTAAAAGGCCACTTTCTCCTCAGTGAGGTTCCCCCAGCTCACAATATAGTCCAGAAGACGGCCCTGATCAGACCTGTGAACAACACAAAACTGATGCTCAGGAACATCCCTGCGTGTGAAATATGAAAGATCTTAAAGTGTGTGTGCTCTCTCACATCTCGAGGACCAGAGCGTAGCTGCTGGAGGTCTCAAAGGTGTCCAGTAGCCTGACTAGGTGAGGGTGCTGGAGTCTCTGTAGGACAATAAACTCGTGGGTCACCTGGTCTCGCTTCATGAGTTTCTTATTCACAAACTTGACCGCCACAGTCCGCTTCGACCCTCTCTGGTCACAGCGTTTTACTACAGAGAACCTTCCCCTACGAGAAAGAAACAACATGATCACAATTACGATCGATTCTCCATAAACTGTATTAGCATGTTTCTGACAAAAACAAAACAGTACTCTACCAGGGCCTGAAATTAACACCCGACCACCTGCCAAATGTGGGTGAATTTTGCTATTGGCGGGTAACACTGTCAATCTACCTGCCACATTGGCGGGTAGCCAATGAGAATTGAGTGATTCATTAGGATTTTTACATTTCAACGAAGTCCGCTATTGCGGTGGACTTTAGCTAAAATGTGGCGGCACATTACTGGGGTAAAGAGGCCAGCTGAAACAAAACAAACAGCCAACAAAAAGATGAGGATGAGAAAAAGAAAAGTAAAGAAGACATTTTAATACAAAGTGAACAATCGGCGGCAATGGCAAGGTTCGTGAGCGGCTGATTTATGACAGCGACTGTTGTTTCGTAACGTTCATGCGATCAGAAAGAAGATGAGGCTCTTTTTCTGACTACGTGTGCGAGTATTAAACTGTTGATGAGATGGGATGAGATAATGTAACGCGTCGCTGTTGTAGGTTAAAGTACAATGACAGTTGCACAGATGTGTGTGCGTGTGCAACTGTGCATGTTGGGAGTTGGGAACGCGGTGAGAAAATGTCGGTACCCGGTAATTTTATCAGTAATAACAGTATTAATTTAGTTCATATTTAACCGTTCCTGAACGCTGTAACTAAAAGCTGTTAAGAGTAAGACCTGTACGTGACTAAATCCGCCATCAACACAGCCGCGTGTGATTTGTTTACGAGCTGCGGTAGGTCTATCTGTTGAGTATATACTATGTTGTGTGTGTGTGTGTGTGTCTGTCAAAATCAATGAATAAAAAGAATTTTTTTTAAATGTATGTTATTAGAGTTATTATTACTTGACAGCACTAAAATGTGTGTTCTTACAAGTTAAAGAACAATATTGTGAAATTCCCGGGTTTGTTTTTTTTTTTTTTTACGTTTATGAGGCAAAAAAAAAAAAAAAAAAAATGGCTGGTAAAAAGTCTCTGTGGCGGGTGAATTTTTAAATCCGAAAAAATTAACTTCAGGCCCTGTACTCTACCCTTAATTTTTGACGAACTTGCAGTGTGTTAATATTCTCTAAAAGTGTGCCACCATGTTTTTCTGATGGATCAGGGCTCCAGACTAACATTTTGCCTTGGTTGTACTGGTGCGCCTAACTTTTTTATTTAGGTGCACCAGCACAAAATTTAGGCGCACTTAAATTTTTCCTCGTCTCGCGTCGCATGTAATGCCACAATTTCAAGGTCACCTTTTTATCATGCACCATATATTCATATATATTATGTAAATGCTTTTAAACAAGAATAAGATGTATTTTTTTGTTGCTTTTTTTAAGCACAATTATACTGTAAATAAAAATATAAATCTTAAAAAAAAACAATTAAAGTGCTGTTTTTACATTGTTCAAGTTAGGGCAGGGTTTTGACACAGAATTTCACAATTCTCAAGGAAAACAAATCTCAACTAATGCTGTAAACTGGGAGTCAGTTGTAGCCCACTGTTTCATTACCCTTCTATAATATTGAAGGTAAAAATGACCTGATTTGTACACAAACACTTAAATGACACTTTTACTTATTTTTATAATAATGTTATAAACATTTAAATGGTGGCTGCATAAAAACTTGCCAGATTTTTTCAAACAACATTCATTAAATATTGAAATACATTAAAAATGATGTATTGGTTTATGTCAAGGTGTCATAACAAAGACATCTCAAACAAAGTCAGATTTGCATTAAAAATGTCATAACTGAGCGAATTACACTTAATGACAGTTGTCACAAACATGCATAAAACTTCCTTCATATTTATAACATATGTCATGTCATGATTATGAAGGTGTCATGTTAGTCTTATTCACACCCCTTCAAGTAAAGTATTACCCAAAGGGTTTATAAATGAATCCATTTGATAGCATAATTGTCTGTATGTGTCTCACCTGCCCAGCTCTGCTACCTCAGTGTAAAAGGACTCAAAGTTGTCTTTCCACATGACCCGGATTCCATCGCTGGTAGTTCCTGTGAAAGACAGCCGAGTTAAGTCCAAAGCCTCACCTAAATCTCTGAAACACCAGGTAGACATTTTGCAAGGCCGGTCTGAAAAGGAACATACTCTTACCCAACACTCTGAGACTGGCTGATGATGTCACACTGCCTATGTCATTGGTAGCAACACAAGTGTATGTGCCATCGTCCTCTGAGGTCACACCTACGATACGCAGCGTGGCCTCGCCAGTCTCACTGTGGTGCAGAGAGAAGAAAATAAAACCTTAGATTACGTAGTTTAATCACTGTAATGAAATGAAATCAGTAATCAATAATATCAGATATCTTCATCTTTCTACGGAGGCCATAAATGGACATGGTGATGGAAAAAAAATAATGTCAATCCTTTTGCGTTTTTAAAACATAAATCTAACAAGTGATAGATATATTAAAGTGAGATATATAAACAAAGCAATATATATATATATATATATATATAGTTATATTACCAAAATAATATATGCATGTCTCCAATGTAAATTGCAAGATTGCAAGACTATTATTATTATTTTTTTTTGCGTAAACAATTTTGTCCTGTTTGTCCGCACCTGTAGACTATACTGAAGTGGCCGTTGTTAGTGAGTGTTGTCTGATCGGGTCCCTTCCATGTGACTGTGGCTTTGGGGCGGCCACACACTTTACACCTCAGAGTGACACACTCCCCTTTATCACAGGTCACGTCACTCAGCGGGACGAGGATCTCCGGGGGAACTGGCAGGAGAAAAAAAAAACAATCCACTTTAAACCCTTATTACTGGTTTATAATTGAAAGCAATTCACCTAAGAAACATTTTGAACTTACCATCATAGATATAATTGGGATTTAGAAGCTGCAAAATAGAGAACAAAGTTTTGAGTATCCATCTTTCTGAAGGATTTCCAGAAAATGACAAGACAGACAAAGATTTGTGTTTGTTTTTATTAGTGTTACCTTTACAGAGACCTTGTTGGTTAGTCCCTCTCTGGATTTCCTGTATCCATTTTCCAGCTTGACCTCCTTTTTATTTTCCTTCTCTCTTTTCTCTGACTTCTTACGAATGCGGAGGGATGTATGCCATGATTTCCTACTGGAAAGCAACACATTACGTTAAAATTAATGGTTACATAACAAATTGAATGTCTAGCTTATGAAATGACACCTGTTATGCCCTTTTTGGGACTCTACTAGAACAGGTTTTCATGCTTGAATGTTCAAAAAACACCTTATTTTTCACATATTTGACATTGTTGCAGCTCCTGACCATCAGTAACACCCTGATATCCTGTCTCTATGAAGCCCCTCTTTCAGGAAAGCACAATGTGATCTGATTGGTCGGCTGAACCTGTATTGATTGGTCAAGTGCTTCAAAAGTTTTGGAAATGTCCCGCCTCTTACCATAACCGTGAGTTTTTATCAGACTACTAACTAACTCAACCAGGCCCCGCCCCTTTATTTTGCATATACCTTAGGACGGGATTATTTGAATGAGGAATAGTGTGATGCTTTGTAAATTTGCAGACTTTTCATACTCAAACAGCAACATCATCACATACTAAAGAAAGGTGGCAATGTAAGCATAATAGGTCTAGAACACAAAGAACAGTTAAGTAGTGTGTTAGATTTGAAGATTCAGCATGTGTTATGTAAACGGTTAGAGGCGAGCTCTTACTTAATGGTCCCCTCTGATGCGTCAGAGATGATGGCGGAGGTGTGTCCCAGCACGTACCCGGGGATCCAGCCCTCGGCGGCGGGGCATTGGTCTGTAGCGGCGCGGAACACCAAAAACATGTTCTGCTGATTGGAGGCCAGGATCTGCACCACCTCCCCTTGACCTACATTAATCTCATCCTCTTTCAGAGCCACATAGTCCTGAGTCACCAACATGGTGGAGATATTACTGCTGCTGCTGCTTTCACTCTGTGGACACACACCCACACACCCACGTTTTAGTACCAGAGACACTTAATACCTTTAAAATACAAACCCCTGTACTGTACAACACCTTGTCTTTACCGACAATATTTCCACATTAACCCTCATGTTCCACTGAAATGTGTAAAAACTGTGTCATTTAGAAAAACACCTTATATTTTTCCTTGTTATACTGTATGTTCCACTGACCAACACGAAAGCAAGTAGGTATTATTAAAGCTCTATCCCTATGTTTTATCATAGAGCAGCCATGTACTTAAAAAAAAAAGAAAAGTGATTATTTCTGGTAACAATGTTGTTTGTTTATGGTCCATTTTGACATAGCAACAACACTGTAGAAAAATACAATAACATTTATTTTAAGTACACTAACTGAAAATAATGCGAAATTGTCATTTTTTTGTATTTTTTATAGATGTTAAAAGTTTTTGGGTCTCTAGATGTAATGCAATATTTGTCAGGTTGAAGTTGAAATTTTATTTATAATCAGTTTTCATATGATTATGTCTTCATTTCAGCCTGATGCAATCTAGCAAAAGTCTTGAGGTCTCTTTGACCCCATACAGAACATGAGGGCTAGTAAATCTAGAATAAATTTATGTTTTGGTGTTTGATAATGTCAAAACATTCCATTATAACTTGAATGCTCAATAGTGATATTTACAACTTTTGATTGACATGTAACCTTGCAAGTGCACTGCATCGAAAACAAGCATTAGTAGACCAGAACAGTCAAAGAAAAGGTAAGAAACAGAAAAGAAACTGAGATAAGAAATCAAGTTAGTTACAGTAGCCTGTTAAAAAGATCTAAATCTCTGAACTAAATCACATGATAGGCAGAATCAAAACAAACACAGATGTTTCCAGAGTTCATTTCGTAAGATTAACATTAAGGTGCGGTCACAATAGCTACATTTTGGCAAAACTATGTGTGAAAAAAAAGAACCATTCAGTAATGTAGTGATGTATGAAGCACAGCTCACACAGAAGTCACTTTCAAACCAAGCAGTGTTTTTGTTGGTTAGTGTGAAACCAATTGCGAAATCTTTCGTCCCCTGACCGAAAATTCCCAACTGTGGTGATTCCTATAAAAATGACTGAATTTCACTTGCAAAAATTTGCATAACAACAGTAAATGTGACTGCACCTTTAGTCCTTAAAGGAGTAGGTCATTTTTTTTTAAAAAAACCTTTGCTGATAATTTACTCGCCCCCATGTCATCCAAGATGTCCATGTCTTTCTTTCTTCAGTCGAAAAGAAATTAAGTTTTTGATGAAAACATTCCAAGATTTTTGTCCATATAATGGGCTTCAATGGAAACCAAACCAAAAAGGTCCACATGAGAGTTTCAATGCAGCTTCAAAGGGCTTTAAAAGGCACCAGACGATGGGTCTTATCTAGCGAAACCATCGGTCATTTAAAAAATAAATAAAAACACCTGGTCTCTCATCTCTCATTTGATGAACTCGTTCATCAAAATGAACAAATCTTTTTTCGAGTCATTTCGTTCATTTCTGAACCAAATGACTCGAAAAAGGTTTGTTCATTTTGAGTTCGAACAGGAGAGTCACGAACGCGCATCACAGAACAGAGCAAGGCGAGCATGCTTATAAAACTTCAACTTTTTTTTTTTTTTTAAATGAGCGATCGTTTCGCTTGATAAGACCCTTATTCATCATCTGGACTCATTTAAAGCCCTTTGAACAGCTTGCAGTTTGCAGTGAAACTTCATTTGGACCTTCAACCGTTTGGTTCCCAATGACGTCCAATATATGGAAAAAAATCCTGGAATGTTTTCATCAAAAACCTTAATTTCTTTTCGACTGAAGAAAGAAAGACATGGGCATCTTGGATGACATGGGGGCGAGTAAATTATCAGCAAAAGTTTTTTTTAAAAGTGAACTTCTCCTTTAAGAAAAGCTGATCTCTGAAGGAAAAACATCTCATAAAGACCTCACAAAGAAAGTAGCTTGAGGTTAATATTTTAATTGTTTTACTTAAAAAAAAAGGGAGAAATCTAGTTCTTGTTTTACAACCCCATAAACAGTTAGTATCTGGCTGGAAGCAGAACAGTTAGATTTCTGAGATGCAGAGAAAAGGCTCTGTTGGAGGTCCACAGAGCAGAAACCAGGTTAGGAGAGGCAGAAATCAGACAGAATCCAGGTGTGTTAGAGAGTCATTCATGAGGGAAGACAGGAGCAGAGTTGAGCTGAAGCGCTGCGGTGGCCCGGGGCACGAGTGTGTCTCTTACCCCGTTGCTTTGAGTGGACTGGACAGATTGCTCACTGGCAGAAGAGCAGGTACTCATACGGTCTGCGTCTTTACTGTGGGTGGAATGCCGGTGACTTTGGTTCTGAGTTTGCCGTCCCAAGGTGTCGCACGCTTCCCCGGGGAAGGTGAAGGAGCCGGGCCTGCTGGCAGGAGAGGCGGGAACAGAGCTCCAGAACGAGCCGGAGCTGCTGCCCGTCTTCGGCCCGGGACTGCAGGGTGGGATGGAGTCTTTGAAAGCCGGGGTGGCTAACGGGGAGGCCATGGGCGAGACCGTTCCGGGTCTGGGTTTGACCAGAGCTAGCGGAGCCACCGTTGCTCGAGGGATCTGGGCCGGAGAGGCTCCATCCCTGCTTTCTTTGGAAGCGCTTTCCGTAGGGTCCGTCTGTTTGGGGTGAGGGCTCGCAGGAACCTTCACCTTTGGCTCTGGCTCTGTGGTGCAAGAGGGTGAGGGACCCCTGGAATGAGGCCTAGGGGACATACCTGATATTTTGTCGAGGCCGTCGGGCTCGTGGGCTCCGGGCCCCAGGGCGGGAGAGTGATGACGGAGCGGCTGAGGCAAGCGCGAGGGCTGGGGAATACGGGAGGGACGAGAGCGGGAACCCGACCCAGCCGGGGCCCCTCCGCCTCCTCCGGGGGCCATCCCCTGACCCCCGTTCCCTCCAGCCTGTACACTGCTGCCTGAGACACCAGGGCCCTCCACATGGTTCCTCTGGTAGTCTATAGGAGATGTAAGCGCTACAGGAGGAAAGAGAGATTTCACTGAACCATTTGCAGATGAGCACAACAGCTGACGAGGTGTAACAGCCAAGAAGATTCTTATCAAAACGACTGAATTTCACTTGCAAAAAATTGCATAACAACAGTAAATGTGACTGCACCTTTAGTCCTTAAAGGAGTAGTTCACTTTAAAAAAAAAAAGGTTTGCTGATAATTTACTCGCCCCCATGTCATCCAAGATGTCCATGTCTTTCATTCTTCAGTCGAAAAGATATTAAGGTTTTTGATGAAAACATTCCAGGATTTTTGTCCATATAATGGACTTTACTTGGCACCAAACCAAAAGGTCCAAATGAGAATTTCAGTGCAGCTTCAAAGGGCTTTAAACGACACCAGACGATGAATAAGGGTCTTATCTAGCGAAACCATCGGTCATTTCCAAAATAAATAAAAACACCTGGATTCCGTCTCTCATCTCTCATTTGATGAACTCCTTCATCAAAATGAACAAATCTTTTTTCGAGTCATTTCGTTCATTTCTGAAACAAATTACCCAAAAAAAGGTTTGTTCATTTTGAGTTCGAACAGGAGAGTCATGAACGCGAATCACAGAACAGAGCAAGGCGAGCATTTGTGCTTATAAAACTTCAACTTTTTATTTATTTTTTTAAATGAGCGATCGTTTCGCTTGACAAGAAGACCCTTATTCATCGTCTGGACTCGTTTAAAGCCCTTTGAACAGTTTGCAGTGAAACTTCATTCGGACCTTGAACTTTGGTTCCCAATGAAGTCCATTATATGGAGAAAAATCCTGAAATATTTTCATCAAAAACCTTAATTTCTTTTCGACTGAAGAAAGAAAGACATGGACATCTTGGATGACATGGGGGCGAGTAAATTATCAGCAAAAGTTTTTTTTTTTAAAAGTGAACTCCCCGTATAACAGCCAAGAAGATTCTGGTAATTATTTTTATCATGAAGTTAAAAATTGTTAGCATTCGTTACAGCTTTAGGAATCACCTTAAAATGAACAAAACGTATAACACTAACATTTACCTACAATAATAATGAATGTCTACATAAACTAATATATTTGTGACATTTTAAATGAACATAAGTTAATGTATTATGAATGAAAACGAATTAATAATGAGTAAAAGTATGTTTATAAATTATTTAAATTTTAATTTTACACTGAAAGTTTTAATACAATAGTAATATATTTCTTATTTTGTTTAATTTATCATTATTATTATAGGCAAATTGATATATAAAAATAGTCATTTATGAATAATAATATTTACAACAATAATCACATTTTTAAATAGCAAACATTGATTCTTCAAATTGTTCAGCCCTTAAAATAACAGGGGAATGGATCTTTTTGGATTGTTTTATTAGTATTAAATGCATGTTAAACATCATTTATGACCGCACCTAAAGACCTACTTTTATACTCGTAAGTGTTGCTGGTTGCTGTACCATTGAGGAAATGACGCTGGCTCTCCAGGATTTGGCTGATCTGCAGCATCCAGACTTGTCGTACTCCAGGATGGCTCGAGTGCAGGATAAACGCCTCTTTGCTGCTATTAGACGTTCTGGAGGTCAGTGCGAATTTACAGGGGTCACCGTCCACATTATCCTCCAGCCCCAGACAGCTCACCTACACACACACACAAACATAACGTTTTTAGTTACTCTTTTATTTCTCAAGAAGAAATCAGATCCCAAGAAACAGACGGATGATGACGCCTGTACCTTGATGCTGTATTTATACAGGTAGCCAGGCATTGAGAAGCCCCTCTTTTTATCTAAAGGTTCACTGAAGATTACAATCTGTTCAAAGAGGAAGACTCTTCTCTCCTTCATCCTGTTCAGCAGGCCGCCGTCCGGTTCGGCCACCATGAAGGTGTCCTGCAGGAGGAGACGCCCCTGAGCAATGATCTTTCCCTGTCAGAGACCGATCAGACGAGTTTAATCCATCCGTTCAAACGTAAAACACCTTCTTGATAATAATCGCCAGACATAAACGAGTTCTTACATCAAATCCCTGGAGTCGACCAACATTCATCATGTCGTTGCATCTTTTTGGTACAATGCACATGACCTCAACCGCTTTCTACAACACAAGAACATCATCAGTATAGAATAGAAAAGATTAATGTGTAAAACTTTACTTGAAGGGGTGTGCATAAGACTGACATGACACCTTCATAATCATGAAATAAATATGAAGTAGGGTTCATGCACGTTTATGACAACTGTCATTAAGTGTCTTTCGCTCAATAATGACATTTTGAATGCAAATATGACATTGTTTGAGATGTCTTTATGACATCTCGACATAACCTGTCAGTGTCTTTGTCATGACATAAAATTAAGTTAAAGGGTTAGTTCACCCAAAAATGAAAATTCTGTCAGTATTTACTCACCCTCATGTTGTTTCAAACCTCTAAGTGTTTATTTGTTCTGCTGAACACAAAGGAAGATATTTGTAGATAATGTTTTAATCAAACAGATCTCATTCCCCATTGACTACCATAGTAGGAAAATACTATGGTAGTCAATGGGGAATGAGATCTGTTTGATTAAAACATTCTTCCAAATATCTTCCTTTGTGTATAGCAGAACAAATAAACACATAGAGGTTTGGAACAACATGAGGGTGAGTAAATACTGACAGAATTTTCATTTTTGGGTGAACTAACCCTTTAAACTGTCATGTGGTTGGCTTTGACGTTGGCTGTCATGAGGCATTATAACTGTCATGAATATGTTTCGTGACCTCAACTACAGTGGTACAAATTGAATTTGTCATCAAAAAGTTATAATGACTTCATGACAGCCAATGTCAAAACCAACCACCTGACAGTTTCATGTAATGTTAACCAATAAAGCTAGGTGGTTTCTTAAGTTTGATAATTAATCTGCAACGTCATGTTTATGACAGGTTGTGTTGTCTAAGTAATGTCAAGTTGTCATGACAAAGACACTGACAGGTTATGATGAATTGGTTTATGTCTAGGTGTCATATAAAAAAACATCTCAAACAATGTCATATTTGCATTAAAATGTCATAACTGAGCGAATGACACTTAATGACAGTTGACATACTAACATGACACCTTCATGTCATGTCATGATTATGAAGGTGTCATGTTAGTCTTATGCACACCCCTTCAAGTAAAGTATTACCGAATAATGTTTAAACATAAAATAAAATACCTCCAATTCCACTGAATCAATTCCAATTTTTTTGGAAAATTTGAGGAAATCCTATAAACAAACAAAAAGAACGCATCAGAATCATGGTAAAACTAAGAAGTGTCATACGCCTTATTCACGGCAGCGCCATCTTTGATTTTTAATGAGAATGAAAGCGAGGCTGTGAGGGATAGACTTGCATCTCTTCAATGGGCTGTACTGTTATTTAATGTGTTTTCGGATTGTTCTGCTCATGAAACACTGGAAAAATATCTTTCCAAGATATGTCAGTTGACAAAAATATCCCGACAATGTAAGCTGTGGAAAATTGTCAGTAATCTAGCCGCTTTATTCAGCTTTTTACAGCGGATGCCATTGGAAACACGGTAAGTCTATCCCTCACAGCCTCACTTTCATAACTGTCATGGCGCTGCTCTGAATAAGGTCTATTAGGTGTAAAGCAGTGAGATGCAGTCAATGGACAGACCTTAAGCAGCAGCTGGTACTTCATAATTCTCTGAACAGGTTTAATGAGCAGATCAGTGATCTGAAGCCTGTGACCCAGACACTGTTTCAGATCCTGCAAGAGAAGTGATTCAGTTTGACGCTGGAAGTGTTTCATGATGTTCTTGGTGGTTTATATTTGGTGGTATACTGATATTAATGCAGAATGTATGTAATAAGGACATACACGCTGTATAAATACAGATTTAAGATACGCACCTCGAAATAGGTGTCGATATACTCTGAGACAATGTGCTCAGATTTAGGTTTGTTCTGGCAGTAAACAATGTACATGTGCAGCCGTCGCTCCTGAAAGGCATGGAAATATCACAAACAATATTAAATTACAATATAGCAAGAGCAAGTTTGATTGTTTGCTTAAAAAGAGCTCAAAAGCGGCGTACATGTTTGAGGAACAGAGGGCCCAGCCGGTCAGGGTCCTCAAGGCACTTCTCAAGCTCTCCCAGGAAGAAACTGAAATATGAAAGACTGCAGTTAGTTTCATCTCTCTTCAAAATAGTTACAGTATGAAATGAACAGCCACAAAATTGCTTAAATTATCAGACAATGCTGTAAATCTTTTTTCCAATCAATGTCTATCATTAAAAAAGGACCTATTATGCCCTACATTGATGCAGCTGTCAGTAATGTTCTATTTAGTGTCTGTCTCTAGAAAAAGCCCCTACTCTGATTGGTCGGCTGGACCAGTGTGTTGTGATTGGTCAACCGCTTCGAACGTGTTTGGGAAATGTCCCGCCCTTTACCATAACCGTGAGTTTAACACACTACAAATTAACTTAATCAGGCCCCGCCCCTTTATTTTACGTATGCCTTGGTCAGGAACTATTTAAATGAGGAATATTGTGACACGTTCGTTCCAGGAAGAACGTGATTTTTGTAACTTTGCAGACCTATTTCATTCTTAAACAGCAACACTACTCACTAAATGGAGATGGAAATGTAAAAAAGCATAATAGGTCCTCTTTAATACAATTCGAATTCATAATACATCACAGATTAGATACATACTCTTTGTGCCAGTCATATATCTGCTGAATGTTTCCAAAAACGATCTTGTCTTTTCCTTTCATATCATCTGGTACTCCATCTTCCCTCATCCTGGTCATATAGCCCTGCCGGACACACAACACAGCGTCACATCTAGTCACATGATCCCATATCAATATCTCAGCATCAAATGACTAGTACGCACTTACCTCCACGACCAAACTGAGATCTCTCACATAGTCCCTCTCCGTCTCGATCAGTTCCAGCAGGATGTAACTAAAAGGAGAAAAGGGAGGTGTGTTACAGGCGCTGAAAATGAATGAGGACAGTAACAGAGAGAGGTTGAGAGCACGATGACGTACTGGCGTCTCTTGAGGAAGCCGGTCTTGCGTTCCTCTATTTCATCGATCGGAGAGGAGGAGGAGAGCAGGGAGTTATCTGATGGATTGAAAGAGGGGCTGCTGCTGTCCCCTTGTTCCACAGACAAAGAGCTGGGCCGGTCCTCCAGAGCCTGTGTGGACATGAGACCCTCAGATCAGATCAGACAAATAATATGATGGGTAAGCTACTTGAAATATTATGTTTTTTTAGTAAAGTTCTTATATAATGCTTGGTTATTAAAGGATTAGTAGCCAATATTAACGAAATGACTCGAAAATAGATTCGTTCATTTTGATGAACGAGTTCGAACAGGAGAGTCACTAATATGCATCACAGTATAGAGCAAGGATGCATTTGTTTATAAAACTTAAATCTGATAAGACTCTTATTCATCGTCTGGTGCCGTTTAAAGCGCTTTGAAGCTGCACTGAAACTGTCTTTTGGACCTTGAACCGTTTGGTTCCCAATGAAGTCCATTATATGGAGAAATGTCCTGGAATGTTTTCATCAAAAACCTTAATTTTTTTTCGACTGAAGAAAGAAAGACATGGACATCTTGGATGACATGGGTGTGAGTAAATGATCAGCAAAAGTATTTTTTAAAAGTGAACTAATCCTTTAATAAGTTTGATATTTAACAATAATAGTAATAACAACACTTAGTCAGACCCTGCCCCTTTATTTTGCGTATGCCTTGGTCAGGAATTATATAAATTAGGAATATTGTGACATGTTCATTCCAGGAAGAACGTGATTTTTGTAACTTTGCAGACATTTTGCATTATCTTATCATATCATATCCATCTGTGCATTTCTTACCATCTTGCTTTTGACCAGCTCCTCAATGGCACTGACTAGCTCTGCAGCGCTGGGAGTCTCAGAACTGGAGGGTCGGACGGAGAGACGGGAAGAAGTCTGCAGAGATAAAGAGAGTGAAAGAGGGAAAAAAAGCCAAACTAAATGACACAAAGGAAATACGAGCCATATGGAGCTAAACTGTTATCAGGATTCATTCAGGCATGGATTTAGGCACTAGTTTATTGTCTTTGCCCTCAAAGACATTTAATGCAATTTGTATTTTATCGCAGCATTTAAAGGAGTAGTTCACTTTAAAAAAAAAAATGTTGCTAATAATTTACTCACCCCCATGTCATCCAAGATGTCCATGTCTTTCTTTCTTCAGTTGAAAAGAAATTAAGGTTTTTGATGAAAACATTCCAGGATTTTTTCTCCATATAATGGACTTCAATGGGAACCAAACAGTTCAAGGTCCAAAAGACAGTTTCAGTGCAAACGGCAAACTGTTCAAAGGGCTTTAAACAATTTCAGACGATGAATAAGGGTCTTATCAAGCGAAAAAAAAAATAATAATTATAAGCTCAAATTGTCGCCTTGCTCTGTTCTGTGATGCGCATTTGTGACTCTGCTATTCGAACTTGTTTTATCAAAATGAACGAATCTTTTCCAGAGTCAACTCGTTCATTTTGTTCGTTGAATGAACCAAATGACACGAAAAAAGATTCGTTCATTTTGATGAACGAGTTCGAACAGGAGAGTAACACAGAACAGAGCAAGGCGACCATTTGATCTTATAAAACTTAAACTTTGTTTTTTTTTTCTAAATGAGCGATCGTTTTGCTTCCTTATTCATCGTCTGAAATCGTTTAAAACCCTTTGAACAGTTTGAAGCTGCACTGAAACTCTCATTTGGACCTTGAACCGTTTGGTACCCAATAAAGTCCATTATATGGAAAAAAATCCTGGAATGTTTTCATCGAAAATCTTAATTTCTTTTCGACTGAAGAAAGAAAGACATGGACATCTTGGATGACATGGGGGTGAGTAAATTATCAGCAAATGTTTTTTAGAAGTGAACTACTCCTTTAAAATAGCTTCACTGCATTATGTTGAATGCATCAGTAACTAATGGTAATAACATTATTATTATGTGTCTGGCATCACACCATTGTAAACATACAAAATCTGCACTCTCAAACAGTCTCTGGTGCAGTTTATCAGTTTTGAAAAGTCGAAAATTATAGAGATAGTTTGATTTCAACCAAAACCATTTATTCATAAAAAAGCCCCATATAATCAAAATGGCTTTAATTCCATGTGATGTGTTACAGCTCTATATGCATTGATAAAAATACACTTTTAGAAGATATACACGTTTAAAATGTACAGTCCTAGTCTTGCAGCCAAACAGACCGAAATAGGACATGTGTCAACAGAGGAAAGAAACCTGCTGCATTTCATGGGGTCTTAAAAAACAAACAATCAAAAAAAGACTTCAGGTTGACAATAGCTTGATGCTCGACACCGGACTCTGGCGGAGGGTTTCTTTACTTTAGGTTCGAAAACTGGCAATCAAAAACATTCATCAAATAGAAATAGAGGGAAATCCAGCAGAAAGTCTCACCCTTGCTGTGCCTTCCAGACTTTCCAATTTGTGTCTGGGTGTGGCCTCAGGTCTGCTTAGCTTTTACAGGCCAATCAGACAGCAGAGTGGATAATGAGGGGATAAGCACAGAGGGGAGGGGGGAGGGGTGTGAATGGGCGGAGTTTGGAGGGTTGGTTAGAGGGGTAAAGAGTGAGAGTGGGCTCTGAGAGACTTTCAGAGTCATTGTATAAGGCACATGACCCTCTTTCTACCTAAATCACATCTCCCTGATGTTGACGTTCGAATATACCTGGACACGTCTTTCTGCATTTGAACACGTTCGAGGAACCCAGTCCGATCAAAAACCAGCGCGCTAGGAGGACAATCGATTAAAGATGGGGCTAAATCATAAATCGTATATAAACCAACAATGTAAAATAAGTAGAAAACTAGAAGAGGAAAAAAAAATGAAAAAGGATGAGTAAGGGCATTTTGTGGTTCTAAGTTTAAATCAAACAGATTTAAACAACAGAAAGAGGAAGTTCTGTCTAGATGAAAGTACAATCAAACCAAAATGAGGAATCTGCTTCGAAAAGAACACTACTTCAAAAGTGACAGTTCTCAGGAAGTGGTCGGCTTCTAAATCGCTACCAAAAAAAAAACAAGAACGAAAAAAGGCAGCAAATAAAAGTAGAAAGAAAGGGGGTCTCGGGTCTTTTGATAAGCCGGGGGTTATGAGAAAAGAAAGCAATGAGAAATGAAGTGAAAGGAGGGAGGCCAGAAAGGGAGGAGTCAGATGGAGAGATATGGGAACTGAGATAAAACAAAGACAGGACACAAATCAACGTAATGCTATGGTAAACAATACAGCCCAAACAAAACAAAAGAGAAAAACAAATTAGTGTCACAAGCTGTTCTTGAGCAGCGATGAGACTAGCTAAACTCAGCATTTCATCCTATTGTGGCCGTTTTACAGGAGACTACATTCTACTCAAGGAAAAATCTGCCTCTCCATCTCTCTCGGACCCCCTTCAAAGCTGGCATTAACATGCATTTCGGATTCGGAGTGTGTATAGACCAGTGGTTCTCAACACAATATCTGACTTCTTTATTTAAGAAATTGGGAGTGCTGACATATAAAAACAGAGTCGAAGGGAAAATGCAGATATTTCCATGCGGTATGGCCTGTCATTTACACGAAAACCCTGTTTTTATCACAGAAAACGATTATTTCTAAAAACTCCGGCCAAAGGAAATATTTGTTTCTCTAAATACCTGGATTTATGTAAACGTGGCCTAACTAACCACAATTCATTTTGTGATTCAAGAAGTCTCAAGAACTACAAGTTCTTCAAAAAAAAAAAAAGGTTATTGAGGGAAAATAAAAATAATGATGATTTTATTTTTTTTACGTTTGTTTTGTTCCGAAACAGGGATTGAAATTGTCACAATGTTGCAGATTCTTCTTAGCTCTGTTCATTTTAACAAGGCAACATTTCTAAATGGACTAAGATTTGGTAATACAAGTCAAAGGAGTAGTGCTCTTTTAAAAAAAAATTTGCTGATAATTTACACACCCCCGTGTCATCCAAGAAGTCCACATCTTTCTCTCTTCAGTTGAAAAAAAATTAACCCCTTAACGTCTGAATTTATATAGCTGTATATAAAAAAAATATTTTATGTGTGTTTTTGCCTTTAAGTAGATGGTAAATAATGTTGAGATTATCAATTTCATTTTTGCACAACAAATAAATAGAAATTTTGGTATGTTGCAAATCTGCAACAACGGGCATTAATGGTCAATTTGGAGTCTATTTGGTATGTTGCAAATCTGAAACAGCGGGCATTAATGGTCAATTTGGGGTCAATTTGGTATGTTGCAAATGTTGCAAATGTTCCTGATCGGAGAAATCCTCGTACCTAAACAGGAAATAAGTCCGTCACTTTGAAACAAGTGCTTGTCGAAGGTCCATAGGTCCGTAGTGAATATGCACAAACCGGCATTGGGGGAATGCAGACGTTATCTCGGCTGGTTGACTGAGTCAAATGGTTTGTTGCATATTTGCGACAGTGGGCGTTAAGGGGTTAAGGTTTTTGATGAAAACATTCCAGGATTTTCTCCATATAATGGACTTCACTGGGCACAAAACGGTTCAAGGTCCAAATGAGAGTTTCATTGCAGGTTCAAAGGGCTTTAAACGACACCAGACGATGAATAAGAGTCTTATCTAGCGAAACCACCGGCCATTTCAAAAATAAATAAAAAAGTTTAAGATTTATAAGCACAAATGCTCGCCTTGCTCTGTTCTGATGCATGTTCATCAAAATGAATGAATCTTTTTGAGTCATTTTGTTCGTTGAATGAACCAAATGATTCATATTGATGAACGAGTTCGAACTGCAGAGTCACGAACGCGCATCACAGAACAGAGCAAGGCAAGCATTTGTGCTTATAAAACGTAAACTTTTGCATTTATTTTTTAAATGACCAATTGTTTCACTAGATAAGACCCTTATTCATTGTCTGGAATCGTTTAAAACCCTTTGAAGCTACACTGAAACTGGACCTTGAACCGTTTGGTTCCCATTGAAGTCCATTATATGGAGAAAAATCCTGGAATGTTTTCATCAAAAACCTAAATTTCTTTTCGACTGAAGAAAGAATGACATGGATATCTTGAATGACATGGGGGTGAGTAAATTATCAGCAAAAGTTTTTTTTAAAAGTGAACTACTCCTTTAAGTTTGTTGGTCCATTGAATCGGATTGGTCTTTTTCACCAATTGCTGTGATCATATATGCCTAAACAAACCAAACTAAGGAGGAAAATGCACCAGGTTCCAAAACAAATAAGCCAGGTATGAAAGTTTGCTGAGACCCCATGATTAAGAACCACTGGTCTAGATATTAAAGAGATAATGCATTTACACCATTCCATTGCATCATGTGATTTGACAGATATGTCTGCAAAATTGCAAACGAATAGATAAAAATGCTTAGTCATTTCTTGCATTTCCTTTGATTATAACCCCCTCAGTAATGTTACTAGGATTAAAAGGGGGAAAACTGCTCTCTTGGGCAAAGAAATTAGATAAACAAGAGTAATCCAATGAAATAATTTGATAAGTAATCAGAAATTATTGATTAACGGTGAAGAAACACATTCCACCCTTATTAAATATGATAAGAATCCATCCAGGATTATCCAAAAGGCTTGCATGTTAATGCCAGGTGTCATGGGGCCAAGATGACAAGATTCTTTATGATCAAGGTTAATATGATCAGAAAAACAGATTTACAGTGCTTGCATTGTAGTCACAGTCAGGACTGCATATCCCATGAGGAGATACAAGCGCTGGCACACAGAAGTTTGAATGGGTTTGAGGATCTCTAATGAGGTTTAAGGCTGGCAGTGAAAAAATTAAAAAATCAAATAAAAATTGTCCAAACTAGCGCACCAACCCTCCTCCTCAGTCCCCCGCTCTGCTGCATCACGAGCGGCTCACCTTGTCATCCTGTGCGTCGGGCTGGAGGAGGCTGTGCTGTTGGATGGCCATGGGTGGAGGAAGAGGCACAGCATCAGCTCCTTCCTCTCCCTCTTCCTCTCCACAGCTCTGCATACCTGATGATGATGATTTAGAGAGGGTGCCGCTGCTCAGACCCTCGTTACGCACCCTCTGTGGAGGATCAGGGACGAAATCATGCATTAGGTTACATAAACAGAAAGTCAGCTTTGAAAAGTATGGATAATATTTGAACTAAACTGAAACAAGCTAAAACATATGAGGTAAAGTCCCTACTGAAAATGACTGCGTTTACATGCACCCTCAATAATGCGATTTCGATTTGGGCAACATTGCAATGAAACTTTACACAATCCTTTTATCATTTTATTAGTTTTTTTTATTTTTTATTTAAATATTGCTATTTAGGCTATTTCAGTTTTAGTTTTTATTTATTTCTTGTTAATAATTTTAGAGCTAGTTTCTCTTTTTCAACTAATATATATATATTTTTTCAGCTTTATGTTTTTTTTTTTTTTAAGTTACCATGATTTCAAAATGGACAATTCCAATTAATGGAATATTGAAGTATTGATTATAAAGTATTTACAAGTGCACATCATTATTTTGATTACAGCACTGTGACTTCTCTTCTCTGATGACGTTTACCGGCGTGAGGGCGGGGCAACCTCTCACCCACATGAGATCGACCAATAGCAAACCACAACCATTAAATCAATTCCCAATTGACAAAATCAAGTCCCGCCCTACATTCTTTCCTGTCGAGAAGCCATTTTACTCAGATATACTAAGTATGTAGTCCGTTTATACATAATAAATGTAGTCAGTTTATACATAGGAAAAAAAAACAAAAAAACAGGAAGTGCACCAACCTCCTCCAGAGTCTCATCCTGTGGCGTGGCAGCGCTGTCGTCCGAGTCTTTCTGCGAGCCTGGGTCAGCGTTCTTTCTGACGTCACGGCTCTTCTTGTGTTTGTGTGCTAGCTTCTTCACGTGGCCGTCGGCTTTACCGCTGCTGAGTCTTCTCACAGGGCTGGTCAGCCATTTCCTTAATGTGTTGCCAGGGCGTTTGGGCCCAGGGGAACTCTGGGAGCCCATCACATGACCTGGTTGCAAGGTGGCAGAAGAGCCTGGCAAGATGGCATCGTTACTGCACACAGAGAGCGCGTCTGGAAAAACACACAAAAAGATGCTCATGATTTTTATCTGAAACAGGCTTGGGATGATTTTTGGCAAGCGTTTCAGAGATGCGCCCACCTTTGTGGTTAAAGATGCCCTCCATCTCCATGCTGCTGCGGGAGTGGGCGATACAGAGTGTGGCACAGGGCACCAGGCCCTCCTGGGCAGGGGAACGGTCCGTGGTCCTCACCAAACACCAGTCCGGCTTATCGTGGAGCCTCTCTAGTACCTCCACTGTCTGTCCTCTCCGCACCGTCAGTTCATTACTGTTACCGGCCATGAAGTCATGGATGACCACTGTCAGCTCACAGCCACCTGATAACTAGAGAAAAAAAGACATGTTTTTAGTCATAGTGTTTGTCTTTAGACGAAAATGTTCTTCAAATGTTGTCAATATGTTTCCATATCATATTTATTCATTCATTTTAGTCCATTTTACTATGCCTGGAATGGTATAAAAAAAAATGAGATTCAACCATTCAGACATTAATGTAGCAAAGAAACCATCAGCATGAACAAAATATATGATGAGAAAACTGCCCTGAAATAATATTACATAATTAGTATGATAAAGCATTAATTACTGTGTTTTGACTTAATTATTTATAGTGCATTGTTAGAGCAAAAGCATATTTGCAACGAATTACACATTCTTACGCAACTTAAAGTTCATGGGTGCATTTGCTTTGTGTGTTGTCTGTGAATAAGTATTCAATTTCTTACATTTTCTATGTACTTGACAAGATGTTTGAAGATTTTAGATTTTCAGTAATTGGAATACGGCTAAAATAAAATATAAACATTAGATAAAAAACTTGAATGAAAATTTTAATTGTTGCCTTGGCCGCTACCTGAGATACAATAAGTTTGAGTACTAAAATTAATAAAACTAATAATAATAAAGTTAAATATTAAAATATTGTTTAAAAATGACCAAAAAAAAAAAAAATCGAAATGAAAAGTGAAAAATACTAAAATACATTTTATGCATTATTCTGGATAAATTGAGAATCACATATTTTTTTTTTCAAATAGAGCTCACGAACAGACAACTAACCAAAATAACATGCAATTCACTTGAGGTTCTGACAAAATGTTAATTGCTGCACTATTTAAAGTGTTTAATTAATCTGAATGAATTATAAAAAAACAAACAAACTAAAAAACAGGTTGAATCGATTTTTGATATTTGTGAATCGATTCAGAATCGTCCAAGTCCGCATCGTGATGCATATAAGAATAGATTTTCCCCCCCACCCCTATAATAGATTATAAACAATACACTGCAAACATTTCCATAATTTTATGGACGAGATCAACTTGTTTTCATAGGCAGGAAGTGTATCCTGACCTTGTCACTGTCCAGCGTATTCTGTGAGGTCCTGGAGGCCAGAGAGATGGTGTCAGGCTGACTGCTGCCGTCACCCTGACTGTCCAGATCCTCTCCATCCCTGTACACATAAACACACACAGGAAATTAACTCCTAGTCTAGGACTACAAGTCCTTACATTTCAGAAAGAACAAATCCAGCAAGGGCAAAATTAAGCTAAGGGGTAAAAAACGTTTTTAAAATTTACAAGTAAGAATAGTGAAGTTTCACTGGCCTGGGGGTGTATCTGCGCCCCTTGTGTTTGGATGTGGAGGCTTTGGGGATGTGGATGGGCTCCTTCAACGCCCCCTTCAGGTGCACAGTGCGCTCCTGAATCACTTCACGGATGTGCTTTATCCAGTCCTGCTTGTTCTCAATACCGGACGCCTGTGTTTATATGTGCAGAGAAAGAAGACAGAGACAAACACAGTGTTGAGTAAGAGTACACACTTCTTTCCTGTTCTATGGTGAACTAAGGGTGGGTTAACTGTGTGTCCGTACTCACCATGGATCCATGTTTGCATCCCTGACTTAGCTTCATTTGAAATATAGAAATATACAAGGTTTTACTGCTTTATAAAGTACCATATATCATACTACATGACACAGAGGCCAGAAAGACAGGGACAACATTAATAAACATGTTTTGGGATAATTTCGAGCCAATTTTGCCAACATGTTTTGATGAATGGTTTTTGAACTTTATCAATACAGATCTACTTAGAATAGAATTAAGTGATTAATAACTATAATTTAAAATTACTTTTAAACCAAAAAAGTATATAAACTCTTATGTGTGTGTATATATTTAAGCTGAGTGTTTTTCTTTGGCTCATAAGACATACAGTCAACCACATATAAGCTGACAGTAAATAACACATTTCACTGAAGAAAGTTTGAAACGGTAGCTTTACAGTTTGAAAGCAGCATGCAGGAAATGAACAGCTACTGTGAGACAGAAACCATTTGCAATACACACACGTCACTACCATAGAAACTAGAGAGACTATTCTTGTTTTTTGTTTCCTTGCACATTTTTTAACATGCAGTGAGAACCAGAGAAGCGAGTGCTCAGATCTTACCCCATAATCAGTGTCAAGGATTGATACAGATTCATTTTTGTTTTCGCTAGCACTCTCTCAGCCTGAGATCTTCAATTTTAATAAAGTAATGTAAACTAACAATAACATCCTCTGTGGCATGCTGTCCATTACTACAGAAAATAATAGACATTCTTCCCTCAGTGTGTAAAAGCAAGCAAAAAAAGAAGAAAGCTTGCTTTTACAAACTGGGATAGTAAATTATTTTCGTGGAAAGATTCTTCACACTGAACGTGGATATTTCCCTTTTACTTATTAAAATGCAAAGGGGACAATCTACACAGAAAGTCAGAGCAAAACACTGCCATGCTTTTCAACAGAGCAAGAGAGAGAGAGTCACCTTGAGAACAATCTTGTTGTCTGAAGTTGGGGTGCGTCCAATCCAGAGGGCAAATTTACATGGATCTCCTTCTACATGCTCGGTAACGCCCAGCTCAGAGGTCTGCAGTCACAACAAAGCATTTAAAACGAGATCTGCTGCATAACAAAAGCTTTAACCTTGCTGTGAAACTTACAAAAAGCTTGCTCTTGTAGATGTACTTGCTCCTGCCATTGGAGTCTTTAACCTCCTTGCTGAAGATCAGTGACATCTCGAAGAGGAACAGGTGACGCTCCCGTCCCTTACGGATCAGGGTCTTGGGATCCCACACCTGGAAAGCCTCCTGCAGGATCAGTTCTCCCTGGGACTCGATGTTCTCGTCAAACCCTAAAGACATTCAGTTTAATAAGAAACCGTTGCATCCGCCTCACTTGTGTGTTTGCACGTCTATGTGTGTCCGCTGACCTTCCAGCATGCTCAAGTGCATGGCATCGTTGGCTCTCTTGGGAACACTTAGCATGACCTCCAGACCATCCTTGATTTCACCTTTGCCTTCCTCGCAACACGTCAGGAGCTCCTACAAACACTTGAATTACCACTGAGCTTTTAATCAAACCAGTCAGTGAGTTTCCGGGACGAATCCCAGATGTTTTACCTTTAGGAGCAGCTGGTACTTGGTTATTCTCTGAACGGGTTTGATGAGGTATGATGAGATGGAGTTGGCCAGACGATGCCTCTGTTGAATTTCCTGCAACAGGAACATCGATACACTTGGCATTCAAAATGGTAACTTGGAGGAAGACATGATGATTGTTCAAAATGAATGCAATACATTAATCATAACAGAAACATTTCTCACGTCAAAATATCCTCCAGCATGCTCAAGAATAAGCTGAGTGGAGTCTGGTTTGTTCTTGCAGTAGTTCACGTACATCTGGAACTTATCAGCCTGCAGAAAGTAAAGACATGCATTTTTTAATGATCTGAAAGAAGCAGGTACAATATTAGTATTCAAACACAATTAACTCTATTCACCCAGGTCACAAAACAGTGGCCCACATCTTCAGGAAGCTGCTCGTACTTCTCCAGCTCTTTGAGGAATATACTGGTGACAGACAGAAAGAAGATCGATACACGTGAGTCACTTATGGAGGACAGGAAACTAACTGGATGCTGAACTGGAGAATTGATTCAGGTTTAAAGGAGTAGTTCACTTAAAAAAAAAACAACTTTTGCTTATAATTAGGGATGTCCCGATCCGATCCACGGCATCGGTATCGCGCCGATACCGGCCCAGAACGCTAGATCGGAGATCGGAGGGGAGAAAAAAATATGAGCGATATCCAGTTTAGCGGCGCAGCCTGTCACGTGATGATTGTTGTGTTTAAGCACACGCGCGCAGAGAATCACTCTCGCTTTTGCGCACGGATTCTAATGTAATCGGATGATTCCACAAAAGCTGCATTTCAGTCTTTTCAGAAATTCATTGGCTATCAGAAAATAGCGTCATTTCATTCTCTATTGCAACTGGATAGATAAACTGTCACTCAAAGAGAGAGCGAAAATGGTGCGCGTAAAGTTTGAAGCGAAATTTACGCGCGTGACGCGCGTCAGAATCAAAATCCGTCGGCGGTCATTGTTTTTATGTCGACCGAGCATTCATCAAGAGAGTTACCGCTCTGTATTTACTCTGGATAGCAGAACAGCGGCGTGGGGATCATCGTCGCCGTATATTTGTGTCCACCGGACCCTTCGGAGCCGAACCGTTTGGCGAGTTTCACCATTTGCTCGCTCCAGGAGCTGCGCTGGATGACGGCCGCTGTCAGCGGTACTTCCGCCTGTCACGCGCCCAGTTTGATGACCTGTTGTCCCGCATCTGAGCGAGGATCACCCTCGCCCGGCCCCTCATTCATCTAATCTAGCTGTCATTTATTTTTGTTTTGATAATAAATAGAGCCAGCCTTCAAAAGTTATTAACCTGTCCTGTGATTTTTTTCTCTCTCTCACGTCCAGACACGAATGTATGCACATATGTTGATATATATATATATATATAGCGCGCTATGTATGTTATGCGCGCAGTATGTCTCGCTCTAGATTCCGGGAGATTTGAACTAATTTGCGGGCATCAGGGAGACGCTATCAATGTGCGGGAGACTCCCGGAACTTCCGGGAGACTTGGCTGTCTTTACAACATAAGACTATTTCTAGATATGGAATGAATAACATTCAATACAAAATGAACATGTCTCCATATAGAAATAATGTTTTAAGTGATGAAACATTTGCTTTGTTGTGCATAATCCCACCATGCATTTAGTCATATTAACAAAATAATTTATTGAAGCATCCAGACACTTCACCACGTGAGCAAGCAGCTAGGCTCCTGATTGGTTAACGCGGCGCGAATTCACGCCAAAGTTCAGATTTTTCAACTCGGGCGGCAGACGCGAATTCGCGTCAAACGCGTGAATGCACAACGCTCAATTCGCGCCATTCGCGCCAACTTGACGCGCGAATGAGGCGTATTCGCGTCTTCCGCGCCGCGCTCCACGCCTCATTCGCGCCGCAGGAATTTTTCTTGCATTGACTTAACATTGAAATCATTCGCGCCTGACGCCCTATTCGCGTCCGGTGTGAACGTAGCATTAGTGCGTCGAAGTTGTGATAGCGCTGTCGGCAAACGCGAAATGCTACTATTTACATTCCATGGATGTTTATTCATATATACAATTGTTTTGGACTAAAAACTTCTTCAAATTGGATTGTATGGACGCTTTACAGTGAAACCAAACCATTTTTGTTGGAATGTGGACTAACAGATGGCTAATTGGTGAGTTTCTTCCAGTTTGTGTTGGTTTGTTTTGGCTGTTGGTGGTCTGACAAAGAGACAGATTGTGCCCGCTGTGTTGATTGTATCTTAAAATGGTTTACGTCGTTCGAATCACGAGTTTCTCAGCTTTCCAAAGATATGTTTTATGTTTACTTTTGTGTTTGTTTTGTTTTGTCTTTCACAAAGTTAAACCTATAAACCACCCTGTGGGCCGTATACGGCACGTCGGACCACGAAAAAAAAAATATCGGACTAATATCGGTATCGGCAAAAGCCAAAGGTGCGGCATCGGTATCGGTATCGGAAGTGAAAAAGTGGTATCGGGACATCCCTACTTATAATTAACTCGCCCCCATGGCATCCAAGATGTCCACGTCTTTCTTTCTTCAGTCGAAAAGAAATTAAGTTTTTTGATGAAAACATGGATTTTCTCCATATAATGGACTTCATTGGTAACCAAACGGTTCAAGGTCCAAATGAGAGTTTTAGTGCAGCTTCAAAGGGCTTTAAACGATTCCAGACGATGAATACATGAATAAGGGTCTTATCTAGTGAAACGATCGCTCATTTCAAAAATAAATAAAAAAGTTTAAGCACAAATTGCTCCGTTCTGTGATGCGCGTTCGTGACTCTCCTGTTCATCAAAATGAACGAATCTTTTTTTCGAGTCATTTGGTTCATTCAACCGATCGTTTCACTAGATAAGACCATTTATTCATCGCCTGGTGTCGTTTAAAGCCCTTTGAAGCTGCACTGAAACTGTCTTTTGGACCTTGAACCGTTTGGTTCCCAATGAAGTACATTATATGGAGAAAATCCTGGAACGTTTTCATCAAAAACCTTAATTTCTTTTCGACTGAAGAAAGAAAGACATGGACATCTTGGATGAAACGGGGGTGAGTAAATTATTAGCAAAAGTTTTTTTTTTTAAAGTGAAATACTCCTTTAAAGTGTTTGTGTTAGTGAACTCACTTGTGATGGAACTCGTAGAGGTCCTGCATGTTACCAAAAATGATATGCTCTTTGTTGACAATCCCTGGTGGGATCTCCTCCACGCCACTGGTCATCTCCCAAAGATATGTCTGGATGAATAAAGAATCAAATTGATAGATTTATTTAAATCATCGACTGAAGTCAGTGATGAATCATTTTTCTAATGTTTTCAGGACAATTGATGCAAGTAGCACTGAACAAAACGACCTAATATAGACTAAAATACTCACGTCCATACACTCTCGCAAGTCTCGCACATATGTTTTTTCTGTCTGGATCAGCTCAGCCATGATGAAGCTATGAAAATGGAAAACAAACCAGAAAATGTAAATCTCTCTTCTTCTGAAATTTAAGAATTCTTTAAACATTTCAGAGTCCATTCAGAGAAAATAAGACATACTCCTTCCTGCGGGCGGACTTGCGCTTCTCTTCATTAAGCTCGTGGGCAGCATCTCTGAGTTTGACCTCTGACCCTGGAGCACTAGCTGGGATGATGTCCAACTGCAGGTCTTTACTCTGGAAACGAAAAACAACTTGGTTTAGTCCTTCATACTTCTGACTCCATATTTATTGCAGGACTATTCTGACTGATTATATTTACATGCACAAAAATTTTCTGATATTAACTGGAATGAGGCCATATTCTGATTGTGTGAGTGTCATGTAAACATAACATGATCAAGTAAATAATCTGGTTTCAAGAAATTTGATTGCAACAGATGCCACATGACAGTAGTAATACAAACTTTGGCTCATAAACACCTTATTCTGAATATCCACTATAACAGGATATTCCTGTACATCTGTCCAAACATAGTTCATTCTTGGTGATATTAGATACAGGCAGTGGTAAATGGTTGTGTTATTAACAGTGTTGTTATAAACTAAAAGTATACTGTAAAAAAAAAAAAAATCATGATTTGTAATCATAACGTTTTTTCTTCTGTCAAGTCAACTTAGATAATTTATGTGGTTCAGCTAACATAATATTTTGAGTTTCTGATTATTAAATCACTCTCCTTCATTGTATTAACTCAATTTTTCAATTACAACGAACTTAAAGTTTTAAGGCAACCAGGTTACGTCATTTTTTTTAAGTTAAACCATCAATATTTTTTACAGTGTACTAAAATTTCTAAAACTGAAATTAATATAAATTAAAGCTAAATAAAATAGCAAAAAATTGAACATATAATTCAAATTATAAATATAAAAATAAATGCTAATTTAGTATATTAATAAATAATATAATAGTTTGCAACACATTTTGCTTTTGTTTTATTGTTATGGACATGAATGAGAATCGTTTAGAACCGATTACGCTATTGTGTACAATTAATTACTGTAATTAAATTAAATAGCATGTGATAAATAGCACCTCCAGAAGAGATTATCAGGAAAAAAATATGAATATGCTAATTACATTCAGGAATATTACAATAGCTGTGAATCTTGTAAAACTATTATTTAAAAAGTCTGAAACATAATATGTACCTTATGAAGACTTTAAATTTTGTGAGGACTACTGATGCTTAATGAATCTTGTAAATAGTGATCTTACATAATCTGCAAACAGCCCTACTTCTCAATAGATAAATATAGGCCATCTGATGATTGGCAAAAGGAAACTATTTGTCCAGATAATGGCTCTAAACCATGTGTGCACTCATGAGGATGTTGTATGATTCAATATCACACATTACGAGAAGAAAACAACATACTGCTTTGTTCGAGTCTGAAGAGATGCCGAGGGCTTTTTCGAGAGAAGTGCGATACTTGTCCATGCGAAGGGAGAAGTCTCGATAGCGTTTGTCCACGGCCGTGACCCATTTCTTAATCTCAGCGGCGTGGGAGTGGCCCTTATCGCAGAACCCATCTGCTAACTGTATCAGCAGTTTCACCCGCTCTTTGGTTTGCTGAGGACACAGGGACAGAATCAGCTTTAGGGAACTACAGTGTTAAAGGAGTAGTTTTGAGAAAAAAAAAAAAAAAAAGTTTTGTCTTTCTTTTTTCAGTCGAAAAGAAATTAAGGTTTTTGATGAAAACATTCCAGGACTTTTCTCCATGTAATACACTTTCTGGGCACCAAACTGTTCAAGGTCCAAAAGACAGTTTCAGTGCAAACTGTTCAAAGGGCTTTAAACGATTCCAGACGATGAATAAGGGACTTATCAAGCGAAACGATCGCTCATTAAAAAAAAATAAAATAAAGTTTAAGTTTTATAAGCTCAAATGGTCGCCTTGCTCTGTTCTGTGATGTTCGTGACTCTCCTGTTCGAAATCTTTTTTGAGTCATTTGGTTGTTTTCATCAAAAACCTTAATTTCTTTTCGATTGAAGAAAGAAAGACATGGCCATCTTGGATGACATGGGGGTGAGTAAATTATCAGCAAAAGTTTGTTTTTTTTCAAAAGTGAACTACTCCTTTAAAGCTTGTCATCGTTGTGGTGCTGTTGTACCTTGGCTGTGATGTGGAAGTCCTCGTGCTCCTTCAGAAGCTCCTGTGTGTGGTGGATGCTGGAGCCCGTGGAGGTGTGTGTGGACAGATAGAACTCACCGGTGTCGTGGATCCACTCCAGAGCCTGGACAATGAGAAAACAGAAAAAAACCCACTTTAAAATACACACGATTAAAGTGTCATAAACCACCCTGTTTTAGCACTGCTCATTCACATCTCAGGCCCTGTTTACACATAGCCTGGCTCCGCCCTCCTACATACTTCCGCTCAATTCAGTACTAAGTCTGAGATTGTGGTGAATTCTTTGGTTTTCTCCGGTCAATTTTTTACCGGTTCAATCAGCGAACAGAGGGAGCGGCTGAGAACAAAGATGTTGATGTCGTGCACTAGTTTGAGTGGAACACTATGAAAAACAAATTAGTAGAAATAAAACTGGAATATCGACTTTATTCAGTCTTTTCTCCTCTTCTGTATCAGTCTCCGACGCTTGTTCATTTCATCAAACATATCTTAATTCAAATTAGAACAATCTACGTTTTTATGTAAATTACTTAAAAACGTTATGAGCAGTCTTAAAGAAAAAACGTCGGGCTGAACTGTGCGTTTCACACAACATGACTTGCTCACGGTGAAATCAGGAGTGTTCAAGTTGTCGAGCAGTTCACACCACACGACACAACGTGATTGATCCGCAACAGGAGGTCACGCACTACACGAGTTGACAACAACGATTCTATCTTGTCTACAAACCACGTTTTGTCACGAAAAATTCCCGCGATAAGACGAACCGGAAATGATGCAAAACATTCAACATTCAGTGCTTCAAACTGTTTGCGCGATGATTTGCTCTGAGAAGAAAAAATGCAAAAAAAGAAAAAAATAAGATTTACCCGGTGACCTCAACCCATTCCTTGCTTTGATTGGCTGGGGCTCATGACATCACTGAGGTTGAGTCGCGCAACAGCTCTGGATATCTAGCATGTTAGATATTTTTCTGGGCTCGGCGACACGTCTGCGAGCATCTTTGATGCGTTGTTGGCTCTTTCATACTAACAGATTGGCAAGCGTTCATCACCCGCGATAACACCCTGACCTGTCGGCGAGCTCAACGATTTGCAAATCGGGCTTAAAATCCTGTAGTGTGAACTTGGCTTAACTTGTAAGAATATTCTAAGAAGTTTATTCAACCAGCCACAGGAATCAACCGAAAATATGTGCATGCTATGGCACATCAAACACATCAAACACACACACACATACAAACAGAAGATGAAAAAGGTAAATAATTCATGTCTCTGTGCAATGCATCTTAAATAGAGGCATGATACTGAGTCAGTCTGTCAGTCTCAGGCTTGGGCCAAGAAAAGAGGAATAATCAGACTGATCAGACATGAAAAGGAACAGATGGAGAAAGAGAGAGACATCAAACCTGTTTGGCACTGCGTTCAAACACCACATACTGCTGACACTGGTCCAGCCTCCTCTTCCTCATGGTCCAGAAGTGAAGAACCCGATTCTCCCTTTGCAGCAACTCGTTCAGGATATCTACAAAATCACACATGAACACTCTTCAGCATGATGCAACACACCAGCACCACTAGGGTTCGTCCCTGAAGTCCTGTTAAACCTTAGAGCTGCACGATTCTGGAGAAATTGCAATACTTGTCTCACACTTTACTTGTGTCATTACTGGATTAATCAGCGTTTTTGAACAAATCTCTTCAGTGAATGATTCAATGACAAATATATTTTAACCATATATGCAAGCATGGATATTGATATCATTATTTTAACATTAATACAATAAAATGTATTTAATCATAGATTTATAAATTAAATGGGTAATTCTACTGCTTGAATTGCACTCATGGTAAGAAAAGAATTACAGTGTAGCATAATATAGTAACAATAGAGCAGTGTTTCTCAAACTTTTTCAGCACAAGGACCACTTTATCTTCCATTTTTTTTCTGAGGACCACCTAACAAAATCCCACTCTAACACGCCCCCCCCCACACACACACACACAAAAAACAAACAAACAAACAAACAAACAAACAAACAAAAAAAGGATAAGCTAAATTTAAGTTTAAATTTAACTCCTAACTGAGCTTTGACTGATATAGGCTTTTCATTTTTCTGTCAGTGAAGAAAGTAAACATAAGGTCAACTGATATAGGTTGATTTTGCCTATGAATAATTTTTTTATTTACTGAAAGCTAAAGCTTGGTAATTACGTTTATTAACCCTTTCACACGTAAGTTTAAAATATTCTAACTGACCCCCCAGCGTGAGTTTTTCAAGGCGACCGTTATTTAGAACTTGCCACTTTAATGTTTCCATGGTGACGCGTCTTTGCTTGTCACGTGACACAGCACAACCAAAACACGGCGCTGAATGAAGGATGATCTGCTTTTGTGTCATTTTTCCTTTTTTGTTAAAAATATTCATAAATGTATTAGCTATAACATGAAACACTGATATTCCGATTGTCAAATATGTGCAAGTGGATGGGTTTGACATGGTTTAAACATCTATATAACGATCGCGTTAGTTGAGCTTTTAGATCTTTTTCAGTTCAGAGAATCAGATCTGTTGGATTTACAACGTCAATTCCTCCACTTCTCACGAAATACATGATTGTAAGTGGCTGGTGAACTGGGAGAAGAATAGGGTCAAATGTAAAGCTACTTACACAATGTGTATCTGATATGAATAAAACGTGTTGTTGTATTATAACTGAAAGGATTATTGCCGCTTCCATAGACATCAGTGTGTATTTTACAAACTCAAAATCATTGTTTTGCTAGTACTTATGTGTATTTAAATGTCTGAAACCTAAAATAAACATTGAAAACACTCAATAGTTTTGTTATATGACAGCTCTGAGTGCGTCCGTCTCTGGCTTAGCGCCAGCCAGCGCGCGAGAGCAAGTTTGAATTTAGCAGTTGCTGACGTGAAGCACTGAACGTTCTAATCACACCGGTGTGATCGTACGCTCCAGGGATCAGCCAAGAAGACTGATCACACTGGTACGTGCGAAAAAGTGACGATTTTGTAAACACTTCGCGTCTTTTCGCGGACCACTAGGGGGCGATGGCGGACCACTGCACTGCGGAGAATTACTGCAATATTAGAATTACTTTGAAAATTACTGCCGAAGTGATGATGTCACTTTGTAGGACAACTCGGAAGCTAGCGGCACATGGGTTCCCTCGATCGAAAAGCTATGCATTTTCCCCATAGACTTTTGGAAAATCGCAAAAAAATAAGATCTGTGTTTAACAAAGAGTTGTGACCCTTACATAGACACTTTTGTCTATCAAGGTAATCTTTACAAGTTAATCCAAAATGTATACATTTTGAACCCTATATAATTTTTTCTAAAAGCACAAGCAGACACAATAAAGTTTAAAAAACCACAAGCAGGTTTTAACTGTGTGTTTTATGTCATAGATCCAAACGTGAAAATATTTAGAGGCTTTTTTCATCACAGACCTTATTTCAGGCGATTTAGCAAAAACCCATTCAAAAATCCCATAGACTTTAGAGCGAGGGAACCGGGAGTGCTAAAATGCTAACTCACTTCCGCATTTTGGCCAACAGAGTGACGTTGTAACTTCGGCACTCTATAATAACATACTATTATAATATGGATAGAATCCATGCATATTTAAATCAAAACTTTTTTTTTTTTTACAAAAATGTAACAATTTTATTATTTTTAATAAAACTATATATTAAGTGGGTAAAATGTAACAATTTTATTATTTTTAATAAAACTATAGATTAAGTGGGTAATTCAAGCTTAAATTGCTTTTGATGGTAGGAAAATCCATTATTAATATGATTATTATTTTAGACTGGCTTATTACTTGATAAAATATTTACATAATTATACTTGATTTAGGACATCTATAAATTAATTGATTTTCACATCAATAATTTGACTAAATTAATGCTAAATCGACAGCACTAAAGACAAAATCTGTGTGTGTGTGTGTGTTTCATGAAGGTAAAGGGACGATCCCCAGTGGCGTAAGGCTGTCACCATTCTGCAGTAAGTTGCCATCTCTGTGCGGCGAAGGACTGACCCATTTATGCTTTTCTTATCTGAGTCATTGTAAGCACACTCAGAGCAAAAGAGGGCTGCATTCACAACTGGGCTAAACTGGGCCAAAGTGGGCCAGATGCTGAAACTCGGTGAGGTTGTAGCGCACAGGGCGGCCACTAGATGGCGGAACAGAGCTATTGCAGAATGTATACACAAAGTACAATCAACAAGCACTGTAGCTAAACCCCTATGGGGACGACAGACTGTGTTTTGTCATGTCCCCAGACAGGCAGCAGAGGGAAGACTGGTAAATAAGAAGAGAACATGCGGAGAGCAGCATCTGTAGCCCTGTGGTTTAAAATGCTACAGAGACCATGTGTTTATTATACAGTATGTCTCTCTGGAATACTTGATTCTGATTGGTCAGATGTGGTATTCTACAGTCAAATTTGTTTTGGGTATGTCCACATAACTGTGTAACTGTTTAACTATACACTTAACTGTGCAGTCTGACTGTATATTATCCTGATAACACTTTCTTTTGTTGACATTCAAGCCATTAAGAAAGCAACATTAATCTTAGCTAATGTTATTCTTGACATTTTAAGAATACATTTTTAAGATCAAACGTCGTATCTGTTAGCATTAGCTAATGCACTGTGAACTAACATGAATATGAACTAATGTTTACAAATGACAGACTGTTATAAAACGCTACTTTTATCCTTAATGTGACATTTCTGAGTCATTATCCGGAGCGTTTTGACGTAAAGCTGTGGGCAGTGACTCACTTTTGACCTGCTGCTCTGGAGCTTTGACGTGACTCAGCATCCCAGGCATGCTGACACTGTTTCTGTGCATGTACTTCAGGAACACATCGGCATTCCGCCTGGCCAAGGTGCACGCCTGAAACACAGAGCGCAACACCGAAATTACCCAAACACAGCCCATCTGCAGCGATTTAAAAAAACAAATGTAAGATTTTTTTAAGGCCAGCACAAAGAAAATGAATAGTAGGTCAATGTTTATGATAATATCATGTTAAGATGTTATCATAAACATTTACCTACTGTACATGACCCCAGCTCGATATATATATATATATATATATATATATATATATATTAGGGCTGTCAAATGATTAATCGCGATTAATTGCATCTAAAATAAAAGTTTGTGTTTACTTAATATATGTGGGTGCACTGTGTATAATTATTTTGTATATATAAATACACACACATACATGTATATTTAAGAAAAAAATATTATTTATATATAAAATATTTATATTTTTATATATAATATAAATTATATACAGTATATAGATGAAAATATTTCTTCAATATATACAAGCATATGTGTGTATTTATATATATAAAATAATTATATACAGTGCACCCACATGTATTATGTTAACACAAACTTTTATTTTGGATGCGATTAATCGTGATTAATCGTTTGACAGCCCTAAAATATATATATGAAGAGTTCCATTTGAAATGTGAAAAAGTGCAAACTTGAAAAAGTGCCATTTGAAATTTTCTTCTAGAATGATAATTTTTTATCAAGCTTGTATATTTAAGTTCAGTGATTTCACTTAAATGGCAATGATAATTACCTATTAATTGTTATTTAAGTGAAATTACTGAACTTAAATATACAAGTTTGATAAAAATCATCATTAAAGAAGAAAATTTCAAATGGCATTTAGAGGCTTTTGCATCTTAACTCTTCATATATATATATATATATATATATATATATAATATATATATACACACACACACACACATATATTTAAAATCTATTACATTATTACTTATTATTCAACCTTTTTTCTGTAAACAAAGCAGAACTGCGCTTATAAACACTACTTTGTTGGGCATTACACAGAAGTAATATGAAAAGAAAAAGCCATCGAAACTTCCCTCGCTGAAGGGCGTCAGTTTGCAGGTATGATATAAACATCATAAAGTAAACAGTGTCATAATTCAACAGTAGATAAAAACAATCACATGGCATAAACATGGGCTATTTGGTGATTACAAACTGCAAGGAAAGCGCAAGCCTGTAGAAAGAGCAACACTAACTAAACAGCAGACATTTTAAGGACCTGCAAACACTGGCAGGCACACATGTGTCCTCTGGGTTTGGATGTTACCTTGAGGAAGGCCTCTTTCTGCTCCAGGTGCTTGCTGATCATGGGGCTGACGTGGTCGGTTTCACAGTTGGGCCCGAGTTTGTCGGCTCCCCCGCACCAGTCCTCCTCACGCTTGTACTCCTGCTCCAGACTCTCCAAAACACTACATACCTACAGCACAGACAGGAAGATGAGCCTTCAACTGCCTGTTAAACTCACTACAATATGAATGATAAAAAGCCTTAAATGTCAATAAATAGCCAAACAAAATTCACGCTAGCATTTGACACGTCAGTCTTCCACTGACCTGTTCGGAGGTCTTGTAAAAGGCCACGGAGGCGTTGACCAGCTTGAGCCGGTCTTCCATCTTCAGCATGAGCTGCTGCCAGTGGGACGCCACGTTCTCTGCGCAGTCGCGGATCATGTCCATGTCATAGTGATTGGCCTGGAGAAGGGCCTCGGCTTTTTGCTGGACCTGTAGCGCGCTCTGATGGGTTTTCTGTGGAGAGGAGGAGAAAACACGTCAGATGACACAAAAACAAAGACCAATAGACTAATAAATAGAATAGAGGGGCAGGAGTCAGATTACTGTGGATGCTAAGATACAACTTATTCATCTACAAAGTGCGGTTTTTAGACGAGTATTCAGTATTCAGCCTATATTCAGTTCAGAATTTGAGTCTGATGGTTGGAGGAAATGAGATTCAGGTTCCCAATAGCGATACAGTGACAGCGGATCTGATGTTATCCTGGTTCTTCATTAAAGGAGGGGAAGTAGAGAGCAAAAGCACGAGGATCAGGTCATGTCTGGATCATTTATGAGCTTGAGATGCAGATAAACGGCATCAATAAATATGTTTAGCCATTAGGAGGATTTGTATTGCTGTGTGCATTTGTTTTTTCTACACTTTTTAAGGGGTTGATTTTACCATGCATTCATTTTTCAAATACCTTTAATATATACTGGCTTTTTTTTTGTAAAAACCAGTAAAAATATTATTGCAATTTTTTTCTATGTAAATTTATTTTAGAACGTCATTTATTTCTATGATGGCAAAGCTGAATTTTCAGCACCATTACGCCAGTCTTCAGTGTCACATGACCCTTCAGAAATCACTCTAATATGCCGATTAGCTGTGTAAGCAACATTACTACTATACTATTATCAATGCTGTGTTGCTTAATATTTTTGCAGAAATCAATATTTGATTAATATAAAGTTCAAAAGAATAGCATTTTGGAACATTATAAATGTGTTTACTGTCCCTTTTGATCACTATAATGCATCTCTGTAGCATAAAGGCATTCATTTCTTTAAAAAAAAAAAAAAGGAAAAATTCTTACTGACCCCAAACTTTTGAACGGTAGTGTATAGATTCTGTTTTACCATTGTTCCAGGGCCAAACTTTCAATTTTAAACTCTAAAAAAGCATTTTAAAAGTAAAAAAAGTATAATACATTCAAACAAAGAAAGAACATCTGTTCCTCATTTGTGGTGTACAGTCACATACAGTATTATGTTATAATAATTTTGTTCAAATGTTAATTAAAATATCACATCATCTCTTTATCATGCATCAATTTCCAAACATGTTGTGATTTATAAAAATTATTCAAAAAGTCTGAAAATATAAATTAACTGTATTCAGGAGACATAAATGCTATGTATGAAGTTAGCATTAGCAAAACAGTCAGCTGTTTAATTCCAGAAATTTATGAAATATTATTTGGGCCACAGAATGATGTTAAACATAATACATAAATTGACTTGTGGTGGATTCACGGTTGACCATTGTTAGTTGTGAAATGTGTGCGAGTTTATGTTTGTGGTTAAAAAAAAAAGCCAATAGTTAAAGGGCAAGTTAGCACTAATGAATGTTGACAATATTTATGTTTTGATCTATTATATCTATGGTAAAGGCCTATAATAAGAATAAGGCAGGAAAATTGGTGAAACATGGGAAAATGGTAATGGTTTGAAGCAAAATATAAGGAGCGCTGACCTCGATAGCATGCTGGAACTGCTCATGCTCTCTCTGCAGCTGCTCGGCTTCTTGAAGAGAACTGGCCGTAATCAGACCTGCATTCAGCATTGATTCACCATTACGGATCCAACCCAGAACCTACAGCATTAACACAGACAAATCGACACATCAAAAAACAGTATTAAGTACACACTGAGCGGTATGCAGTAAGCACTACACAAGTGTTCCACTCTGAAAATAGCCCGTGCATTACCTGTTTGACCTCTGCCTGTAGGTGGCGCAGTTGCACACATTGCTCCAGGTGTCTGCGGTGCTGCTCCGCCGCCACGTCCAGCTCTTGCTGTTTCTCATGTAGAAACTCCAGTAGATCCTGAACGCGGGTGGCCATGTCCACATCACGGTCACACAGCAACTCCACACCTGGAAAACAAGAAGAAACACTCTTAGCTCTCATTTTATTCCATCACAATGAAGCCGCTAGACTGAAAACTCTTGTTTTGGGACAGTTCTTTGATAAACAGAAAGATCAGCATTCATATGAAAATGATTTTTTTTTTTTTGTAACATAAATGTCTTTACTTTACTGTCTTTATGTCTTTGCTGAAATAACGTATTCATTTATTTCAAAAGTTCACCAGAAGTGCATATTGCTAGGGCTGGGTATTGACACAAATTTCACAATTCGATTCGATTTCGATTCACAAGCTTGCAATTCGATTCGGTTTCGATTTCGATTCGATTCAATTCGATTCAATATTGATTATTTTGGATATCAGTTACAATAAATGGCAAATTTTCTCAAGGAAATTAAATCTCTTAACTAATGCTGTAAACTATGGTAGTCTAGTTGTAGCCTACTAGGCTTCATTAGCCTAATATGAAGGTAATAATTAACTGTTTTGTAGCTATACAAACACAAATTGCACTTTTATTTATTTTTATAATAAGAAGATTATATGAAATATAAACATTTAAATGGTGACTGTCATAAAAACTTGCCAGATTTGTTCAAATATGCATTAAATAGTGAAGAACATTAAGATTATAATGCATATGTAATATGGTGTATATATTTAGCAAAATGCTCCTCTCTGGAGTTATTTTTTCTAGCTGACTAACAAGTTTATGTGGGTTTTCTAAATATGACGATACATGACATTGATTACAAGCTGTTTAACTGACGTCTTTCCACGGTTGAAACGCTGATTGAGCGAATCAATGTGACATGATACGGATTTCGATAAGTTGTACTCTATCTTTTAACACACTTTCAGATGCTCATTCATGTTTATTTCGCGCTGTGACTGATATTATTAAGCCGGAAGAGAGATCAGCGCTGCTGCTTCTCTAGAGCTGCGCCAGAGCGATCTCACGCCACAGCGCCAAAACGTTATTTATGTTTTTGAATTTCTAAAGAAAATGGACGTAATTTGAAAATTGAGACTTTGTTTCATATCAATAGTAACAAAGGACAAAGATTATTGTGATTTTTTTAGATGCGCGCAGCCGCGATACAATGATCCATTCATTCAAATGAAACAGGATGACTAATCGATTCTTGAGATTTAAGAATCGATATCGGTTCGTAAAAATGAGAATCGATTAATATCGAGAAATCGATATTTATTACCCAGCCCTCCATATTGCTATAATAAAACATGCTGTTTTCTAATATCCGTTGGCCTCACCGGACGCCTGCACCTCGTTGACGTACTGCAGCAGCTCCTGGCCCTGGTGGATCACATGGAAGGCCAGGTTGTTCATGGTCAGGGCTTTATCTGCGTGGTGCTGTAGTCTCTGTTCGGCAAGCGTCAGGTCTTCTGTGTCGAAGTCATTCATCTGCTGCGACAGCTCCTCATTCCATGAGTCTAGATCGGAGATAATCTGGAAAAAAAATGTCCAGCATGAGCGCACTCTGAGAGTCTCAGACACCATTACTAATGGGCAGACACAGCGAGATCACCCAGGACAAGAAACAGAGTGATCTGTCCAGCCTTGCTCTTAAATGTAAAAGCTAATGTCTTCCTTTATAAACTCTCAATGCAATCAGGAGAGAGATGCTGTGTCCGAAATCACCCACTACTCACTATATAGTGGACTATATAGTGAGGTCGCCATTTTGAAGAGCTGTCCGAATGTATAGTGATGAGTATTATACCCTATATAGTCCACTCAATGTATCCCAGAATGCATTTTGAAAAGTAGTGTACAACCGATGGTCACTAACCCAAGCCCTACATACCATCATGCATTGCGCTGATCGTAAAAATGAGTTATAATCTTGTGTGGAGTAGCGCATTATAACAGAAACGGCCAAAAATTACTTTTAGTTTTTAAATTTTGGAGAAATAAGCTCAATATAAATGTAATGTAAATATTTTTTAAAAATCTATTTAGCCCAGAGCCAGATGATGTAACCAACGGCGCCAAAAGACGATCAAGTAGTGTCCGAAAGTGGTGTTTCTATTATGCTGGTGAGCTCACTATTAAGTGCTCTACTCCCTACCCCCGGTTTGAGTGGAGATTTCGGACACAGCGAGAGAGTAATCACTTTCGGGTGCAGATCATCCTTGAAGATTCCTGCTTATTAATTGTTAGAAAATCATATTAGACATCAAGGAGCCATTAACTATTGTGCTGATGGGAATACTGCCCTAGTTTAAGGAATAGTTGACTATTAGTTACTCTCCCTCATGTCATTCCAAATGTGGAAAACAAAATGTTCTGGCTGCTACTTCCAAAATAATAAATGAGGATTCAAAGTTTAGAATAATGACAGAAATTAAATTTCTCAGTGAATTATCCCTTTAAATGTCCCGTTCTTCATGTTTTTTGAAGCTGTGCAATTTAACTTTTTTCTCACAATAGCTTGTTTTCACGTGACGTCACGCCACTGCGTTGCCATGGCGCGAAACGGAGATGGAGGGCAGGAAGTGATTTTCTATATTAGGAAGCACTATAACACACTCAAAATGCCTATCTTTTGCGTCGTTTATGGTTGCTCAAATCGATCAAAACACGAGGAGTTTCTTATCGTGTGCCAAAAGTTGTTGTTCATAAGGGGGGAAAATACAAGAAATTGACAGAAAAACACCGGGGAAAATGCCTTGCAAACGTACGTCTGCGGTCGGGAGCAACCGAATGGGAAAACGCCTGTGTGTGTGTGCAGTGATCACTTCGTCAAATGTGAGTATACATTATTTATGTGGCTGATAATTACATTATTCGGGTGTTTAAATACACTTATGTGGCTGTTTGTGTAACGTACCAGTTTCCGAATTTTGTAAAGTCAAAGTATGTCTGTAAGACGAGTTAGTTGCTGATATCTAGCCTCGATGGCAGGCAAATCTCTCAATTCAGTTGAAAATCGGTCCTCTTCATAACGTAAGGATCACGTCCACATATGTTTCGATTTTCTGTTTATATATTTCTCTTGTAATAGCGTCTAAAGTAGTACAGTACGTATTTTTCTCCATCTCGTCCATTGCGCTCTTCACTCCTTGCCCTCCATCTCCGTTCCGCGCGTCAACACAATCACGTGACTGCAAACCATCTATTGACTTATCTGTATACCGCTGTTTTCACTGTCCAAAAAACAGAGATGGTGCTCACTGCGGAACATGAAATCCACGGGGAGGAGTCGGATCCAGATCCAACTCCTCCCACCTTACATACACCTAAACCTAACCAACTCCGCCCCCTGATCCCTAAACCCACCCCTAATCCCTAAACCCAACCCTAATCCTACCCATCTCCACCCCTTGGATCGTGATCCGACTCCTCCCCGTGGATCTCATGTTCTGCATTGAGGTGCTACTGAAAAAACAGGCCGATGACTTTCTTGCTCTATGAAGTCCCTCCTTCAGAAATATGTAACGAGTTCTGATTGTGCCAGCGGTTCCTGTGTTGTGATTGGACACAGTAGCTTTTCGCACGTTGTTCGGAAAGGTCACGCCTATTGCCACTGGAGATGCATGCGCTGATTGTTAGAGTAAAAATGTACAGGTATATAAATTAGGGTGACCAACTGTCCTGTTTTCCCTGTTTTCATATAACAATATAACCCTTTTCTATCCATACAGAGGAGGCATAACCTACTTTAAATGTATTGAAATTAATAAGGTATCTTTGAGTAAACTTCAAGCATCATTTGAGTACGCCCATCTGTTTGCCGGGCCGAGTGTCCTGGTTTTTGGTAATCAAAATATGGTCACCCTAATATAAATATCAATTTGAGCCTGAATCAGACCCGGAAAACATGGATGAAGAGAATCGATTAGAACCTGTTCAAACGCGAGGGGTAAGCTGTTTATTTAGTAGTTATCATACTTTTAATTGGTTAAACTGTAATGCTGAATGTTAAAAACTGTTATAAAAGCTTTCCTGTCAAATTTAACGATGGTGTTGTTTTAATTTTTAAAATAAGTCCATTGTTTATTCCTACCTTAGTTACCAGTGGACGAGTTTTGAATAGTAATATGTTTTATAGGTATTCCTGTGGGCAGAGATTAGTCAAAAAAAAGGAAGTAGAGGGGTGTAGTCCAAACTGGACGTTTGCTGTAGGCTTTGAAAGGGGACTTCTGTTCAATAAAATATCTTGCTAGGCATTGAACTTTGAGCTTTATAATTTTACAGGTATTATTTATCCTCTAACAGCAACATTACACACTAACTAACGTTTGAAAAATGGAATCGCGAAGAACTGGACCTTTAATTAAAGGGATACTCCACTTTTTTTGGAAATAGGCTCATTGTACCACTTCCCCAGAGTTAAACAGTTGAGTTTTACCGTTTTCAAATCCATTCAGCCAATTTTCTGATATTTAGGAGAATATCAGTTACCAGACAGTTTCTGGTTTCATTGACTTCCATAGTAGGAAAAAATATACTATGGAAGTCAATCAGACCAGAAACTGTCTGGTTACTGATATTCTTCTAAATATCAAAAAAAAATCGTCTGAATACATTCGAAAACGTAAAACTCAACTGTTTAACTCTGGGGAAGTGGTACAATGAGCCTATTTCCAAAAAAAGTGGAGTATCTCTTTAAAACATACTGTCCTCCACAGACAATTGTAGAGTGAACTCACGTCAATGGCATCCCTCTCAAAGATCCTGAGCTGGAGGAAAAGCTCCAGTTTGATCTTCCTCTCCTGGAAGAGCTCTTCCATCTGAGCCTGAGCCTCATCCAGCTGCTGCAGGACGCTCTCGATGTGGTTGATGGAGCTGTTGTGAGGAGTCTTGTTGCTGGAGATGGCCGAGTCTCTGCAGGAAGACAGCACAGGTACGTGTGTTTTAGTGTGTGCGCAATGGTTTTAGTGATACAGGAAGAAACATTTGTCTTTGGGGAAAATCAAAGCTGTAATAAAAATGGAATTATTCATTTAAGCAATGTTTGGAATTCTCAAGCCCAAGTCTGAAGGAATTTGAGGAATTTTAGCTCCGTTTTCTCTATTTGTACCTTGTTTACACAAACACAATGGTTTTATATGGACTTTCCGACCATTATCTGCTTCATTGCTCGAGTGAGTGGGGTCAAAACAGGGAATCTTGGGAAGGATCAGAAATGACTTGCTGTGTAGTGAGTAGGTCTGCTGTTAGAGTAGACACATCATGAGTTTAATTTTGATTCATGAATCTGTTTGACTGATTCGTTGAAAAGACCATTTCACACATTAAAGGGAAAGTTCACCCAAAAATGAGAATTCGGTCATCCTTTACTCACCCTCATGTTGTTCTAAACCTGAATGAGTATTTTTGTTCTGTTGAGATATTTTGAAGAATGTTGGTAATCAAACAGCTGAAGCTGGTATTTTTTAATCATACTATGGAAGTCAATGGCTACCGTCAACTGTTTGATTACCAACATTCTTCAAAATATCTTCTTTTGTGTTCAACAGAAGAGAGAAACTCAAACGGGTTTGGAACAACTTGAACTATCCCTTTAAGAATTTAAAATACTGTTGCAAATTTTCATCATTTTAGATGCTATTTTATCATCTGGGTTTATCCCATAACTGCTTTTGATCAAATATACAAAATGCATACTGTAGCTCAAATTATATACATATATATAAATCATTTCATTTTAGAGAGACAGAGAAAGTAAAGTGGCTGTAGAAACTTTTGTTTCACCATGTGAAACTCGAAAAATTTTAATATTGTGCAAAGGTTAATTTCAGTAATTCAACTTAAAAGGTGAAACTAATATATTACATAGACTCATTACATGCAGAGTGAGATATTTCAAGCCTATATTTGTTATCATTTTGATGATTATGGCTTACAGCTTATGAAAACCCCAAATTCTAAATTAGAATATTGTGAAAAGCTTTTCATAAGCTGTAAGCCATAATCATCAAAATGATAACAAATAAAGGCTTGAAATATCTCAATTTACATGTAATGAATCTATGTAATTTTAGTATGTAATTACTGAAATAAATTAACTTTTGCATGATATTCAAATTTTTCGAGTTTCACCTGTAGCTCTGATCAAAAAAGTTACTTTTTTATTTTTAAACTTTTTAAGTTTATTGAGGATACAGAACAATTCAAACTGATACCTTCTGAATTCAACACTGATTCTTGAATCAGGAGTTTTCAAACGGCAATGAAGATTGTAAATTACTAAGGCAAGTGTTTATTTTCTGTTGCTTTTTTAATCATTTTGACGGGTTTTATTATATAATACTAATTTGATTCTTCTATGAATGTAATTCTAAAGTCTAAATTATCTTTGTCCCATCAAAAGCTACTTTGGATGGAAATAAATAAAATGAATAGCTATCAATTCGGATGATATTTGTAAAAAAAAAAATATATATATATATATATATATATATATATATATATTTTTTACGGGTAGAGAAAATAAAGTGTCTGCAGATGCTGTGCAACACAATATAAAATGTTACATTTTGTGGAGTGGATTGAACACTGTCTCTATCACTCTGCCTGTGAAAAAGGAGCAAATGGGGTATGAAAAGCAACATTTTGCTTAATTTTATTACTCTAACCTCTTGAGGGAGAGAAGTAAATGATCAGCAGAATACTGAACCTAAAACTAACAAAAACCGACAAATATTAGGGCCCGAAAGAGGATGTGACCCCAGGCTTGAAATTTAAATGTAATAAAACAAAAAGCCAGTGCTAATGAGATTCTAAATTCATTAAAAATTGAAATTATATGGTCCTTAATGCATTATCTGCGAACGGGTGAGAGGATTACAAGCCCATTGGAAAGTTAATATGTAAAATATGCAACATTATCCTATTTTCATTAAAAAGGTTAATTTTAAGGACAGCTTTAGTAATAATTGTACAAGACGGTGAAGGGGAAAAGAAAAAGAGGAAGCAACAGTTTCAAACGAGTCTGTAAGGGATAGAAGAAAGACAGAAGAGACCTTTCATCCCGGCTCAAAGGACACAAGCGGGTTAACTCTGATTAAACTTTATTAAAAACAAATGGTGTAATAAAGTAAAATCACAGTTATCGGGGTAATAAAGGCCCTCGCTTTTAATTGACGCTTCAGTGCTGGATCTCTGCGGAAAGTCTGTTCCCATAGTGATGTGCTTTTATCATACTGAAAGGCTGGCGTGAGGAGTAACACAATAATTAACGCTTTCATGACCGATCCACAACCTCAACACAACCAGGGCTTCGAGATTACACCAGGCTCAAGTAATATGAGTGAGTGCAATGCTGAGATCCGGATATCTCATGTGAACGCGTAAGAGAGCTTGTGTACAGTAAGTGTGTAATGTCTCTGCGGTTTGGGCATTCTGTGGGTTGGTGTGAGCTGGGGACCTTTCTGTTTGTAACTCTGGGCTCTCGGGGTTTAAGTATTACCTCTGCATAATTAACTAGGCGATTATGAAAGCAGGATTATGTAAGACACTAGAGGAAGAGAGAATAACAGAATGAGAACGAGAGAGAGAGAGAGAGAGAGAGAGCACATGGAGAGATAGCCATCCTCGAAATTCACATGTGTAGAGAGACTAATTTGCAAGTGGAGGAGGATCAAGCCACATGTCTTCATCTGCTCTCCTTTATAAAATAATAATAATAATAATAATAACTTAAGTCATAGAAATGCAGTGTGAACGCTAAACTGAACTAATGCTGTGATTTCAGAGTTGCCAGTACTGCACCAGTTATTATATAACAATAAATGTAATATTTACAATACAATATATGAATTTCATATATAAAACAAAACAAATATATAATACATAAAATGCAAATTCATATGTAATATTTTATATATTTATAATATATATTTCAATATTTAAGGGTCTATATTAAAAATTAAGTATATAGATAAATATAAATTATATATATAATACACACACAAACACACACACACACACACATATATATATATATATACACAACATTAATTATATTTATATGAATGGCATATAGTTTAATTAGATTACTTTTAAAAAATAATCGAATTAAACTATATGCTAATATGTTTAATTGACTGCAATGTATCACATTGAAAAGTATTTAAAACTTAATATAAGTTTATTCATCAGCATAGGACTTGATTAGATTTAATTTCTTAATGATTGATTTCTAACCAGTTATTATTTGAAATTCAAATTAATGGTATTTTTTCATATATAAAACATAACATGAAACATAATTTGTGATAAATATAATATAAATTGTATATAATATACAAATAAAATGTCAAATTGTACTTTTTAAAAAATGTATTTACTTTTTTGAAGTATGGAATTAATTATACTTTCTTTAAGCTACTGACAATCCTAATATCATCTTCCTTTTTTGTGTAAAATAGTTAGACCCTAACTACACCCTTTTACCTCCTCAAAAACAGCTCTGTTCACAGCGATCCGTTTCAGTGCATGTCTCTTTAAAAAATGATAATGAGCAACTGCTAGTGTTTAGACTTTTTGAGGATTAAAAAAAGGAGAGAATGGATTTTTTTTATTGTATAATGGTTATATCCACAGACTGCAAAGATACATATACCAAAGTGAATTTTGCATCCGATGACCCCTTTAAGATTATACTACGGAATGATCATAAGTCACATGGGTTGCATCAAACCATTCCTCAAGGCCTGAATATTTTTGCAGCGTTGTGCGGGCCACTGCAGTAGTGCTGGCAGTCGGGTATTCAGAGTTGCACTGATGAAATGTGACGGAGCCGAACACGTGAGAGCGCTGAGAGACTGCATGCTTCTCTCTCCTTCTCCTGCTCAACTTTCAGGATCAAGCTTTTCTGAATCTCAGCCTTCACGTTCTTCTGCGGCAGCAGTCCTTCCCACACGCAGATTATACATATGACTGACCGTTAGCACTAACACTGGACATAAATGCCATTTCACAGCTGCACTAATAGTTACTCACAGTTACAGTAATGTAAAGAGAGGATAGTACTCCAAATGCAAAGTGGATGCTGGTAAAAGGGACCAAATGAGTGCTTGAACCATCCAAAGGTTTGTTCAAGTGAGCATGACTAATGTTTGCTTGAGTACAAACACAATACTGGTTACAATTCTGACTCAACTAGGCAATTCCATTAGGCCAGTTGCACAAACATGCAATTATGATAAAACTGTGTCTTTACTAGTATGACCAACTAGTAAGTTAGGGGTAATCAGTCTAACTTTTCTGTATCAAATTAGACCAATCTAGGTTAATATGAAACCGACTTAAAAAAAACTTATGAACAGCAGTGCTGGGTGTGTTACTGTAATTTAATTACTTTTCCCTTGAAAATGTAAAGTAAGGCATTACTCTTCATTTATCTGTAATTTAATTGCAGCTACTTCTGATGAAATTGAGGTAAATACTGTGTATAGATCAATCCGATCTCACAGCGATTCATTTGCATTTTATGAGGCGTCTAAATTGTACGACCACACTCGTACAAATTCGTATGAATTATTGTAAAATATGTATGAAAAAAGTGTGAAATGTCTTGAGATCAGACAATACACTAGTGGGTTTAACATCAAAATGTATTGTCTGATGTTAAAAAGTATGTTTTTATAATGTAACCTTCTCCACCTTGGTCAGTTTAAGGATAATTCATGCAATTTTGTAGTATTTATTTGAAAGAATTAAAACAGATTCATGTCTATCCTTGTATTATTCAGCTGGTTGAGATTTATATGGGATTTTGAAAGTAATTAGTAATTAAAAGTAATTAAATACTTTTTAGAGAGAGTAATTAGTACAGTAATCTAATTACACTGTTTAAAAGGTTATTAATAACTAGTAATTAATTACTTTTTTAAGTAACTTAGCCAACACTGATGAACAGTTTATGCAAATAGCTCATTATCAATTCTTCTAGTGCTTAATTGGTCCTAAATTTATACAAAACCACAAAAATATAACTTTTTGGTAATATTTTGTCATTTATTTTAAATTCAAACACTGAATGTGTATCTTTAATATCCACACTCATGCAAGTTCTCTGAGAATCAAGAATAACTAAGATTAACTTGATTAATATTGAGTTGTAAATAATAAAATGAGAGAATAATTAGATTAATAATGAGTTGCGCATAATAAAATGAGAGAATAATCGCTTTGAACGATTCAATGATAGAGTTATTAAACTGATTAAAACTATTAACTGCAAACTATTATGAGCTCAACACTGATATTTGAGTATGTCTGACTGATTCGCTCAAAGAACAGTTATTTGTTCATAAGTTACTCTGGTTTGTTGTTTGTAGTAAGGAACAGTGACAGAAAGATGTGCTTTCTATTCATCATCTGTGTATTATTTGGTGGAATCCTCTATGTTTCAGACTTGGTGTGTGTGTGTAAGATTTCAAAGAATGACTTTCACAGTAAATCAAACAAACCCCATCTCAATGGAATCGAACTTATCCACACCAAAGCATGAAAGCAGAATAAAGAGCTGTTGCAGAGGAAGACAAGCACAGATGAGAAGATTGTGCACCTGAGTTGCTGAATAAGATCCTCTCCCTCTTTGATGACATTTACAGTGAACTGCAGTGTGGTCTGCTGTTGCTGCCCGAAACGCTTGATCAGGTCCTGAACAGCCTCCACCGACTCGGCGTATACGTCGTCCAACAACTCCTTTTGCAGCTCCTCCAGCCATGTCCACAGCTGTGAGCAAAAGACATGTCTTAATGGCACTTTTTTACTTAATAAAACACCTCATTTTAGTATAATACCTAAGGCCGTGTGTCCACCAAAGCGTTTTTTCCACGCGCCTGGTGTATGTTTTCAATTGTTTTCAATGGGAGCGCCACGTTTTATAAACGTCATGAGCGTAACTGAGCGGTTTTTTTTTTTACACTGAGCGTTTTTTACTGGTCGCCGAGAGTTGAAAAATGTTCAACTTTGGATAAAACGCAGCGCTCATCACTGTCACTTTTTACCCAGCCGTCCAATCACAGTGGAGGAGGGGCGGGAGTCGGACTAAACCACACCGACCAACTGTCACAACATTCTTTCTGTACAACGACGTCAACCAACAGAGCTAACCGAACAGCATGGATGAGAAATAAATATTTTGAAGGAAACAAATTATCTGCGAAATCAGTTACATGTAAACTGTGCTGCGGATATTCTGTATCATAGCAACGAAACGTCTCAACGGAAAAACGCTGCGCTGCCAAAACGCTCTCAAGCGCCAAAACAAGGCGTCTTCAGCAGAGCGTTTGACGTTTTCAGCGGGCTAAAAACACTTTGGTGGACACACGGTCTAATACCTAATGTAATACCTAAAATAATAACAGATATATTATTATTTGTGTTGCATATAAAGATATTTATGCATATTTTGCTAAATGTACACATTCACCTTGAGTAATTACGTTTTTTTTTTTCCTTTCTGATATATGATATTGAATGTTTAAGGGGACCTATTACAAAGTCTTGATTTTGTTTTTGGGCTCTACTAGAACAGGTTTTCATGCCTGAATGTTTAAAAAACACATTGTTTGTCATATTCTCCACTGTTGCGGCTCCTCTCTTCCCAGTCTGTCAGTAACGCTCTGTTTAGTTCCTGTCTCTATGAAGCCACTTTTTCTGAAAAGCACAATGTGCTCTGATTGGTCGGCTGGAGCAGTGTGTTGTGGTTGTTCAACCTCTTCGAAAGTGTTTGGGAAATGCCACGCCCATTACCATAACCACCCATTTCAACACACCACTAACTAACTCAACCAGGCCTCGTACCTTATTTTGTGTATGCCTTGGGCGGGAATTATTTAAATGAAGAATAATCCTTTCATGTCTTCCTCCAATTCAGAAACTGATATAGAGTTTCAATTTGGAGTGACTATGCTTTCTAACTTTGCAGAAGTTTTTTTATGCTCAAACAGCAATATTACACACTAAAGAAAGCTGAAAATGTATGAAAAAAAGTCAGGTTTTAATGTGTCAGGTTCTTGTGCAAATGTGCAAATAGCATATTAAGTATGCAACAGTCATGGCACAAACACACAAAAAAACATAACAAATAAGCATGCTAAATATATAAATATCTACATCTTTTTACTACACACACACACACACACACAAAAAACCCCTGGACATTATGCATAAAAATGGGAACATTGTTTAAAACGGGCGATTTGAGGCCTGAGGAGAACTGAACAGTTCTGAAATTCATTGTTGACGGCGATTCATTTGTTACAAAAGCTGTGCTTTGATGGCGGCTCTCCAGAGGTGATTTAAAGATGAACAATTGAACTTCTGTGAGAGGATTTTAGCACGCTGACAGTGCTGAAGATGTCCCCAAGAGGTTGTCTTTAATTCAACCACTATAAACCACCACTCAAGTACTAACCCCCAGTCTTAAACCTAGTCCCAGACTAAAATGCATGTTTGAGATGTTTCAACTGAAATCAAAGTGCCATTTTTTTAGGATGCACACCAGTAAAGTTTTTTTTAATGTTTTTTTAATGTTTATAAAAGCTACTTAAATGCCCTAATTGAACTAAGGCCTAATCGAAGCCCTGTCTGTGAAACCGGGACCAAAAACATACTATTTTTTCATTCAGACTAAACTACTCAACCAGCCTGTCCATGCCTAGTTCTTACCTCTTTCACATGGGTGTGGAAAGCTACTGACATGTCCAGCAAGACCTTTCGCTGCTCCACACGCCTTACAAAGTCCTGGATCCGGTCCTCCAGCTGATGAGCGGCCTGATAGATCTCCTCCGGGTCACACTCGCCCGTCTGGGCCAACTGTTCCGCCGCTTCAAGCAGCTTATCAGCATTAGTGTATGTATTCTGATAAAGAGAAGACACATTATGGACCATGATGCTCATGTCAGCCGTTAAGAATATTTCACTTCAAATGCATTTCGGCACTGACTAATACAAACAATGTCTGTTGGGGAGCACCAAAATAAAGTGTTAGGAGATATTAAGCAGACAGTCTACTAATACTCTAATGACTGCTAGTTGACATGTAGTTGCAAAGTTACTTAAAGTGGACCATTAAAAAATGCAAAACCGCAACATAGTCCTGAAAATACGATTACAGTCCATTAGTAGGGTCTGTCACACTCGTGATATGAAATCAAATAATTTACATAAGATTAAATATACCCATGGACCAGCAGGCCACTAAAAATTACTAGTCGTGCAAGCCCTAACGCGTGTCGTATTGTATTCAGCGACTTCTTATCAGCTGTGCTTAAAGGGGTGGTTCAGGTTTTTGGACATCAGGCCTCATTTCCAAGTTAGTCTTAGTGTTATTTATCAGTGGAGACAGTTTTCAAAAATTTTCATCCAGTCGTTCCAGTTGCATATAGTTCGCCGGTGCTAGGCTAGCGCGAGTCAACGGTAACTGCTATTAAAAACAGTTTTACCCCCTCCACAGTGCACCAAAAGCAAATAAATTATAACGCCAGACTATCGATGTAAATGTCTGTTAAAGGAGCTGTATGTAAGAAATTTATTTCAAATAATCATAAAATGGCCCTGATATGTCACTAGACATTAAGAAATCATGTTCATTTCAAATACTTGTATCACTGACAACAGCAGTCCGGCCAGTATATTGTCATTTAAAAAGTGAAGTTGCAGCCCTCAACTGTCATGTTGTGTTTTGGTCTGATGCTCCACCCTCCACCGATCTACCAATCACGAAGTCAGTAGTGTTGCAGCATCCGGGTTGCCAGCTCTGCTCTAGTTACAGCAGCTGCAGATACAAATGTGTCAGATAAAAAAAATGTTGGATCCTGCAGCCTATCTGGCAACCTCGAGTCAGGGGGGAGGGGGAGGGGATAAACCGCTCTACAGTAATTTGAAACTGATTGCAGTACCAGTTTTGGCCACAATCTTACATACAGCTCCTTTAAGAGAATAATGTTAAAAATCAAACTACTATTGTATCTCAATGATCACAATACATTTACATGAACTGCACCGAAAAGTAAACGAAAAGGGGATGGTGGAGTGGATAAGACACATGCCTTTGGTGGGAGAGACCTGGGTTCGAATCCACTGTGAGACACCAATGTGTCCCTGACCAAGACACTTAACCCCTAGTTGCTCCCGAGGCGTGTGACCTCTGACATACATAGCAATTGTAAGTTGCTTTGGATGAAAGCATCACCTAAATTAATAAATGTAAAAGTAAATGTAAACAGAACCGAAGTGCACTACAATCGGGACTACCTGCACTACCTCTCTCGGTTGCCTAGGTAACTATATAGGTAACACTCCGCCGCTGCTGTAGACTGCGCTAATAAATACAGGGAACAAAGTATAACTATTGCAATACGATGAAAGGGTAGTTTGGTTTCTAATATTATTCTCTCAACAGGCATTTACATCGATAGTCTGGCGTTGCTTTTGCTGAACTGTGGAGTGGGTAAATGGCAGGCTGGCAGTTACCGAGCCTAGCACCGGCGAACTATGCAACTGGAACGACTGGATGAAAATTTTTGAAAAATGTCTCCACTGATAAATAACTTGGAAATGAGGCCCGATCTTCAAAATCCTGAACCAACCCTTCTAATACCTAATTTATGCATGGAAGAATCCAGGGAAGCCAGCTGAAATAAAACCTGAGGGGAAGGGGAGATTTTATAATGGGATTGAATGGCGAACCTGAGCAACTTCCTCGAAGTCTTCATGGCGTTTCTGCAGGGCTCGTGCGCGATGCAGAGACTTCCCCACCCCCGTGTGTTTGCTGAGGAATGCCTCACCGTGGTTCTCAATCCAGTCAAGAACCTACTCGCACAGAGAAAAAAATTCAAATGAATTTGTGAGATAGCGCAGAGCTTTCCAGTCCGTTTTTAGGTGAGAACGTGTCCTGTCAGAAAGGTTTTATGTTAATGGCAGTCAAATCAAGATAGCATGACAGGTGAGACTACAGGGTCCAAGACTGAAAAAAAAATTATGCATAAAGGTGTCGTTCACAGCCTAGAGCTCTCCCTCTCTGCCTCTCATCGCATCCCCGGAACCACTATTCGGTTTCCATGGCAACACTTTCCCTCAGCCACAGAATTAGCCGTTCTGCATTCTCTCGGTCGAACACCTCGCTGCAGAAAACCACAATCTCTGCACCAATAAACTGGCCCTGAACCTGAAAGCAATGTACAATAGAAAGAAATGCAAAGTGCTACGCTTCGGCAGCGGCTTATCCTTGACTTTAAATTGCATGTGTCTATTTCTGTTTGCGTGTAAACAATTATAATCCCAGAGATCTTCAGCCAAGATGCTGCAGTGTTTTCTCTTTCGTACACTGCTTCGGTGTACTAAAGAGGCAGTGGTAACAGTAATTGTATGTTGAACTAAAGCCTGCCCAGAAGTAAGAATTTGGGAATCTCCAAATAAAAAAATCTTGTGTTTTTGGCTGACACAAGCCAAAAGCACTGGTCGCAAGTACATACTGGAATAAAAAAATAACTATATTAGTCTTTCTTTCCTAGTAGCACCAAGTACAGACTCAATTTGGTGGATGCAAACATAGATATCTATATAAAGGCTAGATATGTCGTCCACGCTGCTGGCCAATGGAGGTCGACGTCTGCACCTGGCGGCCATCTTGTCACAGGCAGCTCGCTCACTCGTAACTAGGGTTGGGTATCGAGAATCGAGTATCGATTGGAACCGGGACTAACTTTTCATTTTTCCCGGAATCGTTCAAAATTTAAAATTTCGATTCCTAGTTTCGATATTCACAGTAGGAGTATTTGTGACAGAAGGAGTATTTCCTTCAGAAAGGATTATTTTCTTCAGAAATACCATTGGTTAGCAAGGTTAGCTAAACTTTTTTGACCCTGCCTCTTAAAAGAATCGGAATCGAGAATCGTTAGGAACCGGAATCGAAACAAGGAATCGGAATCAGAATCGTTTAAATTCGAACGATACCCAACCCTACTCGTAACATTGTGTTAATGGTACATGTACTATTTAAATGACCATAACTTGCTCAATTTTCTACCGATTTTCAAACAGTTTGTAGTTATGACACTGCATACTTATGAATAAAAAGTGTATAAATAAATAATCATCCAGATAATTATAGCCACGTTAATAACGTTTGTAAGAAACCAAACCGTTTGTAAATCCGTCAAGATTTCAACGATATAAGAGTATTTGTGTTCGTGCTGACCACTCATCTTACATCAGCTTGCCTGTAACAAGATGGCCGCCAGTGATGACGATGGAAACTCCACCGTAACACATCTAGCCTTTATATACATATCTATGGATGCAACTACTTTCAAGTACCACATGGTCAAAATGGCTTTAGTGTAAACAGAGGGGACAAAAAGTGTCAAATTGTGTGGTGTATAATGAGATTAATATGAATCAGAAACAGAAATATTAACAAGATATATAAAATATTAAAACGCTATTTACCTTTCTATTATTTACCTTACATTGTTTTCTTTTATTATATGATATTTGAATTGTTTAAAATGACTGATTACATAGAAAATCTAAAAACATGCATTTTTATTACATTTATTTTGTTAATAATTATATTACATTTATCCCTCTTTGTGTGTGTGTGAGAAAATTAGCCAAAAATGTTTCTGTGAAGATAGGATTGTTCACTGTGTAGGAATTACCAAAATTGTAATAAATAAAGACATTGACCAAAATATTATTATATATTAAATAAACATATTATGTTCATTACTTGCGTTTAAATAACATAACATTTTCAAATTAAGAGTGATATTGTTCAATATGATATTGGTTTTTGTTGTGATATCAAACATTTTTGTGTTAGTGACATGACAGAGTCGTTTCAGTTATTCACGCAGACTCTACATCCTTTCTTTGTATCTCACATCCTTCCATCCCATTATATCATCTCTATGCTTTTTGATTCGTTCCCTCAAGGGTATTATGAAATGCCACGTGCAGCTCTCAGCAGCGCACTTGCACCCATGTGGATCTTGTGGGGTATTTTAAGGTGAATGAGAGTGTGTGTGAGTGTGTTTTACCTGCTGAACATCCTGCTGGAATACACACAGCTGCAGACGTTGGTGCAGCCGGACCTTACGGTGTTGCCAGATGTTCTCCAGCTGTCTCTGGTGATGCAGAACCTCATGGATGATGTCCAAAACATGGTGAACCGCCTTGGAGTAATTGGCAGACGCCGTCAACGAATCAGCGCTGCCGGGGGTCAAAGGGCGCTGAAGTTTGTCCAATAAGGCTTTTCCATCTTGACTCACCTAGCATGAGGGCGGGACAATGATCAGAAAACAATTGTGCAAGCCTATTATAGGCTACTAAAATGAATTTGTATTGTTATCTGCAAAGTAACTCTTAATAGCAATGAGCGTTTTATAATAAATATAATTAGATAAAATTGCCACTTTAGACATGCCTGTAATTGCTATAATGTGCTAGTGCAATTTACTTTGGGATCAGTTCCCTTAAACGGCTTTTTAAAGTGCCTTGCAATTTAGTGATTTGGAGACGCATGGCTCTGTACCTCAGAGTAGGCAGCGGTGATGTGTTCATACAGGCCTTGGTGATGGTGGATGGCGTCCTCCAGGTCCTGTAGCTCAGAGGGTAGGTCCACTTCCCCACACGCCTTACACCATGAGTCCACGTTACTCATGTACTGCAGAAAGACAGGTATACACACATTTACAACAGAAAAATACAACAATTACATACAATATGAAGAACAAAGCAATTTCTATATTGAACATATATTCTTTTATGTTATGTCGATATAGACCTCTGACATCAAAGGAACTAGAGTGAATTAAAACTAATAATAAGGGCAAATGCAGGACATGATCAGAGACATGCTTTCTATGCTGAATATCAATTCGTCTTTCATCTCATCCCACTCTTTCTCAGAGATCAAGAGAGACTGAGAGTCTGGTTCCTCAACTCAAACTGAATCTCATGCATGAGGACGGCCCAGACCAGGCTGCCTCCAGATTGGCAGTTGTGCTGATGCGCAAAGGAATAAAAAAGTCTGGAAAAAAGATTGTTGTTGATACAGCCTCTCTATGAAAACACAGAGTGAAAAAACACAGTGTGAGAGGAATATTTTATTCACCTGTCCTCTCTACAGCAGTCTCTCAAATATCACGCTTTTCCCACATTTTTACAAGCATGTTTTTTCCTGCCTTCCGAAAGATAAAAGTGAATATTTACAATGCGATTAAAACGGATTATTACGGAGCCCCCTTAGTCCCACTTTGGCAAAAAAAATTAATTGATACTATCTCGTGGCCTCAAGATACTAACTCGTGGCCTCAAGATACTATCTCGTGGCCTCAAGATACTAACTCTATCTTGAGGCCACGAGTTACTATCTTGAGGCCACGAAATAGTATATTGAGGCCACGAGATAGTATCTTGAGGCCACGAGTTACTATCTTGAGGCCACGAGTTACTATCTTTAGGCCAAGAGTTACTATCTTGAGGCCACGAGTTACTATCTTGAGGCCAAGAGTTACTATCTTGAGGCCAAGAGTTACTATCTTGAGGCCAAGAGTTACTATCTTGAGGCCACGAGTTACTATCTTGAGGCCACGAGTTACTATCTTGAGGCCACGAGTTACTATCTTGAGGCCACGAGTTACTATCTTGAGGCCACGAGTTACTATCTTGAGGCCAAGAGTTACTATCTTGAGGCCACGAGTTACTATCTTGAGGCCACGAGTTACTATCTTGAGGCCAAGAGTTACTATCTTGAGGCCAAGAGTTACTATCTTGAGGCCACGAGTTACTATCGTGAGTTACTATCTTGAGGCCACGAGTTACTATCTTGAGGCCACGAGTTAGTATCTTGAGGCCACGAGTTACTATCTTGAGGCCACGAGTTACTATCTTGAGGCCACGAGTTACTATCGTGAGTTACTATCTTGAGGCCACGAGTTAGTATCTTGAGGCCACGAGTTACTATCTTGAGGCCAAGAGTTACTATCTTGAGGCCAAGAGTTACTATCTTGAGGCCAAGAGTTACTATCTTGAGGCCACGAGTTACTATCGTGAGTTACTATCTTGAGGCCACGAGTTACTATCTTGAGGCCACGAGTTACTATCGTGAGTTACTATCTTGAGGCCACGAGTTAGTATCTTGAGGCCACGAGTTACTATCTTGAGGCCACGAGTTACTATCGTGAGTTACTATCTTGAGGCCACGAGTTACTATCTTGAGGCCACGAGTTACTATCGTGAGTTACTATCTTGAGGCCACGAGTTACTATCTTGAGGCCACGAGTTAGTATCTTGAGGCCACGAGTTACTATCTTGAGGCCACGAGTTACTATCTTGAGGCCACGAGTTACTATCGTGAGTTACTATCTTGAGGCCACGAGTTAGTATCTTGAGGCCACGAGTTACTATCTTGAGGCCACGAGTTACTATCGTGAGTTACTATCTTGAGGCCACGAGTTACTATCTTGAGGCCACGAGTTAGTATCTTGAGGCCACAAGTTACTATCTTGAGGCCACGAGTTACTATCGTGAGTTACTATCTTGAGGCCACGAGTTAGTATCTTGAGGCCACGAGTTACTATCTTGAGGCCACAAGTTACTATCTTGAGGCCACGAGTTAGTATCTTGAGGCCACGAGTTAGTATCTTGAGGCCACAAGATAGTTATAATTAATTTTTTTTTGCCAAAGTGGGACTAGGGGGGCTCCGTAGATTATAAATGTTGATTAAAACAAACTCTCATTAATGCTCAGTATAATTATATTTGACTCAATATGTGTGTATTCTTAGTAGTATTCTTATTCTTGTATTATTAGAGAGTTGTGCTGTTAGCTAAGCCAGATCCTAACTTCAAACTCTATTATGCCCTTTTAAAGTATTGGTTTTGTTTTCAGACTGTACTAGGATAGATTTTCATGCTTCAATGGTTTAAAAAAACACCTTATTTTTCAAATATTTCACATGGTTAGTTCCTGTCTCTATGAAGCCCCTCCTTCTGAAAAGCACACCGTGCTCTGATTGGTCGGCTGGACGAGTGTGTTGTGATTGGTCAACCGTTTCGAGCGTGTTTGGGAAATGTCCTGCTCCTTACCCTAACAACCAGTTTTAACACACTACTAACTAACTCAACCAGTCCCCGCCCCTTTATTCTGCGTATGCCTTGGGAGGGCATTATTTAAATGAGGAATTTTGTTTGCGTTTCATACTTTTTCTAATTATGAAAAATCACATCTTCTACAGTCTAATCATTTCACAACTCGTATACATACACTGATCTCTCCGCCGAGCTCTAACTGGTATCAGTGATCATTACAAGATGTAGCAGTGTTCTCTCTGACCTGGTCACATTTCTGGTGGAAAGTAGCAGACATTTCCAGAAGAGCGCTCCTCTCGTCCAGCGCAGCAGCGAAGGCCTTCCACTCCTGCTCCAGCTGACCTGAGATCTGCTTGATCTGCTGGGACGCATAGTGGCCCGCCTCCAGCAGACGGTTCCCCACCGACATGATGCGGTTTATGTTTACGTAAACATTCTGCGGGACAAAAACATTTTCACTATCAGCGGAAAATCATCATAGTCCAATAAAAGCTTTTATTGACACCAGGCTAAGCAAACGACTCGTTTTTCAAAGTGGGGAATTATGACGTCAAAGAGGATAAAACAGCACCCCCGTAGAAGAAGATCAACGCCTACTTCACCACAGCCGGTTTAGCCCCGCCCACCAATTCGTGCATTACACGCATAGCTAAATAACATAAGCCTACCTCGTGATGACAAACCGGATCGAGAGTGAAACTCATTATAATATCTAAAACTGTTATCCACTCACAGCAGTGGGCGTTTACTTCCATGTCTTCATTGCGAGACGCCCATAAAAAACGAGCGTTTTTGAGCTAGGCTCAAAACTAGGGTAGAAAATAGCCTATTACTTATTCATTTTGATGTTTTTGAATGTAAAAACCAAGCGAGCGTCATAAGTTGACCTCAGACAACAATATAAAAAAAATTTAAAAGCCAGTTCATGACCCCTTTAAAAATATATTCAAATAGAAAACAGTAAATTGAAATAATATTTCACAATATTACTGTTTTTCTGATGAAATGAATGAAGCCTCTGAGAGAATAAAAGACTTCTATCAAAAACATTAAAAACACTTGTAATCAGGGAAAACAAAATGAGCGAGGAACCATTATTCACACTGTTACTGATGGCTTATAACACAATCATTAAACTTTTACATCAATAGTTGAAGACTTACCACGGCTCAATACGCCTACATCCACTTTCTGCCTCTTTAAACAGGAAGTGATCAATACTTCTCCCTTCAGTAATGGGGATTTTAAAAGGACGCCCCTAACAGAGCTCACAGCTGGTGGGTGAACACCCAAACAGGAAACACTTAGGTGGATAGCGGTCTATGCTTCATCTCTGATTATATGATGAGTCACCATTCACTCAATAAAGAATCGGCTCTTACATTGTCAAACGCAAGCCATTACGCAGCTTAAATGGAAGAAAAATACTAGTTTAGTCAGTGTGCGTAAGGGTTTCTGCCGTGGGAACATTACGGGATACAGGATGTACGTAGTGACCCGAGTTTCCAATAGAAAAAAATGGTGGTTTCGTTTTACGGACATTTTGATGATATGCCGGTCAAATATCGCCTCTTAATTAGACAAGTTGAGGAAAACTGGAGGCAGGCTACGTAACTTTAAAAAATGACATAATCAGGCCTTATAGAATACAAGAAGTTGTTATTCGCCTAACTTTCAAATAGACAAAAAACAAAACAAAAACATGAATCTCCGATTGGCGTAAATCAACACCAATTGTTTTTTACTATGGTTTCACACACATTCACTTTTTGAAACAGTGAGGCACGGAATGTACCTATACAAATAAATAAAACATCTCCAGTTAACTAGCAAATCATTAATTTAGTTTACTATTAAATAAGAGGTATAGCGCTAAAATCTGTTGCTTTTGAAATCAAGCTGAGCGCTCGTGTTCCCTGCTAACAGTGTCATAGACGACATGCTGAGCCAGTTGCGCAATCTTCACCCAATCTATCGCCGTTGTGGAGACTCTCTATTCATTGCGGTGAAATCACAAAATAAAACGCACACAAACGTGTCCCTGCTTGATATAGGCTATAACCACTGATGAACATAGGCTTTTCAGTTTTGATGAGAGTAACCGTAGCCTACGAGTGCGCGGATTAAAACCACTGATCTATATAATGAGATGTTACTGATTCTCCATCGTTCGCCGTATGTTTCGTATTATTTGAAATGTCTACACGTGCGACTGGTACAAGTGTCCTATTTCTAAATAAGTAAAACAAAAGGTAATAAGAGTTTTTAGATAACATACACACAAAGTAGGGTGGATGGGTAAACCCTCCTGCTCTAAGAAGGAGTGAACTCAATGCTAATTTGGTAAACTTATGTTTACATATGAAATGAGGTCTGGCTATATAATGAAATGCAACTAGAGATCAGGGCTTTTTCTGTCTCTCAGATCAGCCCGTGAATGCCGAGTCGCAGAGACTCAGCATTCATGTATTTCATAATGTTGGGGAAAAGAATTTCCTCTTTGTTCTAGAACGTTTGATGGTTTGCTTTGATTATATCTTTCAATTATTATGAAATTGTAATAATAGATTTATCTGACATAATAAATTGTCATATTTAATTTTTCTAACAGACTTTGACTTTATTTTTATTAGAGTTAAAAGGTATAGTCAAACATTCACATATATTTAATGCTGCACAGATATCATTGAAAAACCTTTTCATTTATAGTCAGATGAAATAACGAGTTAATTAGATAAAATGTAATGCATTTAATAAAAAATCCCTTTGCCACAAGAAAAGATGGAACACGCAGGAGACCTTCAACTCTAATCGAATACCGCCATTGAATTGAATTAGACGGCCTTACAACACAAACCCTAATAATCTGTTTGAAATCGGACTAGCGAAAAAAACAAACAAAAAAACACACGTAACCAACTGGAAGGAATTGGCCATATCCGATGGACATTTCCGCTCAACAGGACACTGTAAGTAAATACTTGATTGGATTGAAACCCGAAACTGGAAATTCTGTGCATGTGTGCACTGATGTAAAAAAAAACAAAAAACAAAAAAAAAAATCGCCGAATGACGCAAGGAACGAGATGATGTTGATTATAGTGTAATAAATGACTGCCGTGTCAATCTAAAATTCTCATTCCACTCATCGTCTATGAAGTTGCAAAGGAGGATGTTTTCCCAGAAGTCCTTGCTTTGGACTCTCATCCACAGATGTCTTGTTTTGGGCGCGGGAAGGGTCAAAATTTTTATGGCTTGATAAATATAAGCAGCACGGCACAAAGCTTCACGTGCTCGTCATCTCCAAATCAGGACCCTGAATAGATCAATATTAAACCTGCTTTTTAAAACAGGGGAAACACTGTATAACACTGTAACATTATATATTAAAACAGGGGAAACACTGTATATATGGAGTGTGTGTGCATGTCAGAAGATCAATCTTCTCACCATGCAGTTCATGGCGAAGTGGTTGTGCTGGGTTTGCAGCTCCATGGCGTGGGGATGGTTGTTGCCTATCTCAGTGTATCCAGCCAGAAACAGCCCTTTGTTGTGCATGATCCAGTCAAACATCTGCAGAGATACAGCAATCACACACACATCAGGCACACATTTGACTAGAACATGGTTTAGTGTACGTGTGTTTGTAATACAAGATATCCCATCGGGTGCGTATATGAACATGTGCATCGTTGTGTATATACAGCTGAAATAGATAAAAATAGAAAATCATAAAAATGACCCATTTCTCAGGAGCAAAGAATAGCTGCTGGTTTCCTAGCAACATGCAAATCTTCCACCCACAATGAGAAACATTGATACGAATTAGTAAGAACTTCTGTAAATATGTGCACAGATCCAGATTAAAACACAGGGTTTGCACCATCTAGGGAGCCTTGGCAAACCTGGAGTGGGCCTTTAAATATTGTGTTGAATATCGGGAGGCCGAGAGTCAAAAAAGTTGAGAACCACTGATTTAGAGGATATCCCACCACCGGTTAGCTGAATGACAACATTTATGTTATTATACCAATTGAGAAAATATTTTTCACTTTACCCAACCCTAAAATGAAATCAAATAAGAGGACAACATTTTTTTTATAATAATAATAATAAATAATATATAAATATTAGAAAAAAATATTTAAAATATATATTATAATATAAAATAAATTAATAATATTAAACAAAATATTATATTTAAAATGTTAAATCTATAATAATGTAAAAAATAAATAAAATAATAAATAATAAAAAAATAAAATGTTGTTTGTCAACGATGTAATTTTTGTGTTCGGATTTACCTCTCTAATAAAGGTTCGTCTCTTGTATTTATGCATGCATCATGTGAAAGTTACACGGGCTAGAAACGTTAGTAAGTGATTCGATCATGTAGAGGTGTAACAATATATCGTGTCACGATATATTGCAATACGTATCGTGGATAGCGACAATATGTGTCGTGGATATTCCCCCCAAAATAAAAAGTAATGTGTGAGAAAAAAAGTTTTTAGAGTTTTAGAGCAAGTACTACATTAAACTACAATATATAGTGTTGATTATAATGTATAACGCAATGGGGGAATATTTGTGAGTCCTGATAATGCCAAATGTCTCATGCTACCTGATATTTATTTTAAATATTTCTAATCAATGAAAGCCTGCAAGCATATTCCTCTAAAATTATTCTGTATTTTCAGCTTCACAATCATGAATATTGTTTTTCTGGTGTCACCAAGTCCAAGCCTATTCATTCAAACCCACAATGTACTATCAAATTTAGCATTTTAAATCAACAGTACATTTTTTGTTAACCTTTTACCATATGTTTTAAAGTAGCGCAATAATATTGTATCGTGAGTATGTATCGAATAGTGACATGAGTTTATCATTACACCCCTACTATCACGCTAATATAATGTTAATGTGAATCATCTGTGTGTCTTTTTTGACTGATTGAATTGCCTTGCCCTATTCGTTTCCATTGTGAGTGCCTTACTTTGAAAAAAAAAGCTTTTCCTGTGGGATGACTGAAAAACAGAAAAATACAATATACAATACAATAAATGGCCGTGCATCTGTGGATCTCACCTTTTCAGCATCCTGCTCAAACAGCCTGAGCTGGAAGCACTGGTCCAACTGCAGCTTGCGCACGTGCCAGGCCTGGTGCAGGTTCTGCCGGGTGCTGTGAAGTTTCTCCAGCAGGGCTGAGATGCGGGGCAGAAGGCCCTGGGTGTCAGCGTTGGGCTGCCCTTGCCCTTCCCTCTGCCCGGGTGGCACAGGCACAGTTCGGTTAGCGTAGCTCTCGCTGCTCTGAATCCTCTGCAGGAGCCTCTGGCCCTCGCTGTCCACCTCCTCCATGGGAGCCTTCATCACCCTCTTCTTCAGGGCCGCGTGCTCCTCGATCATGCGCCGGGCTCCCTCCAGGTCCTGCGGGAAGTCTTTGCGTGTGACCGTTTCTTGCATCTCCTCCAGGCGGGCGAGCAGGTGCCGAGCGTTGCCTGTGAAGTCTTCGAAGGCCACGCGGATCTCGATCCACTCTTCATGGTTGTAGTCCAGGCTGCCCTCGAAGTCGGGCGTCAACTGGGACGGGTCCACCACCTTCGATAAGCCCTCCAGGGAAACCATTGTGGTCTGAAGGTGGGCGTGATGGAAGGATGAAAAGAACAGAAAATGGACATTGAGCGCAGAGAAAAAGGAATATGAAAGTGAATCAATATGCACAATATGACTTCCTTATGCCCTAAATCCTATGTGAACGATGCAGCCGTTCCAGGCTCTGTTAATGACCAGCAAGGTGGAACAGCTATTTTTAACCGGGGGCATAAATCTAATTTCATACAGCCACTCCGGGACCGCCTGAGGTCCAAACTACCTAGAGACAGACAGACTCCCAGCATGAAGCCTGAGGGCGTCAGAAAGAGCGATATCAACAACACTTCCAGCACTGAAGTAATACAAACCAGCAGCTCTGAGCAACTGAAGAGCCTCGGGTAATATGTAGATCTGTGTACAAATGTATATGCATGCATGCTATATGTATACAAAAAGCTAAATTGGCTTGCACTATGCTCTGAGTAGGCATCAAGAGTCTGGCAATAAATCTACATGGAACTTGAAACTGTGGCAAAACTCAAACATATCCTATCACAACATAATAGATGTTTAATATATATATAAAAAAAAATGTATATATATATATATATATATATATATATATTACCGAAGAGATTTACCCAGTCACCAGTAAACGACCAATCACACCAAGAACTATAACACAAATTATATTAGTAAAATTATTCTCAAAGTGAATCCATTGATACGGTTCCTATGCGTAGTTAACGTCCTTGATGTGAACGCAACAGAAAAAAAAAAAATCTATAAAATGTCCTTTAAATTCTTCAGCATTTGCATAATATTTGATTAAATATGACTGCCCCATTTACTTTAAAATTTGTATTACATATTTACACAATTATATATTTTAGCAGCTTAATTGTTTACATGATAAATTTGTTCTGTTTCTAAATATTTACATAGAGTAAAAAAAGTTACTGTCTCTTTAAGAACAGCGTTTAATCATGAGTCTCACTGTTGAGCGCAAATAAATATATTAATCTTTGTAAATATTAGTGAATTGTTTTTGATTGACAGTTGAGAACTGACAATAAAGAACAAAATATACTGTATACGAAAAAAAACAGGTGTGGATTTTATCATTAGACACAAACTAACCAAATGTAATTGACACAGAAAAGGTATAATTTCACATCTACTAGGACAATTTGTGTAGAAAAAGGCTTGATAAAGAGACTTGATGTGTTAAGTATGTTATTGTGGCATTTATTATTAATTAAATATATCTAATTTTATGTTTAGATTTATTATTAATTATAAATTTTTAATGCTATCATTGTATTATTTAAAAAAAAAATGTTTCTATAGAAATAGAACTTATTTTATTTCCGCTTTTTGCTAATTAACAATTTTTTTTAATTCATTTCAGATTCAGTTGACACGGATGCACAAGTAACACAATTAAGAATGACTCAACTAAAAAAAAAAACATCCATCCATTCATTTCTGATCACATTAGTCTGCTCTACCTAAGATGACAAAAAGTAGTGTGTTATTCTTTCTACAGATGAATAGATACAACAGAAAAAACAGAAAAAAAAAGAAAATCAAATGTGCGCGAGTAGGCTGGTCAAAGCCGTGAAAGAGAAGAGAGTGGAGGTGTGTGTCTCTTTTGTGAATTCAAGGTAAATGCAGTCTAAACCTATTGATCAATTCAATTCCTGCCGTCACACAGGCATCGGCACCCTTTCACACACACACACACACACACACACACACACACACACACACCAACACGGGCACGCTGCCCATTTGTCTATTAACCACAATGAGAATAATGCAAGTTATGGAGTGCATTTGCTTTTTTTTTCCTTCTGCTCATATTTTGTTGTTGGGAAATTGTGAGAAATGTGGTATGTCATGAGCAGTGGGCGAGATGAGAGCTTGCAGCCGTTCCTATGACAAATTCCTTGACCCTGCCCACCAGAAACATCTCATCATGTGTTGTGCTCAACACTTGTTTGGACTTACATGGACCACCAGATGGCAGGGAGTGCTTCTGATCCTCCCAAAGAAATGCATGCACAATTTCTCAGTGTTGTGAGGTAAGAAAAGTGGTCACAATGGGGCAGAAGGGGCAATTGGGGAATTTATATGCGAGTGACACCAGCATGTTGATCTGTGATTGGATAAAAGGATCTAAACGGCAGAAGTATGGGAATATATCCCCTCCATTTAGCAGATGTAAATCAATGTTATTTTAGTATTATTTAGATTATAGTATTTATTCATTTTAAATTAGCTTCATATTAAAGTTTCAGTAATTGTAATTTTTATTAGTTTTTGTTCTTATTTATTTATTTTGATTTTTATATCCGTTTTAGTAATTTTAGTAATTCAACTCATTAGTAATTCATCTTATTTTATGATTAGTCAGTTAATCTAATGATTATTTTTACGATTAGTCGGTTAATCTCGTTTGTTTTTTACGATTAGTCTGTTAATCTATCGCTTACTATTATGATTAGTCAGTTAATCTATCGCTTACTTTTACGATTAGTTGGTTAATCTATCACTTTTACGATTAGTTGGTTAGTATATCGCTTGCTATTTCGATTAGTCTGTTAATCTATCGATTACTATTACGATCAGTTAATCTAATGATTATTTTTACGATTAGTTGGTTAATCTCATTTGTTTTTTGCGATTAGTTAATCTATCGCTTACTATTACGATTAGTCAATTAATCTATCGCTTACTTTTATGATTAGTTGGTTAATCTATCACTTTTACGATTAGTTGGTTAGTATATCGTTTGCTATTACGATTAGTCAGTTAATCTATCGCTTACTATTACTTTCAGTTGGTTAATCTATCGCTTACTATTACGATTAGTTGGTTAACCTATCGCTTACTATTACGATTAGTTGGTTAATCTATCGCTTACTATTACGATTAGTTGGTTAATCTATCGTTTGCTATTACGATTAGTCTGTTAATCTATCGCTTACTATTACGATCAGTTGGTTAATCTATCGCTTACTATTACGATCAGTTGGTTAATCTATTGCTTACTATTACGATTAGTTGGTTAATCTATCACTTACTTTTACGATTAGTTGGTTAATCTATCGCTTGCTATTACAATTAGTCAGTTAATCTATCGCTTACTATTACAATTAGTCAGTTAATCTATCGCTTACTGTTACAATTAGTTGGTATATCTGTCGCTTACTATTATGATTAGTTGGTTAATCTATCGCTTACTGTTACGATTAGTTGGTAAATCTATCGCTTACTATTAAAATTAGTTGGTTAATCTATCGCTTACTATTACGATTAGTTGGTTAATCTATCGCTTGCTATTACAATTAGTCAGTTAATCTATCGCTTACTGTTACAATTAGTTGGTAAATCTGTCGCTTACTATTATGATTAGTTGGTTAATCTATCGCTTACTATTACGATTAGTTGGTTAATCTATCTAATACTTTTACGATTAGTTGGTTGACCTATCGCTTTTACGGTTGGCCGGTTAACCTATCGATTACTATTACGATTAGTCAGTTAATCTATCGCTTACCTTTATGGTTAGTCGGTTAACCTATCGATTACTTTTAAGATTAGTTGGATAATCTATCACTTACTTTTACGATTAGTTGGTTAATCGATCGCTTACCTTTGCGGTTAGTCGGTAAACCTATATCACTTTTGCAATTAGTTTGCTAATCTATTGCTTACTTTTACAGTTGGTCAGTTAATCAATCAATTATTTATATGATTTACCTATTATTATTTTCAGATTAGTCAATTAATCCTTTAGTTAACCTAACAATAAATAATAATAGTAACTTCTGCCATTAATCTTTGAACGTTTTATACATTTACACTTTACAAACAAAACAAAAAAAAAAAAACATAAAAAGAAATATAAGGCATCTATCTATCAGTAATCCAAATGTGATTTGACAGCATTTGCTTGGAGGTCTATATATAGAAAATAGTCTTGAAATATTTTGTACATTTGGCAGATTAAAGTATCTGCTTAAACATCTGTAAGAACAAGCAATCAACAGCGCATTATTAAACAAATAGTCCAATCGAGGAGTGAGTTTATCCATCATTTTAAACAACCAATAAAGACTTTAAAAGCTTTTTAACTGAGTGCAGAGAGTATGTTACTATTCATTTTAAAAGAGACTTAGCAGATTTATCAACAATAAATCGCTTAGCCAACAACTCTTCAAAGCTGAGAAAAGTTTAACTTAATGCAAATGAGCAGCAAAGTGATGCGACGACAACCGAGAGAAGTGAAGATAGCGGAGCTTGTTTATTAAATGATGCGGTTTACATACAAATGCCCTTCCCAGCAGGATGTTCAGTATTTAGCAGAAACATGAAGTCCAATTTATTTTTGCAAGCAAAGATCCCACTTGTGATCATATTTTCAAAAGCAAAGCACAACCAGATCTGCATCATATTAATACCAATAGGACATCCAGCAATAGTAATGGCTTTTGTCAACAAATAGTAAAGCGAGTGTTACTGGACACGAGCGGTGCGATGCGACAACAGACAATCAGTAATGTTGTCTACACTGGATCCCGACAATGAACTGATGCCTCGTCCTATTTATGATGAACTTCTTCGAGCACAAGCGACACTTCTCATAAGATGCACAAATGGATATGCAACGGTCACTTTGTCGCATTCAGTGTAGACACGGTGTCAGTGTGAAAAGGCCTTTATGAATTCAAAATGATTCTAACTACTTGTACTGAAAAGCTCCGACTTCTCCCATTAGACCATTGTGGCCTTGTGTAAAAACAGCCTAGATGTTAGTGGCTTCTATTGTTAAAGGTAATTATTTGGCTACAGCTATATTTCATCAATATTTCACAGGAGAAAACTGAGCAGAATTGACGTCGAGAAGAATTAACTGTCATTCACATCACAGCCACACATGGATCTTTATGGTGTTATGAACGTTGCCATAGAAACAAACATTTTCCGAGGACGTGACGTGAAGCTCAAATTAGAATCTTTTTTTTTTTCCAATTACGATAATTCCGGCATGACGCGTAACTGCCAGTGTCAATGATGTCACTGCAACATACTAGTCTAGATTACGATTGGTCTTTATCAAGTGATACCGTAATCATGTTTTATTCATGGATACAAATTATCATCCGATTTAAAACATATTCTCTTGCACTGCAGCTGTCACATGAGCCATCATTTCTTTCCACATGTGCTGTCAGACTGAATGCACGCACACACAAACACAAAAGCTTCTCCAACAAAAACAAACACCAATGCGCTCAAATAAAAACAAGCCTGGAAAAACCCACTGAAGGCTCTGTGAACTAAAAAGTTGCACCAACATATTGCAATCTTGACTCAATACATAACAAATGCAGAAAAAAAGCAATTCTGCTGCAGCCACATTTACATTCACCCAGTCAACCCCACACACACACACACACACACACACACACACAGACAGACCATCAACACCCACACACTCCCACATCCACCTTCACACGCTCACACCAACACAGATCGGATGTCACAGACAAACCCGCAGATTATTAATTAATAAGATGAAATAAAATGCCGTTCCACCTGATATTACAGAAGATTGTGAGAATAATCAGCTATAATTGTATTCTGCAAACACTGAAATGCCTTTAATTCGTTCAAAAACACTAATAAACACCAACCGGATTAACAGAACAACACTAATTTTAGTATATTAAAGCATGCAATAATTAAAACATGCAAAGTAAGTGTGAATGTGCAGAGATGAACAGTGATCTCTGACGGCGTCCACATCGAGCTACGCCTCTCAACTCAAGATCACATCAAACGCTCCCGTACCTCAAACTCAAACTTGGAGCTGCCGAAGTTGGTCCTCTGTTTTTGCCAGAAGTTGTCTGGTTTGATGATGAGGGCGATGTGGATGCAGCAGGGAAACGATTCCTGCAGGATCTTCAGGAGAGGCTTGATGGAATCCCACTTGGAGCCACGCATGTCCACGATGACCGTGAAGCCATGTTTGCACACGTCCTCGCTGGATGATGGGGAGAAAAGAGAGAAAGGGAGAACTATAAAACATGAGCTTTAATCCTCTCTGCATTACATAACCTATGGTACATCCTTCTCGCTAAGAAACGAACACAACCGCTGCATGAATAAAAACTGCAGGAACTAAAAATAAAAGTGATTTCCCTTGAAAAATCAATGCACATTCAACAGAACGGACAGACTGGGAGGGAGGGACGAATCGCAGAGCTTACCCATGAAACACAGCAGCAAAATATCTATGAAATGAGCAGGAAACATGCTGACGGACGGCCTTTGGTATCCAATCTTAAGAGTTGTGTGACAAGTGTTCAGTTCCTCTGAAACCCCTTCAGTGAAACATCTGCACCTGTGAAAGTGTCTGATCGAGGAGCTGTAGAAGAACACACCGCCTTGTGCGACTGCGACACGGTTTTAGCCTCTCTCTCTTTCGCTCACTGGCTCGCTCGCCCGCCCATTTTTTCCCTGCACACTCGCCTGCTCTCCATCTCTAAAGATGCGCGCCCCTCTCTCTCTCTTTATCATGATACATCTCTACCCATCTTTGTGTGCTTCTCTTTTTTTATCTCTAGGGGATTTGCTTTGTAACTGTGTAGACCTCTCTCTCTCTCTCTGGCGTGAGTGTGTGGGTGCAAGGGACAGAGTTTGTGTGTGAGGATGATGAGGAGGAGGAAGAGCCGTTGGCAGTGGCTGAACTGCGGAAGGTTCTTGATCGAGCCCACGCTGCCTTTCCCACCAACCACTCTTTCCATCGCGCCCCCTCTTGCGTTTCTCTCATATCTAAATCTCTGTTTTCTATTCCCCTCCCTCCTGTTAGAAGTACCGAGCGACTAAATTCATTGCAGTATTACTTGCCGAGGAACATGTTATATTAAAGATGTGATGGTAAACCATCCACCACATTCTGAAAAGTTAAAGGGGTAAAACAGAAGCAAAAGCGCTTTATGGGTTTAACAACTTTATTGAATCGGTCTGCTAATAACAACACAGCCTTTTTGGTTTGTTTTTTTGCTAAATCGTTATAAAAATAAGTCATATTTAAAGGGATCGCTCAACCAGAAATTAAAATTCTGTCATCATTTACTCACCCTCAAGTTGTTCCAAACCTGTATAATGTTGACAGAATTTTAATATTTGGGTGAACTATCCCTTTAAATAATTTCACCATTCATTTTGTGGTGGAAATTACATTTCGAATATGTTTGGAACACAATTCTACGGCTAATTTCATAGCTAGGATTTTATGCATCTTACACGCACAATTAAGTCATATTTTCACAACTTAGCATAATTTGATTTTCAGCTTAAATGCACATGCAAAAATGCAAAGAAAAAATGTTCTGCACGCATCACATACTGTACCTCATACCTCTCAAGCGTGCTATCCACTGCAGTGTGGTTATACTTAATTAGTAAAATGTTTAAATAACTGAAATAAACTTAAAATAATAAGGGGAAAAACAGGAAAACGTAGGAAAATTTGAAATGTTGCCATGGCAATTCACTGAAAATTAAAACTTAAATTTTAAAACTAAAAAAAAAAAAATTAAATTAAGTAAATTGATAAAAATGACAAAGGAATATAACAAAATTACTAAAAACAAACTGATCCACTGACACTAACATCTGCTTGTAACACCTTTAACATAGCAAAATTGTAGTAGTAGAAATGATCACACAAATTTATATAAATGTTTCACATAATTATTTGAATGGTTTGAGTTTAACCAAGTCTAAATAATAATTAATTAAAAATTCTTTTTGTTTAACCAAGTCTAAATAATAATTAATTAAAAATTCTTTTTTTTCTAATGTTTTAATTTTTTTTTTTTTTTATGTTTTTAAAGTTTGAGTCTGGGACAAAAATAACAAAACAAAAACTGGCATGTGAAAAATATCCAAAATTAATTAAGGCATGATAACAATTTGTAAATGGGTGATGAACTAAAAATCAATTTTTCTTTGAGCTTTTCACATCTAAGAGGTCATCATATTATAAGAAGTTTCAGAACTCAAAAAGTCCTTGTTAGTCCAATAAAAGCTTTTATTGACACCAGGCTCAGCAAACGACTCGTTTTTCAAATTGGGGAACTATGACGTCAAAGAGGATAAAACATCACCCACGCAGAAGAAGATCAACGACTACTTCAACACAGCCGGTTTAGACCCGCCCACCGATTCGCGCATTACATGCATAGCTAAATAACATAGATGCCTCCCTCGTGATGACAAACCGGAGCGAGCTAGCGAGCAATACAAAATATTGTGCAGTGCCTGGTTGTGGAAGAAGACAGTCGCTGCATAAGCTTTCTCTGGAAATTATCATGCACTATTTGTAATGACGTTCTAGCTGATGTGAGTAAAACATTGTCTGTCTGTTCGCTTCATTTCACTGAGGATTGTTTTGTAAACAAGACTGGATTTGCAGGCCGATTAAGATTAAAGAACGGTGCTGTGCCGTTTGGATCTGACAGGAATGATGCAACACACGGACTCTGGGTCGAACATGTATGGGCGTTTACTTCCAAGTCTTCAGTGTGAGACGCCAATAAAAACCGAGCGTTTTTAGCTAGGCTCAAAACTAGGGTACAAAATAGCCACTCCTGACGCCACAGTCCGCTCTCTGCAGCTGGACTGTACTGAGAACCAGAGTCACCGCCTCATGCTCAGACTAATGCATGCTAAAAGCACCGTAAACAAACATGTATAGAGCTCGACTGCTCAGCAGAGCCGTTTAGAGGAATTGAACTGAAAGACGGACTTGGCCTGCCTCATTTATTTTTTATAAGCACAACAAAAGATCACACAGCATCCCTAGTTCACAGGTCAATTACAGATCAATGTGCTTGACGACTAGGGAAAGAACACATCACAGCGTGGAGCAGCGGGACCGCTGGCACATTCACTGCACAATTCACCGTATCCAATCTAGTTTCTTCTGTTTCCTTTGAAGGAGTGTGTTTGAACGGAAAGTGACGGAACAAGCAGTCAACAATGCCCAGCAGGTGCGTCCTTGGAATGTCAAGCGAGTGTGTCAATACCTAGGGATGCCGGCGAGGTAGGCGATGAGTCTGCGGAGATCTTCGTGTCGTATTCGGTCGTGGTTAGTTCGTGATGGGAATGTTAAAACCGGACCTCCGCGCTTGTCTCTGCCACCTGGAGAAAAAAGAGAAAAAAAAATCTTAATCAGCTGAGAGTAAACTAAATAGGCTTTACTTTGAAAATGCTTCTCCTATCCCATATTCTAGTAGCCTGAATGCCAGCCCGAAACCCTTCGGTCTGCACTCGATCCATTGAGGAGTAATTGTTATCCGTTCAGAAATCGTCTGGCCAATTAAATTGCCAGGGCGGGCTTTATACGATGATGGACAGATGATCTGCAGTTACGTAATCATCACGTTTTATTGTCGAGATCTAATCCTAAACGGATAACTTGTTTGTATAAACATTCACCTTTTCTATTTCTCTCAAAAATACTTTTCGTGTTTGCAAATACTCCGAGAATCCTTAAATTATCTTTACAACACCAGCAAAGATCGTTAACACTCATTATTTTACTACAACTTCCAGCTAGAGTGCAGTTGAGTGTGCAGTACAGTATTTTTTTTGACGGATGAAAGTTTCGGAGGCAGTGTGCAAGCGTGATTGACATAACGTAAATTTTGGACTCTGTATGCAAGGGCCTTTAGTCCACTAAATATTTATTAGTTGGTTGGACGCAGGTCATTAAAACCCAATTTGACATAGGGGTGAGTAAATTATCAGCAAAAGTTTTTTCAGGATTTTAAAGGTGCAATGCGCAAGTCTCTGAGTTTTTGCAGAACTATGCCCCCTCTGGCAACAAGCGAAAATGCAACAAGCTGTTCATAACCAAAGAGCATCAGCCGCACAAATCTTTTGTTCACAGTCATAATGTCTTCAGAGGTAATAAAGTTATAAATCTGCAAGTCATTTTAAATATATGAAAGGAAAGGCATTTGAGTAAATCACACACTTATGTGAGTGTGAGGGGAAAACGGGGGTTGTAGAAAATGTTTTTTCTCCATGTTGAACTATTTTATGCGTTTACTGTATCCACTCATCCAATTGTATTATTAATTGTATAATTGCATTATCTATCCAATTATCCAATTGTATTATTATGGAAACACGTTCATGAACGTGATAAAATAAGTTGTTACTTTGTATAGGATCCTGTTTGAGCCCTAGAGCAGACCGGAGATCTCTCCTTTTGTTGAAAGCCTTCCCGATGTTGACTCTCGTCTTATTTCCGACGCCTGAGACAAGTTGTATTTTCTTTGTCTTACGTGGAGTTTGCGTTGGGGTTTGGAATGAACTACAAGCCGGTCTCTTTGAATCCATCTTCTACTTTTGTCGAAAGTTGAGTTGTCTTCGCTGATACGGAGAATGGCGGCGAATACACAAATCTGCCAGACATCGCCAGGTGAGCGTGAACACGCATGACGTCACGCCCAGTCTCAAACTCCGTCCCGAATCCCTTTTATTTATTTTAGTGTACAGGATTATAGAGGCGATCGCAGTGATCAGAGAAGGGCTCATTCAGCCCATCAGGCAATTTTATGGGTTAGAAAAATGGGTATTTTTAACATGAAATGTTGCCCAATGCACCTTTAACTAAACGTGCATTTCTCCACTATACTGCAGAGATGAGAGTCAGTGTCGGCAAGTTCCTTTGCAGCTAACACTCAGAAAATACTGGTTTATAAATAAATTAAAATGTTCAGAGAGTCTCCTTTCTGTTTTTTTCCAACACATTCAAAATCAATGCTTTTGCCCGTGTGCTGCAGTTTTCTGCTCACCTTTTATTTTTGATACCACCCCTATATATTTAAGCAATTAAATCAATATCATATACATGCGACTACTCGACTAATGGCTTCAATTAGATAAATCTTCGGTCGGGGACGACCCTTTCATATTCCCAATGTCAAAACCTGTGCATCCAAATCAAACAGCTATTATCATTAATATATGGGTAATACTAATACATGATTTGAATCAGCCTTTGTTATTATATATCTTCATTAGACTATAGTCAAAGACGACGCCTTGCCTTAGGAATCAACATATGGCACAAACAAAAACTAGTCTAAAGGGCAGGAGGTACAGTCCATTCAATATGCTACAAACAGCCTCTTTTTTTCTTGCCAAATTAGTACTGCCATCTATCCTGACTAAAGTCTATTGTCCGTAAAAGATAAAAAAGCATGAATGTAAAACAGCGAAGCTATGAAGTGCTGGTTCAAAATCGGCTTGTTGACAGTCTCGTTCCTGTGATAACCTCATTAATGGTAAATCAAGTCAATGTTCTTCAGCGTAGTGTCTTCAGAGAATACTGAACGACAGCGTAGAGCGTTTTTAGGAGTAACTGTGAGAGAATTCAAGACGAGACTCTGGTAAATGATTTTTATGTTAACTTACCAGCTCTGTAAAGCTTTCTGAATGACTCAGCTCCCGTTCACTTTTTAGACACTTGCAATGAGTATCTCTGAAATAACTTTTCTGAGCCTCGGAAAAATGTGTAGTTTGTAAGTACGCTGAGGAAAAATGGAGTGAATAAATCTAAGTTTAAGTAATACTCAATAAGTTCTCATTTTATCAAAATGAGTCAAGCTCAGAAGAATGGGTCAGGATGGCCAAATCATTCAATAACCAACTAGTTGATTAGTAAGGCTGACTAGTTTACCAAGAGTTGTTTTTCTAATTGTTGTTTTAGTTGTATTTTGCATGCATCTAAAAATGTACTCATTTTAAAGTGACAGTTGTCCCAATAAATGAATTGTGTCATTATTTTTTCCTATGCAGCACCAAGTCAATGTGGTGCATTCAAACTTGCAGTTCATACTTTGTTTGCTTAGCATTCACACTGTCATTTTTAACACCAAACCTAAAGATACAAAAGAAAAAGGCGGCTTTTATGACATTTTGTGAGAGAATAGACACTGTGTTAAACGCGCTAGTCGTGTGTGTGTGTACATTGTGGGTAACGGTAACCGTCAAGGTTCAGTGCATACAGTCAAACGACGAATACAGTCAGTCACAGCCGATCCACACTCCAATCCAGAAGGGGGCGCACTCGGTAATGCAACACTGTTTGCTAACTGCCAAAAGAGCTGTCCTTATTAGGGTCAGAGCCCGTCTAACGGAGAGCCTTGGCACTTCCTATTAGCCCCATTGTGCATCACCTTGGTTGCAGTTCCATTAGAATTCCACTGGAGGTGATCTAAACGGCTAAATGTGTCTCTTTCACCTGCTTGTCATTAAATCAAAATAGATTTTATTGTTCATTCCGCAAGTTCAATATAGATTATACGGCAAAAGTCGAATGAACGAGTACTTATGTCCTTTTGATTTCTTACAGGTTAGGCTGTTGTTGGCCGGAACACGCTAGCATTCTGCTATTGTGTGACGTCATCACATTTTTGAACGGATTTTTCGAACAGATAAGTGAACTTTAAAATACAATTTTCAGCTGAGTGTATTATCTTAGCCCTCACTTTTGAATGCAACTTTCAAATAACTTGACAAAAAATTACATCCTGCAAAAAGTGGATTTCTGGGGGTGAAACCCCATTGACTCCAATTCATTCTGCACTCGACCGCGAGCGCCCCCGCATGGACAGAGACGCGTTACTGCAGCCAGTCCAGAACCCGGAAGTAACCAGCCAGTGCCAATTCTCTTCAATTAGACATTCTCTGTTAGGGTTGCATCTTGCGATATCATTTCCTGTTTTTGGTTCGTTATGATGTCTTTGGTCCACGTTGTGTTTATGTTCCATTTGAACGACACTAGAGTTTGTTTGGAAGCGGACCGAGATCTTTTCAAGGGTTCTGTTCCACCTGTTTGGTGGCACCAGGGTTCGGATGGCAGCGTTCACATTTATTCAAATGAATCGCACTTATTCAAATTGTTTTCATCTAACCAAACCTGTTGTGTGAACAACCTAAAACAGCATTGGAATTTGGACCCCATTGACTTTAATTGCATGGAGAAAAATACTGAGACATTCTTCAAAATATCTTCTTTTATGTTCCACAAAAGAAATGCATACAGGTTTTTGAATGATAAAGGTAGGTACATTTTGGGTGAATTAACCCTAAAGCATTCAGCTGTCAAACACTATCTTGCAACAAAACCATCAAATTTCAAGACCATTTCAGTCAGATTGAGCACAATAAAAGATATACCATGCGCCCTGCATTAGCAACATGGCTCAATTTCGCAAATAATCGTGCTAATTGCTGGGTCGAGCTCCTATTACTTTAAAAAACAATTGTGCGACCAACAGTAAAGCCAATGCAGACCTTCACATCTGACTACTAACTCTAACCAATACTTATACAAATAACATTTCCTTGAACCACCAAGTTCATTAGCATTGAGAACTGACTAATCAATGCATTCCTCCCACTGATCCTCCTCTTCTGTTCATACAGGTTATGTTCCTAAGCCAAAACACTTCAACTCCAGCAACAAACTCACAGAAGGGCTGGGATATCCATGAGGATTTTCTCCTGCAAATGTGCTGAATCTCACTAATAGAATGCGTTTGTAATAGGATAATCCATCTTATCCTCTGACGTTAAGGGAATATAAATAAATAAAATGCACATGACTGCATGCTTATGCAGAAATCACTGGGCGTTCCCATTTAGAGCTCTGCAGGTTCACTTCTTCTGCCCTGTTTGTTATTTTGAGCTTGTTTTTGTATCATGGGACATGTGTATGACACAAACTCATCCCTATGTTTCTGAGTCATTTCAGTGCCGGTCTGTTAGTCGTACGACTACAAGAGCCAAACAGAAGTTCAGAGAGTGAGTGAGAAGGAGACTTCAGTCTAAATCAAATAATGGCCTGTGACAATGGCACATGCACTAAAAATTCTGGGAATGTGATTAAGGGTTGTTATTGTTAAAAAATGACAACATGTATATGTATAGCTTGTTGGAAGCCTATTTTCGCCTCAGAAAAATAAACTTTGTAAAAATAAGATGATTCTTTACACCTTTATATCTCACAATTGCAGCTCTATTCATCACAGTCTGACTTTATATCTCTAAATGCAATTTTATCTCATTTTCATTCTCCTGTTAGAGAACATTCATGTGTACATGTAATGAGTATTTTTTAGATTTAACTAGTATGCATGATTTTTCTTGCTATCCTCCACTAGAAGTATTGAAGATGCACGCTCATGTTGATCGCATTCACACAGAACATCTTTCTGAGAAAGTGTGTTTATGGCCACTAAACGATATAAAAGACATATCTGAATGAAAACACAATAGTTATAGCAACATAACAGCACCCAAATCATCAACACACCTGACAAGAAGGCCACTTTTTCTTTTAGGATGGGCAGCACTTCCATCGCCTTCATCTCTTCGTTCCTGCGAAATCCTGAAAAAGAAAACAACAGATCTCAGTTTAGAGTCACACCTGCAAGAATATCATCATCAGAACAGTTTTAATACAGTCCTGCTCTGATACGTTGAGTTATAGCGCTCAAGGGGAAATTAAGAGTTCGAGTCTGGTCCATTAAAGTCCCTCGAATATATATTTTACATTCTGAATGTAAAGACATTCCACACAGATAATCGTTTCTGTTCTTTGCATGAGCAGAAACCGCCTCGAGCGCTGGACATCATTCAAGCGCTTTGCATGAGATCAGCAGCAACCAGGATGAAGCATCACTTCTGTTCGTTTGTTTTCATGATTCACAGGTTTGAGTTGACTAGGTTTGCTGAAGCTGTGCCAAAGTTGAGTTAGTCATGTATGAGTGCCAAGGCTCACAACCACGAAGACGTAATAAACCAAACCAAACCGTAAAATCAGATATACACCATCGGTCAAAAGTTTGGAAACATTAAGGTTTTTTAATGTTTTTAAAAGTAGTCTCTTAATTTCACCAAGGCTGTATTTATTTGATCAAAAATACAGTAAAAACATTAATACTGTGAAATTTTACAATTTCAATTAACTGGATTCTGTTGTAAATAGAAATTTTAAAAAAATATATTAAATATAAAAAATATACAAATATTCTCTCATTTTAAATATCTTATTGTAATATATTTGTAATTATTGAAAATATATATTATTGAAATAAAGTTACTACACCGAAACAAATAAAATAAGTACATAAAAATATATTTTCAAAAAATAAGAACTAAAAATGAAATAAATATAAATTAATGGCTAATTAATGTTTAAGCACTAAAATTGAAGTACTAAAATGAATATAAAGCTAAATAAAAATATTTTAAAAAAAAACATGACAAAAACACATTCGATGAGAAAACTGAAAATATAAAAAATAAAATATTTTTACAAATACTAAAACAGTATACTGTAACAGTATAAAATAAGTACTAAAATTCCTAAATCTGAAATAAATTCACGCTAAATAGAAATATATACATTAAAAAAAGATGGTGAATAACAAGAAATAATGGCTGGTTGCTAACTAAAATAAGATAAATTAAAGCATATTAAAAAACATAACTTAATTAAAAAACATAACTTAAAAAAACTAAAGCAAAAATTAAAACAAAAAAACTGGGTCCCACTATATATTAAGTGGCTTTAAGTACCATGTACTTACATTGAAATTAATAATTTGATACAATGGACTTATTGTGTACATACATGTTTTTACATTGTACTTATATTTAAAAAATACAAGCATGTAATTACAGCTGTAATTAATTTATGTAATTACATCTGTAATTACACAGCTGACCCATCCCTTACACTTAAACCTACCCTTAAACCTACCCATACCACCACACCTGTCCCTAACCTTACCTGTATCCCACCTCAATAGCACCAAAAGTGATTTACAATACAACATGAGCACAATAAGTACATTGTACTTATTTTTAAATGTAAGTACATAGTACTTAAAGCCACTTAATATAAAGTGGGACCAAAAACTGTAGTTCCTGATCTTCTAGGATGCATTTCAGACAGATGCAACACTCGCGAGTAAAGCATCATGGATACAGGCGCTTGAGTTGAAACATGCTGTCTTTAATTCCACTCCTACTATCCCTCCATCCCAGGGATGCTAATTGAGCATGAAATGTGGTTGAAGGAGCCGATCCCTCCCACACACACACAGCTGAGATAGAGGGATGATGTCATTTATCCACTTTCCTGCAATGTTTCCCTGTGGTGTCTCAGCGCCGCTCTCTGTACAAAAGAACACCTTTCTCTTTGTCACTCTCATTCCCTCCCTCTCTCTCTTCTTATACATCCCAGTGAAGGTTTGTTTTCCACCACTGATACCGAGACCATGTGATCTAAAGAAAACACAGAGCCTTCTGCGGACTACTTGCTGTACAGTTTTGAAGAATTTCTTTAAATTGCTGTATGTTATCAATTATTCATATGGCAGGAGTTATTTATAGCAGAATTTCCGAGCCGCTCACAGTTGTGAATGTACAACATCTTTTTTAAAGCCTAGTCCGAACTCAAAACTATCATATGGTTTCAGAAGTACAATATAAAGCATTAGTTCCAATGCAAAGCAATTCAGGAGTGTTTTATCCTGTGAAGCATGACAGCCCCTGTCCCTAGCCATTTATCAAATATTATAATATTACAGTCACTAATTTATATTTTCATGATATTACAAACTATATATATGAAATGTTATGTAATTTCTCATAATTAGATATAGAATTAAACTTGAGTAATAAATACAACATAATTACAACACATTTTATTTTAAAAATGACATGTTTTGTTCATATTATTCATAATACAAATTATTTATAGAAAATATGTAATTGACTAATATTTATTTAATTCATGATATTACAAATTATATAATATTTTATATAATTTGGTGTAATTAGTAAATATAATTTAACAAATGATGACTTGAGTAATAAATAACAATTAAAAAATCTTAATAACAATGCTTATAAAATCATTATAATAGATTTATTTGTAATAATAATATTACTTTTGTATATTTTTATTCAAAAATTAATAAAGAATATTAAACAATGTTATATTTAGGCTATATTATTCATGATAAAGTGTTTATATATTAAATGTTATTAATATATTATATTAATTATTACATTATTAATTTGTTATAATTAGATGTATAATTTAACAAATGGTATCATGAGTCAAAAATATTTTACGACATTACTGGGTTGTAATGTAACAATGGTGGTTGTTTTAACCCAAATTTGGGTTAAAATGTAATTTAAAATTAACCCAACTTCAACTTTCACATTTTTAACCCAGTATAGGGTTTGTCCATATTTGACACAAATTTGGGTTGAAACAACCCAGCATTTTCAGAGTGTATAATATTAATATATATAACAATAATTTACTTTAATACATGTAGTATTTTTTTAAATAGACTTTTAATTATAATTTGTAAATGCTCAAAGGCTGGAATTGGAAAAATTGCAGTATATTTGAGGCGATTCTGATGTGTGTTTTTCAGAGCTGAAGAGCGCTGTGAGTAATGGGTAAATGTGGAGGCTGGGAGTATTCCAGACAGCTCTGCTGGTCAGACAACCTCGGATTCAATAACAGCTCGGCTTTAAAGAAAGAGTCGAGGGTTTCGGTTCTCTGCCGTATCCCTGTGTGTGTTTATATGCATGAGTGTGTGAGGAAGAGTCCCACACTCTTCCCTCAGGCTCAAAGAGAGACGGGCCGAGGTGTGCTGGGGCAGAGGAGGTTCTCACTTCTGAAGCTGGATGATGTAAGAGTGTGTGTGTGTGTGTGTGAGAGACTGCAGTCGAACAGAAGAGGGTGAAGCACATTTAATAACAGCTCACAATATGAATCCATTGACTCTGAAGTGAGAGTCAAGCCGAAAACACAGATGCGCTTCTGTTACAGTCCATAGAAATAAAGACATACATGCACATGTACTATAGTTTGATAAATGAAAACACATCAAACTTGAATCATATGTTCATACTTTAACCCAAGTCTAAAACCCTGGCCTATATCTTTTGTATTTTTAGAATAAAGATATGATAATAATAACAACAACAACAACACCACATTTTTATTAACTATAACCCTATACCCGGGGCTCAACGCAAAAAAATTTAAAGGAGGTAGTTCACTTTTAAAAAAAACTTTTGCTGAAAATTTATTCACCCCCATGTTATCCAAGATGTCCATGTCTTTCTTTCTTTCGAAAAGAAATTAAGGATTTTCTCCATATAATGCACTTCAATGGGGAACCAAACGGTTCAAGGTCCAAATGAGAGTTTCAGTGCGGCTTCAAAGGGCTTTAAACGACACCAGGCGATGAATAAGGGTCTTATCTAGAACCCTTCGAGTCATGACTCGAAAAAAGATTTGTTCATTTTGATGAACGAGTTCGAACAGGAGAGTCACGGACGCTCATCACAGAACAGAGCAAGGCGAGCATTTGTGCTTATAAAACTTATACTTTTCTTATTTATTTTTTAAATGACCAATCGTTTCACTAGATAAGACCCTTATTCATCCTCTGGTGTCGTTTAAAGCCCTTTGAAGCTGCACTGAAACTCTCATTTGGACCTTGAACCATTTGGTTCCCATTGAAGTCCATTATATGGAGAAAATCCTGGGATGTTTTCATCAAAAAACGTAATTTCTTTTCGACTGAAGAGAGAAAGACATGGACATCTTGGATGACATGGGGGTGAGTAAATTATCAGCAAAAGTTTTTTTTTTTTTAAAGTGAACTACTCCTTTAAGTCAGGCCAGTAGTTTAAATTTACAATAATAATACGATGTTATTAAGCCAACACAAATTCCAAAACCCTATACATTTAGTTTTTTTGTTTTTAATACAAATATTATTTTATTCAATAATAATACACTCTAAAAAATACTGGGTTATTTCAACCCAACATTTGGGTTTGTCCATATTTTACCCAATTTTGGGTTAAAACAACCCAGCATTGTTTAGAGTGTATTAAAAGTAATAGAAACTTTTTATTTAATTTAAAATGGTTCATTACTTTATTAACTGTTTTCTATCGAGGCCTCGGCTGGATGCGTCGGGTTTAAATAGCTTCTAGCTGACACACTCACGGAAACAACCCGCAATCTAATCATTCTGGGTTGAAATGGGGGTTTCAGCAAGGCTAATCATTTCCTTTCTCACATATAGATTTTACATTCATCAACTCGTTTCCTCACCAATGACTGAAGACAAAGAAATGACCTCCATCTCACATCTGAAGGGGCTCGTAAGGAGATTCCCAACACATTCTCTCACCCGTTCCACAGCCGTGCCGCTGTCCTTTAAGCTTTGCATGCTGGGTAACAGGATATCTCACTGACATCCAAAATACATATTTTCAGCATCCAGACCACAGAAATACAACAAACCACTTCAACAAATAGAGACATTAAGCGTGGAG